CCACAGCAGCAATTGTAATGCTGCCCTGAAGTCATATAAATGATTTCAACTTGCAAATTACATTTTACGCCTTTTTCTTCTTTTATTTCGCCAGACTTACAGTTCTCATATTGCACATATAAGACACATCTCAATGTCTTTTTATTGTGAATATCTCTGCTGTGCATTTTTTATGTTGTGTGAAATATTTTGAAAGTTTATGAGTGATTTGGCGCCATTACATTCAAATGATCATAAGGATCACATTGACTTAAGTTTTTGAAATTAAAGCTAATTAATTTCGCATAACCCGTCATTCCAGTCAGACACAAAACACCTAGAACTCATGTAATATTCAAGCAATAATATGCTTATGGATGTTTACAAAGGAAACAGAGATTGCGATGATAAACCTGCTTCTCAAATAGACATTAAGAATTATAATCCACAACATTATCATATCATATGCAGAGAATATAATTCTTTGGCATTGTCGATTTGTTATTTGCTCATGTAGATGTACAATTATGATTGTGTAATACTAAGAAATATGAAACGAGAATTTTCATGTTTTATGGACATCAACACTTTGTATGTAATTTAACTTGCGTCTGGCTACTTTATTGGCATCTTACTTAATTTCTTTTTCTATTGCATTACAGAGCGAGCATAACTTTGGTATATTTTATTACTTCTTTTAGAAAAAAAAAATGGGTGGAATATTACTGGAATAATTTCATATTTTATAAAATCGACAACATAAGGACCACGAAAACTTTGAAATTTTTATTATTTATTTTCACCATAAATTATGCTTAATGCATGTAAATAATGACTTTTATGGTATCGAAATTGCGATTTCACATTACATGAATATTTTATTTTTATTGAAGTTCTGCATGCAGTTTTTAAATTTCTTTTACTCTCAACTAGTTCATACGTGTTTTTGAGTTTATGAATCTTTTAAGACTCAATAAAAAAATATTGACACTGAAAAATTGATGATTTTTCATAAACATTTTATTCGTACGGTACCTTGAGTCTTATTGACGCACATGGAAATGTTTTGTATTAAAATTAAATTGTATGATTATGACTTAATATTTTTATTTCTCTGTAAATTTTATGTTTTGAATTAATTCACTTTTACTTCCGCAATTCTTTTTTTTTGGATTTCTAGAACTTGACATCCGATCAGTTAAATTAACGCTTCGATCGTCTGAATAATTACGAAAAATCATTTCGAAGAACTTGTTCTAATTTTCAACAACAATGACGAATTCTAATGACTCACATAAATGTTCTAGGCTCTGTCCATTCATTATACTTAAAATGCAGTTCTTATCAAACCACAAAAAAGTGGTGTAATTCTACATATAAACTATCAGAGCGTTATTTAGTGACATTTCCGTCTTGATTATTTCAAGCATGAAATATGTATAGGTGATATAATTATAGCACCGTGCCCGAAACACAGCAATTGTACATCATTATTATTATTTTTTCAAAGACTCTTTAACCTAATGGGAATCGTTATTCTTGTTATTAAAATAGTTTTGTTTGTAAGAAGTTTCTCACTCAAAAGAATTGTAGATTAAATTATTTTAATGCAGGGTGGTCTCGTCAACTTAATATGAAATTACCTCAAAAGTTTTGTAATTTAGAAGTTTTTAATCCTTTCTGATTATATTCATTTTCCTGGAAAATTATAGAGTAAACAATTTCTAGACATGACTGTGAATGGTGTACGTGGAATATTTACTCTCATTCTGAATGCAAAGTGAAATGCAGACTTGTGCAAATATCAAAAATTAAATCAAGTCTGATACAAATCGGCCATAAAAATTCCGACAAGATTATCATTTTAAACGGCTTCTTGCAAAATAACAAACATACGTCAAAAAACACCAACTGTGAAATTTTGTTTGATTTTTATCAGCACCAGCAATACCCGTAACGTCGTAAATATTTGCCAAAAAAAAATTGCTGCATGACTCGTGGAAAAAAAATTATCAAAATAATTAATTGCACTGAGTTATTGCACTGTTATGTTTACACTTCCTTCTTTGTGTTCGTTCTGTCTTCTTCTTATTTCATTATATTTTAGCTGCTTTGCCCAAAATAAACATCATAAAAAAAATTGAATAATATGAAAATATGAATGTAATAATAAACTCTTGAATGGAATGCTCTTGAGAAAGTTTTTTTTTATCAAAACAGAAACAGAACCGCGATTCAATGTTTCCTTTTTTTATGTTTGTTGTATATTGCATTCACCCCACAAAAACCATGAAATGTGCAATGAATTTAAAATTTATCATCATAATTTGCCTTTTTTTAAGGAAAGGCATTTGTTGACTTTTTCTGTATCTTCTTCTTGATCTAAAGAAAAAAGAGTTGAAAAGAGATAGAAAAAGAATTTGTTCCTAAATATTTTAAGAGATGCTTTGGTTCTAAAGTTGTTGATATTTACTGCAGTTTGAGCATTTTGGGTCGGAATTCTTTAATTTGCTTGAATTTATGGATAATTCACTTAGAAAGTCTCAATCCCATGCCTTAATATTTCATCTTATGTAATTATTTCCAGCTTCTGACATTGAATATTATTTATGTAAACAAATATTAACATTGTAGTGGACAGAATCAATTACACGAATTAATTTATTGAATGTCACACAAATTGCGCTTTTGGAACTAACTTCCCCCAAACTTTTTTCTTCTTCTTATTCTTGAACTGCTTGTGGTTTTCTTTATATTTATTTGGAGTCTCAATGACTATAATGAGAATAAGCAGCCTGGACAAAGAACGAGAAAAAAAAGAAAACATACACATTGTGTATATGTACGATAAAAGCAACAGAGAGATGATAATAATAAATGCAAAAAAGTCATCAACACACAAAAAATGAATATTTTTAGAGCTCTTTTTTTATTTTTGAAACATTTGCGGTTTCTTCTTCCTCACAAAAGAAAGATAAACACAGAACTCTAATTTTATTTCAATAATATTCATACGCAGTGCATGAGCGGCTGTTGTCCTCGCATATTTTTTCGGACTGCTCTTATAATTTTTCTGTTTTTTTTTCGTTCATGCACTCACTCAGTTATCATCGTCATGAGTATTCATTATATCTTCTGTTATATCTACCATTGTGTCGTGTTTACGTCCAGAATGGCAATGACCAGGACAATTTAGACTTCTTTTTCTTGCCAAAATACAAAAAAAAATTTGTGTACACACGCTCCCTTTTCACAATTATTAAAATTCCTGACTGAAATACAAAATTAGAGAGACAGACGCAGACACACCGAGAAGGTATTAAAGGTTTGAGGTTTTTTTCGCTTCTTCTTGCACCCATAAATGCTACTCTAAATGTATTCGGATATTTTTGTAAAGTTTGGTAACATTGCAGGCTTTATTTTAGCACGCATTTGGAGTTTGAGGAATCTTACAGCAATTAAAGGTTGCAGCTTCCATACAAGCTGAATATTTTAAACGTTACATAATTAGAATTGCCCCAAAATATTATAAATTATTACTAGACCAAGTCAGACACATAAAAACGAATGACTTACAATTCTTTTCCTTTGCAAAAATGCATTGTGGATATAAAAGAACTGACTGAAAAAGAAATGAAAGAATTATGTTTTTTGTATTCTTGGCATATTGCTTAAGTGCATTACTACTATTAACTGCCCCAGGAAATGGTGTCATACTTTGTACGCTTATCGTCGTTTTAAATGTCCTGTTAAAATCGTTTATTGCCTGTCCCCAGACTAACAGCTTTTTTATATTAAAAATGTTATTGATTGAATTTTTGTATTTTAAAAGCTTTGTGTTTTATAGATGAGAAATGTAAATGGTCAGCAAAAAATAAGCTAAAACTCCATAAATCACTCCAATGACCCAAAAATATTGATTTCTTTAATTCCCATAAAAAAAGACAAATTAAAATTTTTCATCTAAAAATGTTTTCTGTTGCACGAACAAAAAAATGTCGCGAATCACCAATTTAATTAAAAATGAAAATCTGTTTGCTTATCGCTCTTTTCAACAATTTAATGATTCAAACTAGATGGGACTCAATTAACATTAATTTAATTAAAAAATGAAGAAGAAAAATGCAAATTTTAAATATTTTTTTTTTGTTCTCATCCACGTACACTTATTTGCCTTCACATGATGCATATCAGTAAGAAATTTGAGGATTTTGTGTCATTTTGTCTACAAATAGTTAATTGAACTGCATTAATCAAGTACAAAAATCATTTTAAGAATTCAAAAATTGTAAAAAAAAGCGCATAAAAATCAGAAGTCTAATAAAGTGATTACAATCGTTTTAATGCTTCATAATGTGTAACCGAAATAAAACACAGTTAATGGTTAATGAAAAAGAGAGTAAATGTTTCATTTAGTTCAGGCACAAAATGTTTTATGTCTCTCGAAAAAAAATTTCAATTTTTAAATTTTATTATACATGACAGTAAGTGCCCTGCTTTCATACAATCTGATTTATTAGTTGACCTTATAATTAGTGTGATTATGCACTACAACATTACAGCGTTTTAAAATGAGAAGACATGGTAGCAACAAAAACTATTTGACTAGCTACACAAAATTATGAGTGAAACGTTTAACATTCAATTAGGTAATTTAATATGATTTTTTGTGGAACTTACTGCATTACCATGATCATGTTGTGCGTTTACAATCTTCACTGTTTCTCTCAATTTTAAAATCAACTCATGCCTGGTTGACTGGCTGGCATTATAATGATTCAATGATGGCAGGCTGCAAAAAATTAACAGCAACTATAGAAACAAGAGAATTAAGGAAGTGAAGAATTTTTAAATTTACAAGCGCATTTCTGAAATTTCTCAATCGTAATTCGAGTTGTGCTGTCTTCCTTTTTTTTACAAGCAATTGACCATTTTTGTCAGCCAAAGTAGCCACAATTTAATTCTTTTGATGGCTTTTGACGTTTCGTTAATTCTCTTTTCTTCTCTTTTAATAATTTTAGAGCACTGGAGGTCTTTAAGGATCATGGAAAGCGCTTAAGTGATATAATTGAGGATCAAAGAAAGTTGCCAGGTAAAAAAATGAAATTTCCGCATTTTGCACATTTTCTTACTTCCATACAAAATAATCATTAATCTTTGTAATACTCCACATCCATTGATACAAATTCTTCATGGATAATTATCACTTTAGAAGGATGGCATATCACCAATAATTACTAATTCTCAACTTTCTATTCTTTTTCATCTATTAATGATCCTTTCTCTGTCGGTAAACATCCACACTCATACAATTGATCATTGTCATGTCAATCATGACTGACTGACACCTGAATGTGAACATCATCGACAATTAATAGGCGCATCTAATCTTGGCGGACCTAAACGCTTTGAACATGTTATTATTTTTTGGCTACAGTGCGATCAGGTGAGTCTGAAACAATTATTCTTTTGTAATAATTTTGCTCGTGTGCGCTCAGTTCTTAAGTTTCTACTTATTGTGGTTTAATCAATTTAATTTTGCAAAATCATTGAATAATGGATTAAAAAATCAATTCAAAAGTTTGAATATTCATCAAAATCTGCTTCTAGATGATTGAAATCCACTGTCTGTACTATTTCTCTCAAACTAAAATTACATACTCTGTAAAAATAGAACATTACAAGCGACATTTATTTTAAAATAGAAAAGAAAAGGATTTTCTTTAAAAGTATCAACAGTAACATGCAGCAAAAGGCCATGAGCTTTAAGTGAAATTTATATTTAAAAGCGAAACCTTTGAGTTGTGTTTACTTGTTTGTTCACAATGTAGCGGCATTAATTATTTCTCTAAGATGGTGATGAAAAAAAGAGTCACTTCTAAATGTCTTTTGAGCGTATTTTACATTGCTTTACATGCTCTTGACTTTGCTAAAATAATATTAAAGAGATAAAATGTCTATTTTATAATTGTATGAATTTATTTTAAAGGTTCTATGTAACTGTCAGACTGACTGTTCTCAGTGTTGTAATTCTAGTTTTTGGTGCTAGCTAGAGTTCTTTTCTTAGATACAGCAACACTTTATTTATTTTCTATTTTTGATTTTTTAAGAGTCAAGTCTTAGAAAACTGCTTCTAGCTCCTTTTAATGAGCCTAAATGCGCTAATTTTAAAAACTTCCTTCTAAATTCATAATTTTAACCAACTTTCTTATGTTCTGCATTGAGAAAAGCTTTGGAAAAAAGAGAAAAGCAAACCCATAGAAATGTTTGGCGTCAAGGAATCCATATAAAAATAGAATCAGATTTTTCTACTTTCATTATTAATTCTCTGTGTACATTTTTTGCTGTACTTAAACCCAAGGTTTTTTTTTGCTAAATTTGATATAAAATTGTTTCTATTTCTATGTTTTTTTTTTGTATACTGTCCGAATGATTGATTGTAGCCATTTAAAAAATAAAGTGGCAATAAAAAGTTTTTACTATTTTCGATTAAATTACTTACTTTGTGACTATTGTCATAATTGAATGCTGATACTTTTCATGAATGAATTTTTTGATTACGATAACAACAACAACAAAATTGAAACATAATGTCTATAAATTTTTTGATTAGATGTTAAATTCCTGTCATAAAAAGCATGTATGCACAAGTACGAGTGTGGTAAGAATGTTCATTTAGTCACATTTTTAAAGCGTCAATTTACAAAGTATCAAATTTTAAAACTGAATAAAATAGAATTTTTAAACATAAATTGCTGCTATTACAACTCATTATTGGGGATATTCTTATCAATTAAACATGAATGTTATTGACACGTACCATAAATTATGTGAAAGGCAACCAAACATAACCGAATCGAAAGTAATGTATAATCTATGTTCTTACAAAATTTCCCTTTTTTCCTTATCTCGAGTTAGATTCAAAAAGTTTTCACGGTTTGTTATCTTCAAAGGCAATGCCTTTCTACATTTAGAATAAATTGATGTTTACTTTTAAATTTTTTAACATAAGAATCGAATTTCCGTTGAACATTCTAATAAAAGTTTTTGAATTGCCATTCTGCATTATGCAAATTTAAATCTTATTCAAATAGCTTTAAAAATTTAAATTGGTCCGTTAATTTTTTTAATTTCTCGATGAATCAGTCTCAAATTAAAAATAATCTCCGAAAATCTACTTTGAACCGAAATATCATAAAAATTTTTATTTTCAATCTTTGCAAAATTTGCACATAAACCACATCACATGAACTTGTTTTTATAGCATCCAGAATGACATAAATAAAACAGTTATAAATACTTGAAACTTTTTTATTGGATATAAATATTATAAATAGATGAAACTGAGGTCAAAGAACTGTTGATGTCCATTTGAACTGAATCTTTTTAATGTGAAATCCATACTTAAATCAGAAAATAAATCAATATTGATCTCAAATCAAAATAATAACAATTGAATAAATTGAGTCAAACGATAATAATAACAAGTAGTAAATAAAAATCGATTGCACATAAAGAGTTTCAAGTAGGAAAAGAAATATATAAAAATATGAAAATGAAATAAAAAGAAATCACGAGTGTAATGATTACGGAATTTTTAGGCGCCTCAATGAACGCCAGCTGCCGCTACTGATAAGAGTGAAGAAAACTCAAGAATAAGAAAATACATTGCGTGTCCATCATAAAATCACGAAAAGTTGTTAAACTGAAATTCAAACAAACTAAAGAAAACGAGATGAAATGAAAACTCACGATTTTTGAAAACTAAGTGATTAGCATAATCATTTATGACATTTGAGTCCAAAGCTGATTCGGTTTTGAGTCATAAAAAACTTACAATTGCAATTGTCAGTAGCTAGAACATCAGGATTTTAAATGATTTTTTACTTAATTACAATCCAATCAAGATCAAGGTCAAGATGATTAAGGTTGACTAAAAAGAACGTCAAAAAGTTTCAGAATTTGTTTGAAATTCAATTTAATGATAGGAAACTGAACCTGGTTGTTAACGTCTTGCATTAAATTCAGAACTTTTAGTCTATAACTCTTAAACACTAGAATCTCAAAGACAATAAAAATTACAGCTCATAAAAATCGATCATAAACTATTCAATATTTATTACCGAGTAAATTCTAATCAGGTGTGAAGCACGATCTAGTAAAAAAAATTAAGAAACAATAGAAACAATGGTTTAATTGTGCAAGATTGAAATAGTTTTGAAAATTAATAATAAAAATTCTTATCAACTACTCAAAATTGGTGTTATTTGTCGTGACCTGTGAATAACATCAAGAAATGAGTGTCGAGCTATTTCATAAAGACAAATATTGAAAACTTTATCATCTCATAATATACAGAAAAGGACAAATTGTATGGACAATTGAGAATCTATAATACCGTAACGAACTTAACTTATTTCATTTCAGTTTTTGTGTTTTTTTTTTACTAATTTGATAAGAAAACTTGTCAAGTTTTTCTTTCCATTTTAAAGCCATAAAGTTTAATATTTACAAACATTTTTTTCTACTTCTTTTCTCACTCACATTTTTCATTGCACATACGGACAGGAAGTTATTCAATATAAGTTATGTGTTAGCGGTTGTCATTATTATCAAGTTTAAATATGAATTATTTTGTATTGAATTTCATTTCGTTTATGTAATGCCATACATAGTTTGTAAATCATATCATAATGTACGTGAGTTGCACCTATCTTTTTGTCAGAAGTTCCTTAAACTTTTGTTTTGGGGTCTCATCCTGAATCTTTGAATCCTAAGAATGATTTTTTACTATCTTTAGATGATCCACAATTCATGTCATTATTCAAACAATTCTTGTTTCCGAAAAAAAAAGCATCAGCATCCCTAATTTGAGCACACCTGGCTAAGAAAATACTCACTCAGCAACAGTGTTGCCTTCTTTATATGACATTTAAACAGAACCGTATATAATCCCATTAATAATCATTGCCACTGGGGTGGAGTGTCAAGCATGTTGATTATAAAAAGTAATTGACAAGAGAAAGAGAGCGAATCATTAATAAATTGCAGTCAATGAAGCTGGCGCACGTAAAATTAATTTATGTTTTGATAACAACAAACTTGCTGTTATCACCATAAAACATTTTCTATTTGATAATTACTGTTGCTGTTACTGCCTTTTTGGTATACTCGAATGACTTTTTAAAAATTATAAAAAAGTTTTCTTCTTTTTCTCCTACCTTGAAAACTTTTTGTCAGACTTTTTCTAGATTTATGGAATTTTTGTGGATTTTTATCATGGAGCGTTTGCGTAGACCTGGCTGTTCAAGGAGGACCGGGTTTTGGAAACTTTTTAAAGGCTTTCAATTATTAAAATATTAATTGCCACAATACAATTGAATCAAAGAACATGAGCATTTAAAGCCATTAAATTTGTTGATGAATTTATACCTACAAACCACACAAAATTACTTCAAGGGCTACACAGTTATCACCAAGTAGTTTTTTCTTCGAATTTCTTCTTTTTTTATAATCAGCTTTTATTAGAAAAAAAAATATACACAAGAAAAGAAGCAGTAATTACTTAAAGCTGATATGATCTGGCGATGATATAAACGTTCAATGTACTTATAGCTTTGGATTGATAAGGAAGTAGGTTACCGATAATCACTTAAATTGATGGGATTTTCTCACACATGTTGTAAGGAAATTATAATCTTATTTGATAAATTTATTGACCTGGTGTTGCTATAGTTTGCTGCTTAAGAGGACATGTTTATAGGCTTTACTACCGGTTTATATTTTTTAATTGTTTTTCAGTGCATCTATAAACTTTGCTGAAGTTGAATCAAAAGAAGTTAGTACGTGACTTTCATAAAACCACCCAATCTAGATTCTTTTGATCCCAAACTATTAACGAGGTCAACAATGTTTATTTTAAAATTTGTAATCTAATCAGAAAAATGGGATATCTTTCTATTATTTATGACGGACAAAGTTTAAATACATTCAGTTGATTATATGCATTTAAATGTCCAAGTACATCTGGAGGATTCGTCAACAAAAATGGTGCAATTCAAAAAATTTACGTTCTGTTGAACAAAAAAAATACTGACCAACTTCACTTTAGCTACACATTTCATCTCTTTGCTAATGCTGAACATAATGTTAAAGAGACCTACCCGACCTGCTTGATAAAGAGAATCTCAAGATCAAAAGTCTTTAATTTTCCCCATTTGTCAATAATTGGCAGTTTACATACATTAAAGAATTATTTACATCCTACTAGCTATACCTTCTTAGCAATGGAAAAGAAGAAGGAAAAATTATCAGAAAGAAACTTTTCCTTACCTAAAAACGTTTTAATTTTGCCGCCATATCATGTTTAACACGAAAAAACCTTTATTTCTATAGAAATTTAAAATTGACACCCGCAAAATCTCTCAATCAGATAATGTGCGTGTATGTGTATTTGAAACTAGTACTCACGAGTATCGGTCCGTGAAGCAATGAACCTTGAAGACGAAAATATTTCGAATCTACAGAAAGAAAATTTTTGTGTATTTTAAAAATTTATTGCTGTTGCTGAGTTCTTTTTTATCTTATCGATAACACACAGTAATTCACATTTACACACTTTCTTGATAATGTTTTACTTTAAAAGGCTCTTACTTCTTCTTATTCGCTATTGCCTCAAGTTAAGCTTCTATTTTTTTGTTTAAACTCTTCCTGATTGTTTTTATAGTCATAAACATAAACAAAAGAATCTGCTTTGTTTTTATTTATGAACTGTGCGATCACTGACCTACATATTCGATGTCTTGTGACCAAAATTAAGTATATAAAAAGAAGGAACATTGGGTTGTTGGTTTGTGGGCAACACGCAAAAATAATATTAATTTACGGATTTTTTTCAGCACATTGAACTTTTTCCCTACCCAAAAAAAATTAAAGAAGTCATACATGTTGAAGCCTTATCAGTGAACATAAGAAAAAGAGTTCAATTACATTAAATATATGTACTTGCATTGGGCGAAATTGAAAAAAAAAATATTTGCTTGTTACTATGTGAAAATATGTCAGGGATGTAGAATGATTAGAATTTGGGGTGCACGACTTTTTTTTAAAGAAAAAAGTTCAACTATCTTTTGTTTTTGACCGATAAGAAATGGTAGTAATGAGAATTGGCACGTGATTTTAATTTGTTGCATTATATAGATAAGGAAACACTTTGTGGGGCTATTAGTGAATTCTTATTTACTTTACTTTATTTTTATGATTTCAATTTAAAACGATTTAATTTTTTCTAGTCAGCCAGTTAAATGCGATGTTTCAAATCAGTTGGAACCTACTTGCATCATTTTTTCTCTTTCCATTCAAATCAGTTGAAATGAACATATTTTTCTAAAGCTGGCTCTATCACTTGCTACTGTGCTAATTCACGATTCCAAGCGCAACTCCACATCCGTCCTAAAAGCTAGCTTAACAAGTGAACGACCAATTGTATGAAGAAATTTCTATGTCTTCTTCTTTTCCTTCTTTATCTGATCACAATGTTGCTTCCCTATTTAAAATCATGGAATAAAAAACTGTTGAATAACCTCTTCTCCTTCTTTTTTTAAAGCATATAAACTCCTTCACTGTTGAAATTCAATACAAGCAAAGTGTGAAGTGTGGAAAAAAAATTGGATTAAGAATTGAAAAAAAAAAAATTCCCATGATAAGAATGAAGAAACATTCCTTTTAATCGATATATCAACAATTAAAAATCCCCCAGTATTGATAAGTGCCATAGCTTGTAAAATATTTATTTTTTGTTGCTTACCAAAAATAATTTTTATGGGAAAGGTTTACTGATATTTACAAAGTGTTTGGGATTATCTTACTTCTTTTAGTCATCCATAATATTTTCTAGTTCACTGATTTATGTTAATATGAAGTCCTTCAAATGTTGCTTAGTGGAGTTCTCCTTCCGAGCATAATTAGTCCCTAATTCATGATCAAATTTCTTCTTCTTGTGTGACTCCAAGTTGACTCATTAATCATATCAGTACTATAGGTTTAAAGTAACAGATGTGTGGAACAAAAATATCCAATGCATTCATTATCAAAACCAGAAAATCTTTCTTCTTAATTGATAAGCTATGTAGTGCTGTATGTCAATGGGTGCAGTGAATGAAAAGGTTATGAAATCGATATTTTTTAAAAATAAATATAGAGCGATAAATTTATGAATGGAAAATTTCCAAATAAAAAAAATACTTCTGTATACGGCTCCAAAGAAGCCAACGAACAGCATGTGCTTGTGTTTACTCTCTTCTGTTTAAAGTAAAAACATATTTTTTTATGAATGAAACATCCAATGTAAGTTATTAAGAAATATTAAGAGTAGACAAAATGAGATAAGAAAAAAAGTTGACATTTCACGAAACTTTGGTATTTATTCAGACACATGACCAAGTTTGCCATCAGTACTGAAATAATTTTTTTCTTAAATTTGTTTGTCATTTAGCAGTCAATTAATTTTGACGAAGAAAATGAAGAATGAACGAAGGTTTTAGAGCATATAGAATATCAGGAAACTCTAGTAGAAGTTTGGCAAAAGTCAATGCTTTGAAAAAATACTGATGATTATTTGTTACTACTGAAGTATCAAGTCAAGAATTTTGCGATTGTCTACAAAACTTGATTTTTAAAAACTTTCTGAATCTGTAGCATATCTAGTGGATGCTATGTCCCGAGTAATTTCTTACTAGTATTCAGCTTTAACCATGTTTTACTGCAAATCTATGATATATCTAGCAATTTTACATCAAAAAATTGGAAACTAATAAAACTAATCTCATGATCATTGAAAATAAAATCAGGTTTTCTTAATCATTAAAAATCTCAAGTGAAACTTTACGAACTCAAGGACAAAATTCACAGTTAAGAAATGTATTCAGGACAGGCATCAACAAGTTCAGAACAGCAATCAAAAAGTTCAGTACATGCATCAAAAAGTTTCGATCAGGCATCTTATAGTTCAGAACATGCATCAAAGAAATCAGAACAATCTCTTTCAATTTCAATTACATCATCAGACATAGAGGAACTTTGTAAGACTGACTTAAAAGTAATGAGAAAATGGAGAAGCATAAATTCAAAAGTTGTCAGTGCCGTTGATGCACTTTTGCAAGGCGAAAAGCAAAAATTTGAGCAAAAATTACTTCACAAAATATTCGAAGAAAACTGTATCAATGTTGCTAATCTGCCAGCAGTTGTATCTGAAGGTTTGTCATCATATCTCTTTTTTTTTGTGACTTCACGCCATTTCATTATCTACTTCTGTTTGACAATTTTAATAGATAATTTAACGCCATTAACATTCAAAGAATTATCTGAAGAATCAAACCGAGTTGCTCGTACAATATCAATGTTTTTCAAATCAAAAATGCACAAGTTTAATGGACATATGGATTGGATTATTGCGCTTTATATGAAACCAACATATCGAGCAGTTATTTGCATGCTGGCAGCTTGGAAAGTAGGTGCTGGATATTTACCATTGAATTATGAGGATCCAAAAAGAATAAAAGAAATTCTAAATCAAGCAAAGCCTCAACTTGTGATTATTGATGATGCTTTTATAACAACCGAAAGCCATAAATTTCTTGAAGAGTTTGACGTCGTGAGTTTTAAGAGACTCGCATATAGAGCGAAACAGCATAGAAAAGAAAGTTTTCCTGATGATATGAGTATGATGCATGGAAAGATCAACGAAGATAACCTTGCAATGGTCCTTTACTCATCAGAGATTGTATCACCAAGAGGAACAAGACTTCTCCATCATAGCTGTCAACATCGTCTAGAATGGCAATGGACTAAATTTCCATTCCAGTCTGTAGAAACTCATTGCATCGCTCATAATGCAATCTATCATATTGATAATTTTGCTGAAATTTGGGGAACACTTCTAAAAGGAAAAACTGTAGTAATGATGAGGAGCCATTCCCGCAAGGATATTGAGAGAATCATTAGAACAATTGAAGAGTTTAATATCATGAGATTTTATGGACTGCCATCAAAGATTGACAAGATTCTAGATAGTGTAATAAAGAAAACTTCAAGTAATCCAAAAGCCAAGAAGCTTTTAATGAACGTTGTATCATGGATAAGCTCTGGAGATGTGCTGGAAAAAGACGTCGCTGTCAAGTTCTTCAACTATTACGAAAACGACGGTAAACACACATTAACAAATTCTTATGGATGTACCGAAACAACTGGTGATTGCTGCTACTACGTTATGACATCATTAGAGCAGATTCAGGAATTAGAAAGAATTCCAATTGGTTTTCCATGTTATGGTACATTTATATATATTCTTGATGAAGACGATGATCCAGTCGTAAAAAATCAGACTGGAGGAATTCATATTGTTGGTCCATTGCTAGCAGCAGCTTATATTGACGACGCAGATGATACTGTCTATAAACATAACAGATACAGTTTATATCCAGCAAATTGGAATATGTTTTATACTGAAGATTATGGAACAATCATCAATAAGTTGTTATATTATGATGGAAAAAAGAAAATTAGAGTTCGGTATGATGATCATAATGTCGACTACTTAACGATCGAAAAATTCATCAATGAACTTGAATATGTTGAAAATGCCATTGTGATTCCTACAAAAGAAAAACTTGTTGTCTTCATAATCCTTCATAGAACACAAGCAAGAATTACCAAACCTAAAGTCGTCAATGATATAAGAAGAGAACTTCCAGAATATGCAGTACCTGATGTTGTAATACATTTTCGATTCCCATTGCTACAAGACGGTGAAGTTGACAAAGATGCATTGATTCAAGAATACAATCTCGCAAATGATCCAAACATCAAGAAACACGAAAATCTAATCATTGAACTTGATGGAATTTCAGAGGATAAAAAGGAAATGGCGAAAAGGGTATTTACAATTATTGGTAATAATATAGGACGAGACTTAACTGGAACTATAAAACCATCAACAAACTTCTTTAACATTGGAGGTTGTTCCTTGAATGTGGTATCATCGATTTACGAGCTATATCGTAAAGGATATAGCATCACTGCTGATAGTTTCTTAAAAGCAAAAGATTTCAATGAAATCCTTAATCAAATTAAACCAGTTGGACGTCATAGCTGCATACGAGAAGATTATGGATTTGGAACTAATGATAATTGGAAGATATCAATTGTTAGGTATGATGATCTGCCAGAATGCTTAGACTGTCTGTTGGAATGTTATACCACGAAGCACGTACTTATGAAACATATTCCTCAAATAACAGCAGACAGTCTTCGACGATTTATTGAATATAACTGGACATGTTTTGTGGAAAGACGGTTGAGTTTTAAAGTAGTGGATAAAGAACTTGATAAAACAATCGGTGTTGCACTCAACATTGAACTTGAAGAAGAGTCGTACATGAGTTTCAATGAATTTGCAGAATTTGAGCCAATTTTAGAGTTCCAAAGATTTATGGAAGAGTCTTACGTGTAAGAATCAACAGTTACTTTATTTATTTATCCATTTTTATTTTTTTTAATGCAATATTTTTGCAGCAAAGAAGATTATCGGCATAATGCATACTTAACAAACTATTTCATGGGAACATCCATGGACATAACGCCTGCTGAAAATGTAAATTTAATTTACTGTATGGAGGATCATCTTATAAAGCTTATGAACGATAGTAATTTCAATGGAATATACTCAAATGGTGTTTGTCCATTAAATGCACAAATCGGTGAACTTATTCTCGACTACAGAATTATAGAAAAATATCCAGTAAATCGCTATGTTGATAAAAATAACAATCGACCATTTGAAAATGCTCCTAATGACATCGTCCAATATGTACAAGTTTATGCACCGAAAAAGAGATAAATAAAAAGTCTGTTTTGTTTATGAATAATTCAATTGTTGTATTATTTTTTTGAAGAGGTTTGCAAAAATGAGTGAGAAGTCATTAACAGTGACTCTGTAGATAACAATTTGTCGATGACATAGGTCAGTAAACTTGCAAATTTTATTTAAATGAGGTTACTTCAATGTAAATCTGATGAACAGCAATAGATTCTTTGGCCTTGTTGAGTTTGATCAGAAGCCATCTATAGATGACCTCAAAAGATGATAATTTTTTACAGAAAACTTTCAAGTTTCCGTCAATTATGCTGCAAATAAACTCCATAAATACATTTATAATTGATCAAAACTGCGTTCATATTGAAAAAAATGGAATTATTAATAAAATATCATTGTCATGTTTGTACACATAGCAGTGAATCTTAAACTACCACCATTCACACACCTTAATTGATAAGAAATGTAGCAATAATCATTAATTGAATCGGAAAAAATCATAAATAAATAAATATATAAAATTGAAACTTGAAAAGTTCCTCAGAATTTCTTATCGCACTTTACAAGTCGCCTCTAATTAAGCTACAACCAATTTTTTTTTCTTCATATTTTCTTCTTCATAACCATTATACAATAACCATGTCGCCGTAAATCATATGGCTTTCAAGTTGTCGCGCCAAAAAAATAAGTCGTTCGATTTGTTGCAAAAAAAGATCGATAAGGAAAATGTCCATGAGTAGGTGGGAAAAAAATGTAGGTGAGGCTCTTGATATATGTTCCTTATCTGACTACAAAGTGGTACTGAAAATTTTTGAACGATTTGTCGATGTCACATTCGAGATAAATTGAAAACTAGGTTGCACTTGATAAGATTGGGAAGGAATCAGTTATGGATTAGAAGTATGAAATTAAATTGGGATTAATTTTATTGGAGTTGATAACGCCTTTTAAAAAGAAAAGAATTTGCAAGCTTGTTGCTAGTTCAAAACGTTCTTACTGAAGATTTTTATTTCAAAGTCGAGAGTTCAAATCTTAAGAATACTTTAATGAGTTGTTGAGGTTCGATAATTGAGTTTTAGCCTTCAGAATTCCCAATTTATCTCATCTAATCAGCACCTTTAATACCTTTGAGATAAAACATTACTTTTGATTCTCCCTGTCTCGTATGAGAAGTCGAAAAAAATCTAATTCTTATCCCAGACTACATACTTCAATAAAATAGGCCAAAAAAATTAAATACACAATTTTTCAAGTAGCAGCTTAAGATAACAGGCACGCAATAAAACTATTGGCATTTTCTACAAATCATCGTCATAAAGCAAACTTTATAAAATTGCTTATCTTTCATTTTCAGGCGATATTGAATCATCGGCTAAACAGCAGAGTTGATTCGATGGTAAAGGATGGACTACTTGTGGAGATAAGGAGCTTTTATGACGAATATGTTAAAAACCGGTAAGTCAAAGTAATCACGTGCTATTTAAACATGGAATTATTTAACGATTGTGTTAATGCTATTTTTAAATTGCTTCTCATTACCTACAATAATGATCGATTGACATTCTTATCGTTTATCATAAAGTTGTAATTAACGTCATTTTTTTCATTCTTTGGGAATTTAATTTTATTCTCATTGTAAAGATTGTTGGCTTGTTGGAATGAAAAAAACATCAAATACCTGCAGATTGCTGAATATTAATTAAAGGGAAAGAATTTAATGCATTTTACACGGTTTGTTTTGCTTCTCATTCAGTAAATGGAATTAATGAAGGGTCATCATTGATCGATGACACTTTTACAACCTGTTCTAAGCTTTAATGAATATTTAATCGACATATCTCCTGAGGATACTAATAAATCAGTAATAATCAAAGATCAAAAGCGGAAGTGAAAATCTTTTACCGATACGCAAAAGTGTCAAACAGACAACATTAAAAATTCATTGATGCTCGATGTATGCAGCATGTAATCATCGTAATCATTGATAATCGGAATCGATAAAAATATGAAATAAAATTGCATACCATCAGAACGTTACATTAATTCTGCAATGTTCCATAAAATGCGCATAAATTTACTATTATAATATTGAAACTATTTAATCATTGATAATAATGACTTGATAATAAAACTACATTGTATACATTTATTGTAATTTTTACCCGACATTCTCTATCCGTACATTGTGCATTCATATTGCGCAAATTGTGCACATTTTTATTCTTCTTTTTCTCCATTCTTCGATGGAATTTCATAAACTCAACTTGACGTCATTACAACAATATTTTTTGATAAATTTAATGACAACGCACACAATCATTCATAGTGTTTTTATGGAAGAGTTGTGGAGGCAAATTTGTGCTTCTGGTTGTAAGGCGCGCTCTTTTGTCAACAAATTCAGTAGGGTTTCAAGAGTCAAACTTAAATTTTCTGGTGAGATAAATTAGACAAACCGCCATATTCTCACCTTTTATAATCTGCTCAAAATACAAAAGAATGCATAAATAAATATAGATGGTCGATGAAAAAGTAGATACTAAAAGAGACACCGAGAAAGAGAAATGAGAATGTAGAATGAAAAGAAAGGCAATGCACTTCCGAGAAGTTTGTTCTTTCGATCGTTATGTGACTATGTTGTTGAGGTACAACATCCATCAACAATGAACTTCCATTCATTTTTTATACATTCCTTATTTACAAAATAAAAGCACTCCACAACCTATGATATTGTCGTGCGGCCGTCAATCATCGTCCATTGTTGCCAGCATTTTTTAGAAAACGGAATGAAAACATCGATAAAGACTTTAAATTTATTTTTCATTTTAACAGTGCATTTTTACTTTGAAGACATCGCGCGACAGTCTGGACTTAAAATAATATTTTGGGTAGAATGAGTTGTAAGGTTGATCAGATTGTCTTCATTCTTTCTATAATGTCATGCGCTGTATACAAAAATAAATCAATTATCAAACTTTAAACTTTCAGTTTTTCAACTAATTTTGTTTTTCGTCTATTCCACAGCGACGCTGATTACGAGGAAGGAATATTGCAAACAATCGGTTTCAAAGAATTCATACCATACCTGGAAAAGTACGATAAGAGTCACGATGATTTAATCAATAAATTCGTAGAAGCACCTGAAACGTTGCCAGAACCTGACGGATACAAATCACTTCTCTATTGTCTCGATGAGCTAAAACTAGTAACACAAAGGTATTCAAAAAAGCAAATTAAATGGATCAAGAACAGATTTCTTGGCAGTGAAGTTCGAGAAGTTCCAAAAGTTTATCCACTCGACACATCTGACGTAAGTAAATGGAAGGAAGTTGTCTATCAACCTGCTGAGGAAACGATGTTGTCCTATATTGCTGAAGAACCAATAAAATTGAAAGCACTGGAAAAGGTAAAGAGACTCGGCGACGGACTTAACGAGGAAACGACACACTACTGTAAAGTATGTGATAGAATTTTCATTGGCGATTTTCAATGGCAACTTCATATAAAGTCAAACAATCATAAGCGTAAGAATGCTCGACAAAATAAATTGGAAAAGAACAAGAAGGAAAGTGAGGAAGTTGTTGAACAAAACAGTTGACGTGCTGCTGCTGCTTAAAAGATATTTAATTTCTTTCTTTTGTTTATTAAGTTGAACTTTTTTTTCGATAGATTTTCATTTTACAATAAATAATGCATTTATCATCTTCATTATCTCAGGGGGGGGGGGGGGGGGTACACTTTGTATTGGAAAAAAAATTGTTGAAAAATGAAATTTTTGCGATACTTCCTTCCGATGCAGTTTATGATCAAAATTTTGATTGGAACTGATGAGAATCATGATTTAAGACCTTTTGACATCTAAAAATTTTTACTTGGATGCTTCAGTTCCTTTAAATTTGACTTTTTCAATTTCTTTTGTGGAGTACTTAGAAATTTCATCACAGTAAACCTATTTGGGTTTTTTTTCTTGGCAATTTTTGTTCTGACCCCCCCCCCCCCCCTTCTGCATTATCTCTTATTATTTGTCATTGATTCTCTGTTTATTCAATTTTTTATTTTGTTGTAACTTCTTGCGAATTGTTTTTAATTGAAAGAATTGATTGTTTTCTATTTTGATTAGTTTTTGATCTGATATCAATCCTTACTTTCTTTAAAATGATAATTGAAACATGTTATTCTATTGCCTTATCATTTAATCTTTATTTTCTTAGTTAAAACCAGTTAAAACTTATATGAGATGATATTCTTAATGGCACAAAGAATTATGAGTCATTGTCAATAAATTGATTGCTTTCTCAACGTTTGTGATGCTTTAGAAAGTTGAAATAGATTATGATTAAGAATAAATCTAGTTGACTGAAATGGCTGAGAAAGGAATTGTTGAAAATACTAAAATTTGGGGAAAAAAAATTTAACTTTTGGAACTGACTCTTTGAGTAACTCTAAAAACCAACTCTGTCCAAAAAAAGCAAACTCCAAAAAATTCTTATTCCGTCTGGTTTAAGTTCCATTAGCAAAATTGTACACATTGTAGTATGAATGAATGAATAGATTTATTTTGATTGAAAGAAACCAATCAAATATATTTATTACAAACATGGACAATGATTTCCTTTAATTCATTCTTTTACTACATTTCCTTCTTATTTTCAGCACAGCTCATTAATTAATTTCACTTTTAATAATACGTGTGACGCATGCCACCTCCGTCATCAAGTCAAAACCAAACTTTATTAATGCTGATTGAAGTCCAAAACAAGACAATTAATAGAAACTCAGTCAGTTACGTCAAAAATAACCTTAGCACATTGTAGTTAATCTCTGTTGTTATTTAATATAAATAAAATTACGAGCTGATTAAATAAATTATCAAAAATATTGCAATGCTATAAATAAGAATAAAAGTTATCTTGTGTACTTTCACATTGTAGACTCACGCAGAAAATAAATGATTCGAGTGCTTAATTGTTATCATCATTGTGTCTATGGCTAAAAGGCCAACGTCATTAAAATATTTTGTTAACATGATTTTAGTTCGTCAATTGATCTTTATTGTGTGCTTCAAACTTCCCTAACGTACATGCAAGAAATCACAGGAAATTTCACAATCAATTCTTTCAATTTAAAGTTTATCGACAGGTAATTATTTTTTTTTTTATACATAATTAAGTTAATTGGATAAATATTAGGTGGGTCTTATTAATTACAGGTAAAATGCAACAACATCGTTCAATATCAATTTTTTTTTATATAATTTGTGTTTCATATCTGTATACCTTACATTCAAGTTATTGCAATTTTTCCTCTCATCAATCTGGTTTTCTTTATTATCTTTTATCTAGGTATTTATGATTGGCGAGAAAATTTCACAGATTCAAGTTGATTGAGACTTGAGATGAATGTAACTGATTTGATCAAAAACATGATAAGATCCCGCTCTGCAAACTTGGAAAGCGAATCATTCACCATAAAATTTAACTTAGAACTTAGTTCAATCAACTTCAATCCATAGACACATTATCTCACAATAATCAACAATAAATATATTCATATAATTATTTCTCAATAAGGTAGTATAATTAATTTATATGTAAATATATATATATAGAATTTTTTCACTGTATAACTTTTTTCTCATCTTCATCATAAATGCTCAAAAAAGTAATAGCAATGGCATAAGATAAAGACTCTAGTCTAGTAAAAGATTGGATAGTTTATTGGGACAGCTATAATTATTTAAATTTATTTTTCTCTCAAGAAATATTGTCAATATTTTCCTCTTTCGTTTCACTTGTTTTCAGCACAAAAGTCTTCATTCTTAAAATACTTGTTTACTCTTTTTACTATCTCTTCCTCTTCTTCATTCGCTGTGGATGGAAGGAAGAAGAGGAAGAAGAATAATCCTTGTTTAAATAACTAGAGATAAATATATTTATAAATGTATATTTATATATGTATAATATTATTTCTCAAAAGGAATACTTGTTAATCCACTTATTGTCATAAATAGTTTTCCATTTCCGTTTCACATTTGATTTTTATCAGTTTTTGCATCCTTGCAAAAATTTTGAAAATGAATTTTTATGGCAGTATGTTCCTTACATTTTTAATATGTTTCCAATTTTACTCAATCTTTAAACTTAAAATCCGACGAAATTTTTGCAAGGATCTCTAATCAAGCCTGTTTGATTTTATGCGAAAGTAAATATCAACAATAAAATTATCTAAAGTCCAAGTTGGCAAATGAAATGGATCTTCAAAGAACATGAAAAGAAATTTTTCGTATACTAAGAAAATTCCACAAGTCTTAGCCAATTTAAAAAGATTTAAGCATTATTGTCATTGCGATATCCAATTCTTGGATTATTTAAATGAACTTTTGAACTTTCAGAAATTCGTTTGGCTGTATTTTGTTATGTCTATGATAAACATTGAGAATTTTAAGAGGATTAAAGAGTTGTTAAAGTTGAGATTCGGTAAATTTATCCAAATATGTTGTAAATTTTGATATGGAATTTTGAGAAATTTTTAAAAACAATTTCTGAGCATTTAATAAACAATTTAGACACAAAATTAACATACTTAAATCCTCTTTAAATTCTCAACTAATTTTTGTGTTAAGAAATGGAATGATTTTCGTTCTCAATAAAGTCTTTAGCTCAATGATTCTGTATTCTCTTCCTTTAAACTTATTAACTTGTCATTAAATTCAATACCTTTAAACACTTAGATTATAATTCATTAAACTTTTAAATTTAAATATTTTTTTATGCTTAATTAATAAAAGTTAAAAATAGAATTCTTAAGAAAACAACTGTTTTAAAAATTCGGTAGGATTCATTAACACAACCTTTAAACTTCTTTAAACAATAAACATTACTTTTTCGTTCTTTACACGATGAAGTTTGGATTTAAAAATTGAAATTTTCAAGTATTTCAATAATAGCCTCCTCAAACACTTAAGAGGAAGATGGCTATAAATTTTTATAACACTGATAACGATTGTGATCATGAAAAAGATTGTTTCATGGTTACAGCTTCACATTCCCTCAATTTTTAAACCCATTCCAACAATGTGTAATTTTAAAGAGAGCATACTCTCAAGTGGATGCTTCAAATCACTTCAGTTTAATTTGATTTACAGTCTAGAAATATGTCATATAATTGAAATCGTATTTCCCCACTTCTTATTGTTATTATTTTGATTTAATTTCAAAGTATTATTAATATTAGCGCCAAGTAAAATGAAAGTGAGAATAAATAAGCTATCAACAACGAGTATCACATGCACATAATGTACAATTAATATCAATCAATTTAATATTATCATTATTGTAGTTTTTGTTATTATTATTTTTTGATGTTATGTGTCATTTTCTTGTCTTGATTATTCATATTAATATGAATGGCATAAGTCTGTTGCACCATAAAACAAGATTATCTCATAAATGTGTCTGATTTGTGTGTTTAAAAATAAATTAATAAATAAATAAAAATCTAATATCGCTCTCATTTCTCCTATTTGTTGTCAAACGTAATACTTACATTTACTCAATTACTTAATGCTGATGAGTTTTGTAATGTGATGGGATTAAATTTCATTCATAATTTAATTAATGTCAAATAAGATATGAAATGTTTGTTAATTTAATTCTATCGAAAAATTTAAAATTGATATGGATTTACTCGTCTTCTTGTAATACTTCTTCGGGATTACTTATAAATGTTGGACAACACATACCTTCAGAACCATCAGGTTGGAAACAAAATATTGCCTGTTCAAATTCGGTTGGATCGTGTGGAACAATTCCATTAACATCACGTAATTCTGCTGTTGGAAACCAGGCTGGGTCGGAATCTTCAACTATTACTATTCCAAATAATCGTCCAAGGGCTACAACTGGAATCCATAAAACTGATACTCCTATAAGACAACAAGCCAAAAATATGCACCAATGGGGCCACTCCTTATCTTCTGTTATTCCTAATTCAGGGTTCCATACAGGATAACTTGAGCCATTAACTGGGAATACAAAAAAAAATATATATAAATATTTCTCCTTAAAGTTATGCTGCATTTCTTACCTAATAAATTATAAATTGAAGCGATAAGTATTGTTAACATTGCAATTGGACTAATATATTTCCAGCACAGCATCCAATATATGTGTGGTCTGCTCCCCGTCATTAGTTCTATATCATCTGCAAATCTCCTCAGTCCATAAACATAGCTAACACCAACGCACTGTTTGCAAAGGATTAATAATATTGATAGATAAGATTTATTTTTGGTAAAGTCCTTTAAGATGAAGGTCATGTCATCAATTACCTCAAAGAACGCAATAATCAAGAGTGTATAACTGCCTGCAAAACTATCCATCAATTGGAAAATGTAACTTCCAGCTCCATTTGCAAATGTAATGGATAGAGCACCGCATGAAACACAAAGTATCTGTGGACAGTAAACTAAGCATTATCATTGTGTTTAAAGCAGTTGGATGATAACATACCAGAGTAATTTTTTCCTTCGGTAAATTAGGAAATAGCTTCATATCAACTAATGATGATATGACACCCTCCAAAGTACCAAATTGTGAGTCAATTCCCAATGTAAACAGCATTAGAAAAAATAGAACAGCCCATAACTGTTTGCCAGGGAATTGATTGATTGCTTCCGTGAATATTATAAATGCTAGACCTGTTCCAGACGCACTGTTTGACAGTTCTGCTTGAAGATCACATTTCTCATTTTTCGTATCATTTCTTTCGACGCATGCATCATATGCAGCAGTGGCTTTGAAACCGATTATAGAGAACACAACGACACCGGCAAACCTTTTTGATGAGAAAACAATAATTTATTAAGAACAATTAATCTTTAGTCAGACTTGACTCGAATTAAAGTTTTAGAACAATTCCATAAATTCTTGTTCTGTCTAATAAAGCAGATTTATGGGTCTGTTGAAAATGAGTTAACTCCTTCGAAAAATAGAAAGTCTTACATGGAAGTTCCACAATTTGTAAACGAGACGAGAAGCGCATCACGAAAGCAATTATTGTTGGCAGGATTATAACTACCTGACAAAAGCAATGAAATTAAGGAACATTAATTGCTGTGTATTTATTAAACAATGAGAATACTTACTGAATGCAATTAATCCACCAAATGCAAGTCCTGAAAACATTTTGTTATTACAATAAGAGGTGGAAATTTATTGGATATGAGGAAAATTACCTAGAGAGAAAAAGACTTGTGTTCCCGCTTCCAGCCAAACAACAGGATCTAGTAGAATTTCCCATTTCGGTGTAAATAAATGTGCTATACCATCTGTTGCACCTTTCAAAGTTATGCCTCGAAAGAAGAAGATAATTAGAACTACGTAGGGGAAAATTGCTGTTATATAAACGACTTTTCCGCTCTCTGTAATTCCCTGAACCATGCACAGATAAATCAGTGTCCATGCAACGATTAGAGCTATTCCAATTGGAAAATTAAATTGTTCTGGCTCATTCACACTTGGTGATGACATGAGTGTTGATCTGTACCAATAATATTGCGTAGGAGATGAATCCTTGGAGAAATAAGATGTATTGAAAGTTAATATCATTGGACGTCACTAAAATGTAATTATTATTTTTTTTTCTTACATTACACTCTTTCTCATAATAGTACGTCATGTTTGGATTTAAGTGAACTGGACATTCTGACCATGGAAGTGGATTCTCAAAGCTGTGGAATAAGTAGATGAGACACCAGCCAATAATTGTATTGTAGTATAATGCTACGATGAAAGACACGATTGCTGATGATATTCCAATTCCACCCAGATACGGAGATACTTCATTCCAAACACCAATGGCTCCTTTTCTTAATCTTTGACCAATAGCTAATTCAAGAAAGAATATCGGTAATCCCTGAATGAATAACATTATCCTGCAAAAAGAGCACATGAAAGGATTTTTATTTTGGGTCGCTGATTCTTTTGTTATGCTTTCGTCGGCGATGATTTATTGAATTTTAACGTCATAAGTGAAAAGAAAATCGATTAAAGACTCTTGATCTAAATGAATTAGCAATTAATCCCTATATATATATAACGACTTAATACATACCAATACGGCACTAAGAATGCACCACCGCCATTTTTTTGTGCTAAATATGGAAAACGCCAGACGTTACCTATAAGTCAATTAAAGAGAATTGTTCAGACTGTGTTTTATAGCTGTTGACGATAAAAATGTAATAATGAAATTTACCAAGACCAACAGCATAGCTAGAAAATAAAGCAATGATATAAATTGCCATGATTATGAGACAATTAATTTTCCAATATTTACCCAATTGTAGCTAATATGAAAGTCATTTTACTATCCCAGCTTTCACGTTCATCGCCTTGTGCTTCATCAGCGATAATATTGTCATCTTGTAAAGGCTCAACTGGTGGTTGCAATGGAGCTGATATTGACGGTTGAGGATCTTCAAATATGTCAAGTAAAGATGGTGGCTTATTATGATGTCTTGACGTAAGTACATCATCTGAAATGAATGCCTGATTTGTTGCTCCATAAAGGGTTCTTCCACCTAGACTCTCAGCACGAACTAATTTCTCTTTCAATCGCTATAATTTAAATGATAATTGGATGTGATGTGAAATGGAAAATCGAATTAGGCTTAAGAATCAGTACCTTCAGTTCAAGTTCATCAAGTGTTTTCGTATAATCACGATGACTTCCATTCAAATCTCTACTACTTTGCCTTCTAAATAAATGTGCAGTATTTGCCATAATTATCTACTGTTCTTATAATCGAAGGGTGATAAATGTTATATATCTACTAATTACGTCTCAAATGTGTGCGATTGAATAATTGGATTTATTTTAGTCACTAATATTAATTGTTATTGGTGCCATTTGTGAGTTGCATGCAATGAACAAATTGATTACATTTGGTGCACAGAACGGAACAGAATAAAAGAAGGAAAACACAAAAAAAATTAATTAGATTACGAGACACGGTAATTGACATATCAAAATGTGTGAATCATTAAATACTAAGTGCCGTAAAGAATTAGAAAAATAAAAACGGTTGAAAATCTGTTGGTGATTAAGGCAAATAATAATAGGATAAATTATGTGCAAATAAACACCTTTTTGTGCCTTGACCTTAAATAGATATCTCAAAAATAGTTAATCTTCCATCATCAGTTGATTCTATGTGACACAGATCGATAATTTTCTCTCCTTTACACTTTTTTTTTGCCTGACAATCTCTCAACTCTTCTTAATTCTAATGAATTTTTATTGGACGACTTTATTTCACTGTCTTATTGTCACTTTTATGTATATCTTATGCTAGTTGCCAAAAAAAATTACATAATAATACAGAGAAGAGTTTGAAATAATTCTGAATAGAATGCATTCATCCTATGTGAATATCTTTTTTGGGGAAATTTTAAGCGTGATAATGTGAGGAAGTAACAAAAATCACAAAATACTGATGGAGTTAAACAATTCAACAAACTAATTTTAACAATTTTTTGCGAAAAATTTGTGGATGTAAAATTAAATTATTATTCTTCTTTATGAGGCAAAAGAACTTTTCTTTAGACACAACTGAAGTAATGAAAAAATATACTATGATACTTAATGCGCAGGTTCGACACAACGTGAAAGACAATTTCTTTTGATATTCCGAATCATCGTGATAAGACATTTTTTATTACCAATCATTTCTTAAATAACAAAGCATTTATTTTGAATTCATTAACGAAATCACTCAATTCCCTAGATATGCTGAAAGAATTCATCAGATTTTCGTACGAATCCTTTTCATGTATATTCAATGCATAATAATAATGAAGCATGCACGCGATTACAATATCGTATTGATACAGCATGTCACAAATAGCTTCGAGATACTCTGATGGCTGCTTATACTTGATTGTTCCTTTAATTTCAAAATTTGTTGTAGGATTCCAATCAACCTGATCTGATTGTTGCTGTAAAGTGTTGTTCATTAGAGGAAGCGTGTCATATTTATCCTTAATCTTGGTTCTGTGAAAGATAACATTTTACGACATGGATGATAGGAATACACTTGATTTACTTACAGTGATCGATAGATTTTCGATGACTGATCATGAATTGTAGCTATCAGTTCTTCCAGTAACTCTTCTCTTGGTACGATTGGAAATTCTAAGGGTGGACCACTATAATTCAAAACATTAGAATTTTTGGTACTGACAACACATTAATCATGCACTAACCTTGTTAAAATATTGTAACGAGTGACATTATTAAACAACTTCTTAGCTAGCATTCTTTGCGCTTCAATAAATTCCGTAAAATCCTTATTAAATTCAACAATTTTCTTCATTACATTTTTTGCCATATCTACAAGCGCTTCTGTTCCATTTTCATCACAGTCTGGGAGATTTGAGGGTCCTGCTTCCATTGTGTTAATTACTTTATTCTATCTACTTAATTCCACTTAAAATTTTTAATAATAACAAAAATCACATTGACTTTAATCAATTGTTTATCTTTCAAAGCTTGATTAAATTGACTGTAACAGCTTCTTTTATGAATTAAACTATACTCTAAATTATAAAAAGAATTGATCCTTTACTTTAAAATGCTAAGAATCTACTTTAATTAATAGAAAACTGAAATTTTGTGAAAGAATTGGTTTAAGGGGGAAAATAGCTTGAAATAAAAATTGTAAGGCAAGAACGTCCATGAAAAAAGTATAGAATCGATTGCTTGCCTTGCTGAAAGGGCTCTGATACGTGTATATAAATATAAAAAATTTTAAAATTAAAATGAAATTATTGTATTTCTCGCTATTTGTGTCATTAATTGACTTTATTAATTCAGTAGAATTAACGTTTGAACTGCCTGATAATGATAAACAGTGCTATTATCAAGAGATAGAGAATAATAGATCAGCAATCCTTGAATACCAGGCAAGAATTCAATTTCCTGAAGAAAAAAGATCCAGTTGATGACGAGGAATTAAGCAATAAATTAATTTTACGTCTAATTATAGGTAATTACTGGTGGACAATATGATGTAGATGTGGAACTTTTGTCACCGACTAAGGAAATTCTTTATAAACAGATAAAAAGTCAGTTCGATAGTCATCAATTTACAGCCACAGTAAGTTGTATATCAATAACATCCATTCATGTCATTTCTTATCAAATTACAATTGTCTATTTACAGCAAAGTGGAGTTTATTCAGCGTGCTTTAGCAATGAATTTTCAACGTTTTCACATAAGCTAGTTTATATGGATTTCAGCTTATCAGATTCCGAAAATCCTTTACCGGTAAAATTATCTGATTATCCAATAATCGATAATATTAATGACATTAAACAATTTATAGGGAACAGAAGAACATGCAACTGTGTTGACACAAATGGAATCGACAGCTCAAGAAATTCACAAGAGTCTCAATGCAATTCTTGATTATCAGACGCATCACAGACTGCGAGAGGCTCAAGGTAGAAAGCGAGCAGAAGATCTCAATGAACGCGTTTTATGGTTTAGTTTAATAGAAACATCTGCAGTTCTTGTAATTGCTATTACTACCGTAATCGTATTAAGGTCGTTCTTTACTGAAAAGAGACCTAGTCATGTGCATTCTAATATACGCTATCAAGGATTCAAATGAGATGTGCTTAAAACAAAATTTAGTCTTTTGAACTTTCATCCATTTCAAAAAAATTTTATAGTATATCCACTTAACATGATTTTCATGAGAACTTGCTTTTCGGAATATGGCAAAAATTGCAAACACGATTATTTTTTTGTGTTATAAACTTTGTTCTTTACCTTATAATCTATTAATAAAGAAAAACTGATTGGAAAATGAAATCCTAGATAGTCTTGCTGATATTGATTTATTGCTGTAACTGCTTAAAACTCGAAATAAAACATTTGTATGGTTTAGATAAAATTCAAACATATTTTTACTGGTTTTTTGCAAACTTTATTAATTACTAATTCCTTACATCGAGTTCCAGTCAACTTTAGTCTCTGTCCCAAAATCATTGAGTATGAAAAATATGAGAATAAATAATTTTGTGTATGAAAAAAATTATTAATACCACTTTTAATACGAAAATTGATCATTATTAGAAAAGTACGAGTAATGCGAAAATAATATAAGTTAATGCGCAAGGATAAGCGATTAAATATCTTTGGTTTGGATCACCAGTCATTAAACAAAAGATTCTCGAAGAAGCAGCAGTGCTCATAATCACAGCACCGCCAGCAAGTATCACACCTGTTTTGTTATTTAATGATGTAAATATCCCTAAAAAGCCAAGTCCAACGAGAGGCAAAATACTGTAGCCCAAAATAGAAGCAACACTTACTACCGTTATATAACTTTGGGATTGAGTTATTGTTGTACACATGAGTTGAAGCAGAACGTACATTAAAATCACTGTTATTATGGACAGTCCATAGACATAACCGAATATATCTTTTCGTGTGTCTGATAGAAATAAGCAAAATGCTAATGCAAGATAATAAGCTATAGGTCCAGCGAGATCATTCTCCTTAAATAAGTAATCAGCTTCATCTGTAAGTCCTTTTGTATGAAATGGATTAAGCACAGCCATTGATTTCTCTATTATTCGAGCTGGATAAATTTCTAGTTCCTCTAATAAAGGCGGTTCACCCTCAAATTCATTTGCTGGATGATCTTTAAAATTGTAATTTTCTTGTGATTCGAATGTTGGAGTAAAGATGTTTGGTTGATAAGATGACGGTGCTGGTGAATAAAATTCTGTTGGCGAATAAGCATATTCACTTCCACTGTATGGTGATGACTCAAAATTTTGAAATTCTAGAAAATCAAAGAAAATTAATCACTGGATCTGGAATTTTCCATAAATTGATTATATTTTTCCATAAATTGCCTCATCTTACCAAGATTCTGCTGATAATCAACGAAATCGTAAGCAAATTGCTGGTCGTACTTTGACATTTTCAATTATTTTTAATTAAATCTAGAAGGAACACTTATAATTAAGTTGTTAACGAGGCTTCATAGAAAATGCTTTTAAATAATTCACTTTGTCTGCTGGTCTATAGAGCTGGATGTCAAGTGATTTAATTTCTTGATTTGCAAACTTTTTAAGTTTTGTAGTCAAGAAGATTAATATGGAATCAAAGTAGAATTTTTAAGGCTGTTTGTTTTAATATTCGACACTGGATGCGCTTACATGATAAAAAGTATCAACAAAGTACTGGATTACTTGTACTGTATTAAAGTCAGTTATGCTCATTTCGACACTTAACTTCCATACAGCATTTAAGTCCAATTATCGCTGAAAGTACGTAATGACACGTGGCTAATCCATAGCGGATTGATGTAATATAATCTATTTAACAGCTGCATCCTTAAGAAGTAATCAAGTTCATTCATAAAAGGTAATAAAATTGAAAGTGCATTGTTTCGCAAATAAGTTTCTATTGGACTAGATACATAAGGTTCGTTTTCTCACAGACATATTGTGGAATTTTGCAATTTACTGATTAACTGATAAGGTTCAGATAGTCGAAAAAGATGCATAGATCAAGGAATATTATGTGCTATAAATTGGAATAAAAACATTCAAGATCCAGTAAAATTACATCAAGAAATCAGAAAAAAATAGCAATTAAGTTGGTTCCTATGGACGTCAATGATGAGAAGCTCAGCTTAGAACGAAAAATACGAAAGAAAAATCTTGACAAGACTTAAATATTTTATTATAGTCTCAAATCGCTAGAAATGTCGTAAGAAGCGAGTGTAAAACACGCACAAGTGCTTCAATTATCGTTTTAGTTTATTTTGGTGTTGTTTAATGTGAATGGCGAGCAAGTGAAAATCGAAATCAAGTGAATCGTCATTTTTTTGCTTAAATTAATATAGGAATATATCTCTTGGTTCTGTTTGTTTGTTCAATTTCGCTGAAATCTCAGTTAATTGAAAGAGTAAAGCCAGAAAAAAATAGATATTCAAGCAAGTGATTCCATCAATTATTTTGATGATACAGCATAGAATAAAATAGAAATAAGAAATATCAAGGAATCAGAAAGAATTAAAATGTATTTAAAAAGAAGTATAAAAGTGCCACAATTAAAATTAAATAATTGTTTATATGCAATATATTTTATGTCTGCTTTCCTAACGATTGGTCAAGTGCGAAGTGATAGTAATAGTGAAAATTATGCCAATCACCTAAAGAAAATGCCTTTGGCAGGCTCGGGACATGGAGCCTCGAATAGTAATAATAATTTACAGAAACGTAGCTCGTATGCTGTAATAAGTCAAGCTATGTCTGAAACTATAAGTGACAATGAATTTAGTGGAAGTGAGTACTCGTACACATATGAATATAAATGTATTAATAAAATAAAGAAATTAAGGAGAAATGAATAATATAAAATGAGAAGAAGATGAAAGAATTTTTGTGAATCTGAAGCTGTATACGCGATTTATACACAAAAAAGTTGATGACGATTATAAAAATTCTCTTATGTACCGAGCTTCTTTTACATTACGAGCGTGCCTCTGTTGTTATTGTCGTCGTTATAGTATCAAATTCTCTGTTGTAAAACAAACTATCAAGCTTACAATAAATCTAAAAACAGGTGGTGACACTTTCATTTGAGATGTGCGAAACATTTCCGAGATTTCTCACAGCATTATCTCTGACAATGGATAACAATATCTATTTAATGTAAAAGTCACGACAAGCATTGATGCTTAACAAAGCTCATGTGGTAGACCGCAGACATAAATCTATTTTACCGGGTTAAAGGCATTCGAGAGAAAATTCTAGAATAGCAATTGATTGAGTCAACGCATCTCGCATCTACATGTCGCTATGGCTTCCAAAAAAGGCATTAAAGAGTCAATTGATCATCATTAAAGCTCTATAATTAAATCTGTTGTACCGAAAATAATTAACATACAGGCGTGAAAATATGCCGATAAATCAGACAGCATAAAAATCAGAGATAGGAGTTGAAGATTTAAAGCAAAAAATTGCTACAAATAGTTTCACTTAATTATTTTTAATTTTATTAATTGAATGGGTTTGTGTGGTTGTTGCTTCATTCATATTGTTACAAGACGTGTATAGAAATATAATAAAATAGCTTGATATACACACAAACTATCTCACACTGATGAGAGCCAAAGCAATTAATGAACGGTTAACGATGATAAATTTTTTTTTTTTTTTTGTTGTATTGAGGGAGGCAAGTAGTGATTCAATATGTAAACGGACGGCAAAATATTTTGTCTTCTTCGTTTCTCTCAAAATAATTTTCATCGCCTATCATCATCGTTAATATTTTATTTTATTTACGATGAAAATCATGTGGTCCTTCAACTATTGTGATCGTCATGATGAAATATTAATGACGCGATCTACGAATTGTATCGGGTTCAATTTTCTCTTTTATTTTGCGATGAAGATCGATTCTCAAGTATTATTAAAGTATGAAGTCAGTAATAAGGTGTGAAATTATCAATTGACTTGCTGTCAATGTCTGTATTTTTATTTATCAATCTTGTCTCACCTGGAATTTATCAGCAATTAAATTTGAAGAAGAAAATTCTTGTCGACTCCAATCAGACAATGTCAAAAATAAAGGCTTACGAATTTCCTCAATTTTTCTAGACAACAAAAAACCTAGAACGCCCCTACCCCAGAAGATTACAATAATAAGTTTAGGCTGTGGACAATGAGTAGCAATTAAAAATGTTTCGGATGATTAAATAAAGTACCTAATTTAGAGTAATCTAATAATTGAAGCAAATTTATTCGAGGATTATAATTAAGTTGTTGATTATTCTTAATGATATTCCTGCTCACTCGAAGCGATAATTCCACGAATTATTGTTTCTAGACAGAGTTTTCAGAGGCATTAAATTATATTTCTCAAGCTTCTAAACTTGTGACTGAATTTCCCAAATATAACTTCAACAAATCATTTTCTTGTAATCATAAACAGAAGACGTGTTAAATTTTGCTCAATTGTTGACTTAGCACTATTGAATGTTAAATCTTTTGCTTAATTCCTGGAAAGCCTTTTGACTCAAAAGAATTGTTTTGAAAGTTTTTCCTTGTATTTGTGTTGAGATCACGTGCCGTGCAACCTTATAAATCAATTCAATGCACACCAAGTACATTCAAACATCCCAATAAATTGTGCTTACTCAATTACTCAGCAAATATTATGTCTGACGGATGCGAAATTAATTCCAAAATAATTAGACATGAGAAAAATTTTCACTTTCATCTGAAAAGATTAAATTTATTCTTATTCAAACAGTTTTTCAACGCATGTTTATATGCGGAAAGGACATAAAATGAACTTGAAATAACGTTTTTTATTTCCACATAAATGTGAAGAGAATTGAAACTGTTTTTATTTTATTTTAATGATTTTTCTGCTAATGAATAGGCATTTGTTGCTTACATTTTGTCTTTCTGTACTGTAAATCTTAAATTTTTTAATGACATTGATATTTTTAATGCTTAAACACATCCCACGAACTTGGATTAAATCCTAGATTACACCTCGATTCAGAGCTTAAAAATTGAACTGTATAGACCTTAAGATCTATAGCCTCGTTACAAGATGGTTAATAATAGTTCAACGAGTGGAGATATTAAAACCTAGATTTACTGTTCATACTGGGATCCGAACCACTTCTTGATGTCATTGCTTCCTCTAGTAAGATTAAGAGCTTCATTTCCATTACATATGATTCGTCATACAACTAAGCTTAGGAAATAAGAAAATCCTGTAGACTACAGAAATTTGATTCCAACAGAACAAAATATGCGCTTAAAAGCCGCACCATGTAATTCGAGTACATTTCTGTCTATACCACTACTCAGTGTCTCTTCATGTGGTTCATTTTACAACGTTAACCTTGTACATTATTTTTATCGGCAAAAGAAATGAGTTAGTAACTAGCGAACATGTGTAGTTTTAGTATTTTAAAAATGTTTTTTTTTTGATTTGTCAATTCTTTTATTGCGAAAACAATTTGTTGGCAGATGCTCTGCAAAACTTTAATTTCAAGAATCTCAGACTAAATATCAATAATTCATTACAATAGCTGCAATGTAACCTGTTATTTCCTATCACGGAAGATATTGAGAGTAGGAAAAATTGCAAAGTGCAATTACATTTGTATAAGTGTTTTGTCGTATGTGAAGGGCATGTAGATTAGTCAGGTTGAAAACGTAAATAATAAAAACACAATGCAATCAGAACTATTACAAATTCATGGGAAGTTCAGTCAAGTTTTGAACTTTCTAATTGAAATAATTTTTTTGAAAGGGGCTAATAATGAGCAGTCGTAGGAAAATCTTCTAATAAGTAGTCGTTGCTGTAAATTTATTCAAGCCGGAATTAAAGTGTGTTTTACAATTTTTTTGCTACTTTTTATCTTATCTTAATTGTTAATATTTCTCCTTTTTTGTTATGTAAATAAAGGCACGCTTCTGATGAAGTACCTTATCTCTTGTTTTATCATAGATAAATATTGTTGCTTTCATTATTATGCAAACTTGTTATTATCGCAGCTAAATCCCGTTATTCGGTCATTACTTTCTGTATGAACAAGCTTGTTCTGTTGTTAAACATTTTGCTCGCTGAAACTGTAATTTAGAATAGCCGAAAGTCAGAAAATGTTAACTTTATTGACTCTAAAATTTGCTTCTTTTAAACATCCAACAAAAAGTTGCCGGTTAGTCAATGACAAGTATCTCATATTGTTTAAGGCATAACATTTTATTTTACATATTAAAATACTCGCGTATTTCAGATCTATGACATATTCATTAGATTAAAAAAATAATGTTGCAAATACTCGTCATTGTTTGTGTGCCAAAGTACGCAAATGGACCACGTCATATTTTTTTCCGTAGATGACCTTGAAATAATTTGAAAAGCCTCTGAGTGCTGTACAAATAAAATGTTAATCAAAAAAAAAAAATCACAGAAAATAATGCTATTATTAAGCACCAATCAATTGTTGGAGTTGATCAAGATAAATCAATCAAATATACCGTGCATATTGCACATGTGCCTTATGATTCAGAAAACAAATTGATAGCAGAAATTTCTAGATGAATTTTTGATTAATGTTTTAATTTGTACGACTCGATATCAATTAGTGGCCGTGCGATGGTTCTAGAAATGCAAATAATAAGAAGTCTGTGAATTAGGTCATTATGAGATTATCTTGAAAAATAAATTTAAACTTCTGAGCATCCTTGGTTACCGTGAAATGGTTAGTGCTAATTAGATAAATCAATACGTAAAACTTAAAACATTCGTGAGACTCTTAAAATATTGATTAAACATTACTTGGTATTAAGACATGATTAGAAGCTTAAGTTTGTCTTTGAAATTTAAATCCAATAGTTTTAGGATAGATTTTATGAATTTAGATCAATCGCTGATTCAGACTTAAATTTTGAATAATTAAGATCAGTTCTGGTATTATTACTACTAGCTTATTCCAACGATTAAGCCTCCTTATTCTGAAATTAGAATCAAATTATAAACAATCAACTTATGTGATACTAAAATCGATGCTATAACTTCTTCTTTATTGTTATTAAAATATAAGTTTTCATCATCTGACAATGTTTTCCTTTTGTTCCTTTAGTTCGATGTTATAAATTTTGTATCTATATTTTTCAAAATTGTGAATTAAACATTCATGTACCATAAAATGAGTGGAACAAAAAATGTTATTAATAATAATTAAATGCATTTAATTTAATTTGACTTCCTTATTTAGGGGATTAATGTTAGAGATTATCATAAAGATAGAAATTCTTATGCCAATCAAACATTTACAGTCACTCTAATATCCAAAAAATTTAATTTCTCTATAATTTCATGTCCGTTTACATATTGAGCTTTTCATGATTATCGTCAAAAGTTTTATTTATTAAAATATCTACGCATCCCATTACAAATCTGCTGATGCACATAAATTTTCCTCGCTCTAATTCGATTTGACAAAAAAAAATATTAAATTACGTCCAAAAACTCATACACTAATTAAAATTTTATCACTTGAAATACTTTCACATTATTATTTTTAACAAATACATTATAAAGTAAGTTTAGTGTCGAACAGAAAGTATGAATTTATGACTCATGTTATTTTTTTGAAATAATAAGAAAAGAAGAGGTTTTGAGATGATTCTCATAACTTAAATAATGCATTATTAATTGATTAGATAGATTTTAAGTAAAATGTTTCGTGAAAAATATTGGGTTTGACCTCTTTTTTGACATGAAAATGAATTGTCTCTCGTTGTGTTAATTTAAGCAGTTAAAAGAGCTTTAATTTCAGCCTTCTCGGCTGCATCCAAGTATGAAGTTCCATCTGGTGTTTGTCCAGTTTTCAGTGCACCCTTAAAAGAAATTAAATGAATATGCAATTAGTTTCGTATCTACACTGTTCTTATAAATAGCAGTGAAACTCAACGGCAATTAGTCACCAAAAAGGAATGTCCTTGACCATTATCAAGGCAATAATAACGATATTTTATGGATTTTCTTTGTAGCAACTCATTCGTAGAGAATAAAAAACTTATTTAATATACTTACACTGCTGAGCAAAAGTTTCACACAATTAGTATGACCTTCCCAAATAGCGGCAAGAATCGCAGTAATACCATGTTTGTCAAGTGCCTACAATCAATTCAGAATTTAATACTTTTTGACATGGAAAGTAGTTTTTGAATAAAATAACTTACATTTACGTCTGCTCCTTTTGAAATGAGGTAGTTGACTACTTCCGTTTGTCCATAATCAGCAGCATAATGCAATAAAGTTCGTCCATTTATGTCTTGATTGATTGCAAAGTTCTAGAAAATAAAAAATTTCACAATTATAACACACAAGATCAAAGAAAGTCGGCATAAATAGGTTACCTGCGATTCAATTGCTGCCTTTAAATCATCAAGCTCACCGTTTTTCACCTATATTTATGATGTACCGTAAAGATAAGAAATTTTCTCATTGGAAGTGATTGAAAAAATTGTACTTACTGTCCAAATCAGATTTTCAGTCATTTTTACTTGATACTTGATGAAATCTTCAATGCAATTATTCACTTTGGCACGTTCGTATGTGAAATGATTAGGATGCAATTAGGAAAAACTGTTATGTCGGTTAATTACAGCTAAAGAAACAAAAGATGAATTTTCTTTTATTTTTTCTTCTCTACAAATGTGTCGGTTTTCGTATTTTACAGCTGAATACAGCTCGCTGAATACCAATAGGGTAAACCATGTTGAAATTTGTGTGTTTTTGCACATGACGATTTGATTTGCATGTAACTTTTTAATGGCTGATTATGAAAATCTGATTACCCTGTTTTTTCGTTATAAGCTAGTAGCTTAGAAGAATAAAAAAAACGATTTTTTTGGCTCACTAGTAGCTTAGTAAAGAAATTGAACTTCAATGAAAATTTTGAATTTTTTAACTTAATAAAAGAAATTTTGCTATCTTCTCGATTTTATTTCATTGAAAATGTCATAAGGCATTGAAACTGATACTTAGAAAGTTGAAAAAGATTAATTATACTTTATGTTTGGTAGTAGCTTAGTAAAGATTACAAAAAAATTTCAAGTTCAAAAAAACTTTACTAAGCTAGTAGCTTAGTAACGAGTAGTAGCTTATAACGAAAAAACAGGGTATAAGCTTAAAAGATCACCATTTGTGGGAGTTTTCATTTTACATTATGTTATGAAAGATATGCTGCTTATTGGAAGAGAATTTTGACATTTTTGGTCAAATGTTGAAATTTGTGCGAAAAAATGTTGAAATTTCTGCACTTTTTTGATAGCAAACTTTGAAATAATTTCAATTGTCAAATGTAAACAAACATTTTGTTTACAATTTTTTGGAACTTAAATCGCGATTTGTGGTAAGGAAAATAATAAAATTATTTTTAAATTTCATACAGATAGATAGTAAAGTGTATAGATAAAAGTTAAAATAAAACAATACCTTAAAAATTTGGTAAAATTATGTTTTTTAAAAATTATCTTGAATTGAAATAAAAAGAGGATATATATATAAATGCTTTGGGGAGATTAATAATTTTTTTGAAGGTTTCGAAGTTTTTCATAATATTTTCTACAGTTTTGAACAAGACGCATTTTTTTAACTTTTGGTTTTTAACTTTGAGGAGTTCTAATCATGTTATTTCTCATTTGTACCTCTTAAAACATGAATTTCATACATAAATAATATTTATTGTTGACAAAATGTGTCATTGCTTGCTACGATGAAAAACGCACAAAGTTTAACATTTGTCAAAATATTTTACACAAATTTCAACATTTGAATACCTGTGATTTTAAAATCAATTTTTAGAGCACTTCCAATAGTGTTTTATGACCAGAAACATTTTTAAACGATTAAACAATATTCAAATTCGATATTTCATTACTTTTATGCTAATTAGAAGCACTTGTTTTGTCCAAAAATTTTAAAAGATAAAAATTTAAATTTTGTATGGGGTTTTGATTTTTTCAAATTTAGAGCTAAGGTTTCAAGACCATCTCAAATGAGGTAGAAACATTTGGACATCTATTTTACATAGAACTGCATACAAATGTTCAGTATAAATGGCTTATTAATGATGATTTGAATTTAATTTGAACGCACAAATTTCAACATGGTTTACCCTACCTACATATGTAATTTTTAATTTAAATTATTTCTGACTGTTATTTTTATAACCGATTTTCTTATTCCACTCACACATTTCAATGTATCATAAAATTATTCATTATTTAATAGGTGCAGCTTCCGGTTCATGTGCTGTAGATGATTTTGATTGTACGAGCGACAGTGATTATATGGGGTTGGAAGCAATTCGTTCACTACATAGGCAGCTTGATGACGATGACAACGGTGACATTGATTTATCTGAGTCAGATGATGTATGTTATGACTCAAAAATTACACAATTTCAGTAAATTTGAGCCATTTTATTATATTTCAGTTCCTTCGAGAAGAATTAAAATACGAAGGGGGATACGAAAAACGACATAAAGCGTTTCACTTTAATGACGACATGCATATATCAGTAAAAGAGTTGTGGGAGGCTTGGCTCAAGTCAGAAGTACACAATTGGACGCTTGATCAAACTTGCGAATGGCTTATTCAAAGCGTACAACTTCCACAATATGTTACATTATTTAAGAAACATAAAGTCAGTGGAAAAGTTCTTCCACGACTCGCCGTTAATAATTTTCATTTTGTTAGCAATGTCTTAGGAATTAAGGACCCCATTCATAAACAAAAAATAGGACTTAAAGCAATGGATGCTGTTCTTTTTGGACCACCGAGAGGTAATATTTCGAGCACAAATTTAATTAAATATATAAATTTAATTGAATTATTTTAGAGACTGGAACGAAATGGAAGGACATAGTTTTAGTAGCACTTTTATTGACAGCAATTATTGGCAGCTGGTATGCTTATCAACAAAATAAGAATGCTAAAGGACATTTGAAGAGAATGATTCGTGACATGGAACAATTGCATAAAGCAGAGAAGGAACTCTCAAAAATGCAAACAGAGCTAGAACATGCTCGTATCGAGCAAGAAAATGTCGGTAAGGAGAAAATGGATCTTGAGAGGAGACTAAAAGAAGCACCACTTAAAAATTCCAATTCTGAAATGGAGTTACAGCAGTTAAAACAAGAAATTGAACTTTTAAGGAATGAACTATCAAGAGCTGAAGTAGAACTTATTGATCATCATTGGACTCCACCGCCTCCATTACAGAGCTGGCTTCAATTAACATATGAACTTGAGACGAAGAATCATCAAAAGAAACGTGTTTCAGCAGAAAATCAACTTATGCAAGCTCGTGAAGCATGCGAAAAATTGAGGAAAAAGAGATCGAGTTTTGTCGGTGCATTTGTTTCAACGCATGGCAGGAGGCAAGAATTACTTACTTTTTTGCATGCATAAAAATTATTTTTCTAGACTTACTCATTTCCTTCATTCTGAATAATTGAATGATTTAAACTTTGAACCTCTTGTCTTAATGAATGACTAGATGACCTCAATAATTAAATTTTATATATTTTTACGTAGCATCGACGACGTTGATAGAGCAATTGTAGAAGCACGAAACTCACTTAGTGAAGTAACGAATGAACTCCAAGAGAGACTACACCGTTGGAAGCAGATTGAGACAATTTTGGGATGTAATATTGTAAATAATAACGGAATAGCATATTTAGAAAATATGTTATATCGATCAAATGGCACATCTAGTAAATCATCAAGAGGTATAACATGAAGTTTATGTTACAAATATGTTAATTTAACGATTTGCCTTTAATTGACAAACCAGGACGTATCTCGAGTAGTCAAGATGATCTAGACGATGATTCAATTCAAGGTAAGAGCATCCAGTTCGATAACTTTTCCGTGTTTTCATCAGAATGAAAAGAAAGAAAGATTATTATTAATAATATTTGATTCGTTTTGTCTCATTTGACATTAAAAAAAGATTTTTGTACATTTATATGTTAATTGCCCCCAATATACATACAAATTTATAAGAAAAACTGCTAAATTTGACCTTCAAGTTTTTGATAAATAATGAAAATTTATTGTTCCCAATTAATGAAATGTTTTATATTGCATAAGCTACACTTATTGATTATTAAATCCAATAATTTCGAACAATAATAATCTGTAAAAAATTTGTAATGTGGAATGTTTAATTGAACGTTTACAACAATTTTTGTTTTTTTTTTCTCTCGTGAATGAAATTTTCTGTATTTTACTTAATTCACCTTCCAAAAAAAACATGAATATGAAAATCTTCCCAAACAAAAAAAGTTTTTAACAATTTCGACTAATCGAGCGCTGAGAAATTGCTTGATGATTCTAAAATTGTTCAATAATCAGGTTTTTCTCATCCCATTCGTTACTGTCTCTTAATATAATTTAATGACATGCGCTTGAACAAGTGAAAAGAAGCATAAATGTGTGTTTTAATCCCATTTTAATAAATCCCATCTCGAATGTTTGAATCTCTTTTTAAATAATAATTTTTGCACGACCGATCAGTGTGTTGCTCCTTAACTCTAATTTATAAATGAATCATAATTAACACCAACACAGGCATTAAAGAAGAACGTGTATTTTATGAAAATTAGGAGCTATTAACATATTATTTTGTTTGATGAGTTTTAAAACATTGAAAATGTGTTTGAAAATTGTAGTAAATATGCGTGATCAGAAGCTTCAAATAGTTAACTTGAAGCAATTTGACAAATTTGCCACTTTCAAGGTTAAGTTTTCAATTTAGTCATTACCTTTTGGACGTCGTACAAATGGTCAAAATTGAATGAATTCTTAAATGCAACAAATATCTTTTGAAATTCGAATCTTCTGGATTTTAACCTTAAATTAGAACTGTTTTCTAATTTTTTGTTTTACTTGAATAAAACTTTTATGTTTCAAACTTTAAAATAGAAAATTTAAAACTGAATTTGAAAGTTTTTTATTTCAAAATTGATTGATTCAAATAATCCTTCAATTTCAAATTATTCTTTGAATTAAAAGTTTTTCTATACACTCAAATTTTTCTTTGAATTTAAAGTTATTCTATAATTCAACTTGTATTACCTATTTAAATGGCCTGACAGATGTTATCTTTAAGAATTTATTTATCATTAACATAATTCAGGATAGTTTTCAAATTATAATCAATTTAATCTTTAATTATTTTCCTATTGAGGCTCAAAATCCTACAAAATCATTACTTTTTAAAATAGAATCATAAATTCTCAAGCACTTGTTAAACATCTTTTTAATTTAATAATCTTTAATGACACATTAAACTGATGAAAATGCATTTATAAAGATGATCTATACTGTAATCTTATATATCACCGAAAAAAAGAATTATAAAACTAGCTATTAGGAACAGTTTATAGCTCACTTTTGTACTTGAGAATATTTATTAATTTTCATCTTTTGCTCACAATTGGAATGTTGGAGTTTGGAAAAGTTTACTAGCTGACGACACTCCTTTTAAGCATCTTAAGAACAATTGCTCGTTAATCTTCCATTAATAATACTTAAGTAGCACCAATTTAAATTTAAGTGTCGGATGAAAAGTCCGAAGGATATTGATTTTTAAAATTGTGATATTGTCAACTTAAACTTTCCTACCGTACCCTTTTCAAAATTAATAAAACTTATAAATTATCCCTTGTTCTGGTCTGGATACCAACATCAAAGGGAAACAATTACTTTTGACTTGTGATTATAAAATTGTTTTTGTAGAATAAACCACAAAAATCGACTTTAAAAGACATCAACGCCTGGAAAGCTAGTAAATTTTTTCATATTCCAATCATTCCTCACATTTAACGAATAAATTCACTAAGACAAATCGGGTAGTAAAATTTTAGTTGATCATCATAAATTAGAACCTTTGTGGTAGTAATTAGCAAGTAGTTTATTATAATTTACGTTTTTTGTTACTGAAGCTTTTTCATTTTTTATAAAAATAATAATAAAACACAGAGCAATTAAATCATGCAATTTACCGTCTCTCGATCTTCAACGTTCGATTAGTCATGACCTTACCAAGCATGTCAGAAAACACGCCAATTTGTTTTTGGTGAAAATTCTTGTAAACGTTAATAATTAAAATAATTATTCGCTGCAAAAGTAAATAAGATTGAAACAAGGCGTACTTGAAAATGACATAGAAATGAACTTATTTTAATTCATAAGGTTTTTAATATTTTACTTGTTCTTATTATTACTTTAAATTTATTTTGTGATTACGTTTTCGTTTACACGGAATCGATAATTCTTCTTGGCTAATTTATAAACAAAAGAAGAACAACACCAATTCTTACTTAAAATTTATTTTTTACAATCGTAGCTGAAAAAAAATACTTAAAAAACAATAATTTATGATTTGATGACTAGTTTTTAGTTTGAATACAAAAATAAAAATGAATAAATAAAACAAAATTGATGATTAATCATAATAAAATGTTTAATTTCCTCTTATTTATCATGAACTCTCACTAGACAGCATAATCTTTGCATGATTTACTTGCTAGAAAAAGAAAAAAATATTTATTATTTTTATGAGAATGACGAAGTGTTACTCCACAAATTTTTCTTCTTTATTATGTATCCATATATTGTTTATTATTGGTGAGTACATACATTAATATAATTATGATTGTTATTAGTTTCATAATTTACATCTGTACGATAACATTGGAGCTTCAAACTGAAAAAATGATCACCATTATTACTGTTGTTAATAACTTCAGCCTACAAGTCTCAGATTATGTGCTAATATCTCTAAACTCTATAATATTCAATCTTTTTCTCAAGGATTCCTCACCGACGTCAAATATCTTCGAGATCGCGAAGAGTCTTCAAGCGACGATGACCATGATCGTGAATCTGTAACTTTTATTCTTGGTGGTACCTTTGATGAATCCCATACAAGTCCACTTGTATCTACTCCCGCAATTCAATCAGCCCTTATTGCCACACCCTCAAATTCACTTGTTCCAGTTACCTCTTCCGTAAATACAATTAATGTATTCAGGCAATCACTTGCTAATGTACCAATATTGGTGCATCAAGGAAATTCTGTTGAGAGGTAAAAAAAAATATTTTTAAGAACCTAGAACTGGTCACTAAGTAGCTCTGTATAAATTCTTAGTAATAGCACATCTAATGAAGAAACTCGTTCAAATGTGTCATCGAGTTCTGAAAGAACTGCTTTTCCACCACCACCTCCACGAGCAAAAAAGCAAACTTCATTACCGCCAATCTCATTGCAATCATCATCATCATCCGTATCAAATAGAGCTCCAATGCCTCCACCAAGAAAAAATTATCCAAATCAGAAGTAAGTTTCTTTTGTTTTTATTATTTTATTTTATTTTCTTTTAACATTTATTTAAAGATTAGTTCCTTTTGTAACTATTTATTTATTATTTCATTATGAGAGTATCACGTTATGTCATTTTAAAGTACATACATCCATGCAAAAATATATTTCACCATGTTATAACCCAAACTCTCAACCATTTTTTGTGTTCTTTGCAGACAAAAGCGTTAGAAATGAAGTTGATTAAAATTGAGATATTAAAATGTGTTCCGTGTCTTTTTACTTAAAGTAGAATATTTTTGTAAAACATTACTGAGTGGTACAAAATAGTGACTATCTTAATATCATTTCGCATTGAAATTCGTAAGACAATTATTTATGTATTTCATCTTTATCATTTGAACTAGTCATAGTAAATTGGGGTCTTAGTGAGATGATTCCTGATCAATCTCAAAAGACTTCAAAATGTTTTGTTATTGTTTTTCCGTAACTCCTAGCTACCTCTTGCGATGAATAAATTTGTGATAACAAGCATTATTAATCATTCACTTATGACTTACAATATTTAGAAGATGCATGGATCATCTGTGAATGATCTCCATTAGAATATTGCACTCATGTTCGAAATTAAAGCAATTAACAGTCAATTGCAAGAGAACTAATGCATTGGCTTTGATATTTCTATAGAATCTTACATCTTGCTCTATCTGTAAATATTTTACTTGTCTTTCCAATCCATCTACAGCATCATCCATAGTTCCAAATCCAGCAGCATCTTGGAGTCCATGGGATCCTCTGTTTCATCAACAGAAGCTTTCCTTGAAGCAGTCCGCAACTACAGTTCAATCTCCGATAACAAACTACCTTCAATCAATGATGACAACGTGTCCAACTCCTCCTCAGAAGACGTTACGAAGAAACGAAAGCGACGATTATTCCCGTTTGTCAAGAAGTCAAGTAAAAGCAAAACTAAAAGCTCATGAAAGTTCAAAAAGTCTCACTGACGAGCATCGATGTGAATTAGCAGAACATAAGTATTTTAGTAATAGCCTCAACTGTTTAGATACGAAAAATTTCTAGCTCAAGAAAATAAGAAGAATATATTGAAAAAATCTATCTCGTCCGTTCCTCTATTAACATATTTATTTATACCTTAATGACAAATGGTACTTATACATAAATTGTAATTAAATTAAGGAAACCTTAATGACATCACAAATATTTTTTAAATCTATTTTCTTGCATTTCAATGGAACTAATATGATTTTATATTCACTGGTTCTGGTTGCATCCTTTCTTACTGGTCGGTTCGCATTGAAATGCTTCCTAGTCATCAACATGTGATGACTATTTTAAAAATAATAGTTTATCCTAAGATTTAACTGATAATGATGACTGTTAATTTATAGTAGATCTTCCGAACTTCTTCAATGTGCACCGGTAATAATGAAACGTCTGTGCACATGAATCTAATTAATTAATGCGAAATTTGTGGGACTGATTAAGAAAAAAAAAATATTAAGAAATGTTGTTGAAATTTTGCGAAACCTAAATTCAATGGCATTTTAATGCTCTTCCCCAAAAAAAAATTATTTCAAATCTTTCGCTTTGAATTCGAATATTTTTAAATCTCAATAAAAGAATGATGAAAATCGAATCGTATTTACTCTTTTCTTTTTTGATATTATGAAACTCGATATAATGATCCTCTTTTGTCCAAAACTCGTATTACGATTTAATCCAATTATTAATATTTAAGCTTATTTATTTATTTTCTAATAAAGACGTGAGATGAGAAATTATGTGATTGATGATCCAATTTTTATTGAAAAGAAACTTTTTGACGAAATTTTTGAATTTTTATTTTGCAATAAATTTTTAATGTCATCATGTTGAAGATTAACATGTGTGTTGTATCTATGCATTGATACGACTTAAGAATATTATGAAGAACATAAGTGGATCATAAATTATATCTGTGAAGGTTAAGTTTATAATGTTCAATTAAAAAATTCTAGTACCAAACAAACCAATTCATGTTTATACCAATTAAAATCATTCAAGGGTATCTAGCCTCATCAAGTGCATAATCATATTATAAGTTATGCAAACAATCTTACTGTTGAGTTGGTAGAACAAATTATTGGTTTGAATACGACGGACTTTTGTGACTTCATGAAGCAATTAAGTCATCAAGCCTGAGTTTTCAACACCTTCCGTAATTTTTTTTTAAATACACTAGACAACAATGAGTCAGTCTTCTTGTATACACGTGCTGATGGAATTTTAAAGACTGATGAAGTTTTAAAATGTTTTGAGGGCGTGTAGCTTAATGATAAGAATGTCTGTTTTTGTTACAGCTACACACATGCTGTTTTTATTTTAAAAACAAATCTTCAGTACATGTTAGAAGTCATTAGAATTTTATAAACATCATAAACTTATTAACAAAGCAGAGATCATCAAATAATCTAGCAATATCAGTATCTTTAATGAAGATAAAAATTTTATTGTGATAAAAATGAAAAGAGGATGTGAATCATTGGCAACAAATATTAAAATAAAAATCTATAAAGTCAGAAGCGACCTTATTAATGTGAGGAAGTGTGGAAATAAATAAACTTAATGCTAAAATCTTTGAATTAAAGAAATTGTGGCATTAACAGCCACAAAAATTAAGTATAATCCCAATTTTAATGCTACCTAATAAGTTTAAATAGTCGATATTTAAAAAGACAACAACTAAGCAAAGTCAAGAGAATAAAATTTTTAAGCATTATGTTGAAAGACTTTAAGCATGATTATCGAAAGTATATCAAGTAATTTAAATTATTATTGATGATTGCGATAAGAAGATAGTTAATATTTAACAATAAAGTATACAAGAAAATTAATTGAGTTGAAAGAAAATGTGATTTTTCATGTCACTTCCATTTCCAGTTCGATGATTAGGACGTAAGTAGCTTGGCAGTAAGTATGACTAATGTTTTATGATAGATAAATCTTTGGCCAGTTTAGGGATCGTTTATTTCTGATGTTCATCAAATACAGGTTTGTTTAGAATTAAAGTTGAACTTATAAAGGCTAAAACATCCAGCTATTTATGGATATCACTTATGAATGATCCCATAAGACCCTCAAATAAATTTAACAATGTGTAATAATTTTTATGGCAAGTAATTCCCAAAAAATTGCGAATAATTTATAGCACCACTTAAATCATCACCTAAACTTGCCAATTCATAGCCAAATTGCATCAGATGTTCTGAGTAAAATTTGATTATAGGTGTTTAACAATTTTCATGAAAATAAGTCAGCAAGAAAGTGCTGGAAACAAAACAAAGCACAAAAAAATGTGTGTAAAATGCTACGGTTCGTTAATTAAGCGCTGTATGGATTTTTGATACAAACAGCACTTATAGAAACAAGTGACTAAACGACTACAATGCTCCCAACGATGGATTTAATAGAAAAGAAGAAACATACAAATTTGCTGGTAGGTACTGAGAGCGCGAAACAAATAAACTCAAAAAAAATAATAAATTTTCTATAATATTGTTCAGTCTGTGCTCTACAATTCTCGCGTTAACATCGCAAAACTTAAAAGCTCGCGCCTATAAATAATTGGCATTAAATATTTTGTGTACTTAAATTAAGAGTACCGTGAAAAGAATTGTAAATTAATTAAAGCATTTCCAGCTGATTCATTCAAAAAGAAATATGAATATTGTGATTAGTGCTCCCTGACTGCAGTGATTGTTTCAATTTACAAAAAAAAAATATTTCATGAGATTGTGTATGGTATATATACATTGTATAATTATATAAGCTTAAAATTTGTAGTCAATTTTGGCCCATCATAAAAGAAACACATAGAAAAAAATATTATTTTACACAATTCTGCGTATATACAATTTCCAGTTTTGTTGGATTTATTAATGAAAAAAAAAATTGCTTCATTTCTTTTCGGATCAGCTCAGCAAGTGCACGCGTTTCAAAATATTTGTAAACTATTGAAATTTGATTTTTGCATTCATAAAGAGTTATTGAACGAAGAAGAAAAAGTCTCAATTAATTAAGTGGTAAATGCTTGAGCACCAAGTAATTGCTTTACATTTTTAGTTTCTTCTGTGAATCTATTCTGATGCTTTATGGAAAAGAGAATGTGTGAATTAATTAATTCAATTGGTGTATAATTAATACAAACTATGTTGTAAATCATTCCTGCAGACAAACAACAAGTGAGAAAAAAGTGTAGCAAAGTGAGATATTGCAGAAGATTCCATAGCGAACATGAATGTACATGAAAGTGAAATCATAAGACAGAAATAATGCAAAAGTTTGTAATAAAGAAAATTACACGTTCTACAAACATTACAATAAGTGAAGAACAAAATTTACTTCAATGTTCCGATCAAGTTCAACAGTTAAAGCCAAAAAAACAGCTGCATTTAGACGATCAAAACCTTGAAAATCAGATATCTGTGAAAATGTGTGGATATTTGAAAAAGAAACGAAATGTAAGAAAAATGTTGGAAGTAACAAGCAATTATGGATCATTTTTGGATGATGTGCTTATCTGATTGTAATTTATTTCCGTTATTTATTTCTATGCACATGCTCTCTACTCAGCCACGAGTCTGTCAATATAATTTATAGTATCTTAGTATCTTAATCCCAAATGTGGTGAAATTCAAATTATTTAAACTACATTTGCCATTGTATTACATAAATTTTGCCATAGAAGAAGCACCACAACGCATATGAGGTCAAAATGACCATTCCATTCACAATTCATGCATTGTGGTGCATGAAATTTTTTCTCTCTTATTCGGTCATGATTTCTAGCTTTATGTCTCATGCTTTTAAATGACGAGATTCTTCTTTCCTTTCGCTGATGTAATTACTTGTGAATATGAAAATTTATATGTTGTCGCACAAGTGTATCATAAATTTAATGAACCGTGGACATGTGTTTTTTAATATTTTTTTTATGATGACAATCATGCTTCCTAGAAAGTTTATGCTTCATTAATAGAAACCATCATGTTTAATACAAGTTCAGTTTATTCGGAAGTTTCTTAAATTTAAGAATTAAATTTTTTATTGTTTATAGTGAGATCTTTGAGCAATCGAACCTAAATTTTGTTAGAATCAATAAGAAAACAAGATCTTATTGAGATTCAAAACAAACAAGCCTATTTTAAAAACCTACACAAAACTACGGATTATTAAAGAATAAAGGAAATTTACAACATAAAAGCTTCTTAAAAAGCATAAAGAATTTTTTTGAATGAAAAATTGTAAACTCATGGTAGTCAAAACATCCTATTCATATTAATCTTATTAAAAATTCAATTAACGATCGACATTCAATTAATAAATTAAGGTTTTTAAAAGCATCGAGTCATGAATCCAAAATCGATCCATTAATTTGCGAAAAATAAAATTAAAGATTTACGTAGATCATCGCAAAAATTCTTAATGGCTTAAGAAATTCGTGTGTTTCATGTTGAGTCTAATTGATTTGGATTATTTACACACCTTTTGTGCGTTTTAAGCAGTTTTGGTAAATATTTGCGATGATTAAGTACAATTAATCTGGTTATTTGAACGAAAATTTTCCCCATAAATCAATTATCATTGCTTATAAGACACACAACAGGTCATTATAATGTGGATCTAAATACTTCCAGTTTGGCGGATGGACAAAATTATTTTTCGTTCTTCAGAATAGTCTGCTGATGTCATATAATTCCAAAGAAGAATATGAGGAAAAATTGAAATCGTTCAAGGATGTGATATGCCTTATACCAGGAAATACAGTTTTGTTGCCATCACTTGAACCACGTTTTACAATAGCTTCAAATTTAAACACATTTTATATATTTGTAAGTTCTTTATGATTTATTAACTCAATTTATGATCTGTCGCTAACGATGAGTCACATTAGTATATTAAATTATGGTATCATTCTTAATGTTTAATGTAGCGATGCGATGATAATAAGACTTGCTCAAAGTGGATTACTGCAATTCTTGAATGCCTGTCACGGGATATTAATATGGAATTTACCGGAAAGAAATCATCAAATTTGGAAAAGAATTCTTATTCCCAACAATCACTATCGAATGGAAGCGGCAGTAGTAATCGATCAAAGTACTCAAAATTTTCAAATCACAGCTGGGAAAATCTTCAAGGTCCTTCGGGCAATGGCGTTAATTCAAATTGGATTGTGAATCATAATGGAAGAATTTTACTAGAATTAAATATGCTGAATTGTAATCGTGCTAAGTTGCCAATTGCCTCACAAACAGCTAAAATACTTAAGAATTGTACCGACAATGACGTCATTCAAACAACGAAACAAATAAACTTTATTAACAATGATGAGAATCATAATTTTATTCATCATAACGGCAATCATCATCATCAACACGAGTAAGTAGACGGTAACTTTTGATCAATTCTTCTTCGCTACAGATAAGAATTGTCGTGAAATGTTTTTAAGTGCATTTTTTATGGGAAAATTTGAAAAAGCGGCGATTCTTTATTTTTGAGGTATTTTTGAGGTTTTTGAGGTTTGAGGTTTGAAACTGATTTTCATCAAATCTATCTCGCCAAAATAGTATGTTCCTGACAAGTATTAAGAAATACAGCCTAAAAGATTCTCTGCTTGATGTACCTTCCCAAAAATATTTTCATCCAAAAACAGAACTATCACATTACTTCCAAAGAATTGCTCTTAAAAAATTGAATTAAATTAAACAAAAACATGATACAGTTTATAAATAGAACAAGAAGAAGAGAAGAGAAGCGACACAAAAAAATGTCTTTGAGAACACGCACATCCAACATCCATATGTGTCGAATATCTGTTAAACATTTTTTTTCTTCAACTTTTAAGTTCTATTTTTAAATCAATTTTCCTTTATGATTGCATGTAGAATGAATCTGGCACATGACACGCATCATCTTTTTGAAAAACCAGATCAATTTCGATTACACAACGATAGAAAGATTCAGTCGAGAGAGGTGAATCGTATCAGCAAGATGTTTCCATCAACAACAAAATTTTCATCGGAAAGTGAAAGTCAACGCCCGGAAAATTTGACGCAATCTAACGGAACTGTCAATGAAATTGGGTAAGTCGGTCTCTATTGTCATTTTAATTGCTCTTTTATTTATAAATTTTGCTGTAGAGAACTTTTGTTCTTCTCACTAATGCATCCCATTACTTCCATCACGATGAAAATAATGCGATAAAATGAGACTTTTTTACCTTTTTGTATGCTAATTTATTAACAACTGTGTTCCACATTTCCCAACTTTTTTTTCACAGAACTGAAGAACAAGAACAGACAATATCACTGGGTGAAGAATACTCAATGTTTACGACAGGAGATTATGCGAGCGTTGACTCGACACGTTTTAATAATAAATTGAATATTGAAGACACGTATAGTGAGATAGGCTCAAATAATCAAGACGGACATCATTATGTGATTAATGATAGTGTTTATGCCATACCTGTAAAAAGTAATAAATGGATAAAATCACATGAAAATGGTGATCTTCCTGAATATTCTGTTGTTAATCTGCATAAGAAATATGAAGAAAGACTAAAGAAAGGAAGGACGAGGGAACCAATTCGTGATGAATTGAAAGTTAATGACTTACTTAAGAATTTAAATATTTACGAGGACATTGAGATTGCCAGGAATAAGAATCATAATCATAATAGTAAGACCAAAATCAGTGATGAGACAAACATTTATGAATTGGTAAGGGCTCCATGAAAGTATTATTTAGAGTGTGTGTTTTTGTGAACTAACATCTTCCCACGTAACCAAAATCCCATAGATGGATGATACATGTATTACGCGAAAATATTCCATGTATAGTCCATGCGTATCATCCATGGATGATACATGGAACGATATTGTCCTAAGAAGATGGATGATATAATGGACGATTTTGGGGACGTTCCATGTATAGTACATTGATGTAATACATTTGTGCGATTTTGTGTACTTTACATGTTCAGTACATTGATGTAGTACATTTGTACTATTTTGTGTACTATGAATGGATTGAAACGCCTGAAATAAAATTGCTGGATTTTTATTAATTAATGCACATATTCATGATTAAAGTTTGAACTGATTTATGTCAAACTCTTTATTTATTAAAAATTAACATAATTTTAAACTTACAACATTAAAAAAAGCCGATTTACACATACAAAAAACTTATCACTGTAACTCAAAAAATAATTAATTTCCTGAAAAATCTTTACAAAATTATACCTAAAAATAGACAGAAAAGAAACAAGAAAGAATGATTAATATATTAGATGTTTAAAACATCGTAGAGATTTTACACTTTAAAAATTAATATTTTTTTCTCACCTTATTAATCGATGTTTTACTATATTCCCTATAATTACTCACTAGACAATATTTCTTGCTCCTTTTAATTCACGCATTTAAATTGTACATTTAATTTTCACTCCACAACAATTTTTAAAACACATTTTTCACATTGTAAACATATAACTTCAAAAACTAAAATGCAGCAAAAAATGTTTTTAATTGTCTGAATGACCAGAGTTTTAAAGTGCTACATAGATGTATTACTCATGGACTATACATGGATATTCCATGTATGTAATACATAAATGATACATAGTGTACTATTTTAGGGAAAGTACATAAATATTCCATATATGTCAATGGAAAATGTGTGGAATACTTTGGTTACGTGGGTTTGGAACTACTTTGTTGAATTTGCTGTTATTAATTCCAAAAATCCAACAAAAATAAATTTCTAAGAACTTTTTGTGTACCTAGACTAATTAATTTTGTGATATTTTGTTTGATTCCATACTAAAAAGCTGTAAAGAAATTATTGACGATAATAAAAATCTTTTCCTTCTCACTTCTTAATGTTCTTTACTTCCTCCTGTTTTTGCTGTGTTGTTTTATGTGCACAATTAGTTTGAATAAGATTTACGCAGCTGCAATTAGGAAGTTTTATGTTAATTTGCAGCAATATTTTTAAGCCTCACATTGTGTGTTTGTTTCTGTTGTGCCTAACAGTGTTTTTATTGCAGAATATGATCATATGCGCACATTGATGATTGCTTTAGCTGTTTACTGATTTTGATATTTTTGTTAGATAAGTTTTCTATTTTAAGCATATTTGGCCTATTTAGGAAATGATCTTATATGATTCACAGCACCTAAATTGAAGTTCACATGCATTTGATGCTAATGAGTTGTATTTGATGAATTGAAGTGCAAAATGTTGCTAATTCATGTAAATTTGTGTTGTCCAGTCACTTCTAATCACTTGTTGCATAATATTGTGTTACATTCCTAGACCATCAATTAATTATCTTGATTTATTACTAAAAGATTGATATCCCGCCTCTTAATCCATCAACGAGAAAGGCAAGAAGTCTAGTGTGGAAAAATCTGTCCCGTATCAACATTTTTGATTTTGCTAAAAGATTCAAAGATAATTCATCAAATGATTCATCACCAATGGCATCGACACATGTTGATTCTGAAACAATCAAGAAAAGACAAAAGCATTCATTAACATTTAATGCATTCAGTAAACATTTTAATTACCGCTCAATGAGAAATAAGGCAAGGAAAATGTATAGAAAAAGTAACTCAACTTCAGTAATTCCCGAGATTGTTTCGGCATCTTCAACGACTTCTTCTAGTTTTATGAGCTCTCAAAGAAATTGAATGAATAAAAAATTATTAAAATTTTAATTGCATTTTCGCACATTTTTTAATTCTATAATTATAAGACTAGCTCATTATCATCATTAGCTTCCATATAGACATGTTAAGATTTCCGGCAGAGCCAAGAACTACTTGCTTATAACTGATTAAGTAGTTGCATTTTCAAGGATATCTTTATAATATGCAATTGTTCAATTAATCGTCAGAATCTGATTAAAATCACTCGTGGGAACCAAATTTTTTATATAAAATCAAATGATTTAAAGATTTTAAAATTTATTTCAGTTACAAACTTGCAAGTGAATTATTCAGTATGAAATTGTTGCTTATTTCGTTTACTTTAATTATTTTTATGACTCACGTGAGTGCGCAAAATGAAAACGATGAAGATTCGGAAGATACAACAGGAGAACCACAGCCATACCATTATAAATATATAGTGCAAGATGAAGAAAAAGATCTCTATATTGAGAAAGAAGAGAAAAAAGATGAAAATCAAGAGGTTAAAGGATTTTATACCTATTTGATGCCAACGGGACGTATTATGAGAGTTGAATATGTTGCAGATAAGGAAAATGGATTTGTGCCCAAAATTTCATACGAAGATAGAAATCCTTTTGTGGACGCAGAAGAAAATGAAGTGTAGTAGTTGTGTTTTATTAAATTAGGAATTTTATAAATCATTCAAATTAATAATGTTTTTGAATTAAGTAGCTAGTGACTTTGCACAATTTTAATTTTATATCTATTGCTCTTAATGAAGGTTAAAAACTAAACTAGATTCGCTTAATCCAAAAATGTGCAGATTATTACAGTGATTAGGAATCTATAGTTAAGATCGTGCTTGCAATATAATTCAATGCTGCATTTGCTATAAAGTGATCAACCGTCAAACAAGAATCAAAAGTATTTTATCGACCTGAAGTTGGCTTAGGTTTTAAAAAACGAAAACATTGTATTTACCTATAATGTTGCTATAAAAATTATTAAAATGTTAAAAATAATTTTAAGAAACAATTTCTCATCGAATTCTCTGGTTTTGGTGAAGAGATTGGCATCAACCATATCTAAACCTGAAATATCAAATGCTGTATATTGTGCAAGTAGTGTAAAGTAAGTGAATCAAGTGATATTTTTATTAAAATTTCAATAATTAATAATTTGCTATTTTAAGGAAATTCGATTTTGAAAATTTCTTATGTACACTCCTAATTAAGGATGAAGCATCAAGAAGAAACGCATTCGCATTAAGAGCATTTAATGTAGAATTAGCGAGAATACCAACAATCGTTTCTGATAATAAGATAGCATTGATGCGATTAAAGTTTTGGGAAGATGCTGTAACAAAATTATTTGACAAAAAATGTCAATCTTTGCCAAAACATCCAGTTGTTGAAGAATTAGGATTAGTTTTAAAAGAATCAAAAATGACTAAAAGATATTTTGAACGATTAGTAAATGCAAGGAAGATAGCAAACTTAAATTTTATAAGTATGAAGCAAATGGAACAGTATGCTGAAGATACAGTTAGTTCAATTAATTATTTAATACTAGAAACTCTTAATTGTAAAAACGTTAATGCTGATCATGCAGCATCACATCTTGGAAAGGCTCAAGGAATATCAAATCTGTTAAGATCAGTTTATCACCAAAAGAATCCACAGCATCTACCGATTCCACAAGAACTGCTCATTAGACATGGAATTTCACAAGAACGATTTTTTAGGAATAAAGAAAATGATAAAGCAGTCGAGGATGTTGTTTTTGATATTGCAACATTAGCAAATCAGCACCTCGAAAAATCAATTAAATTAATATCTAAAATTCCCAAAGAAGGTAAAATGGCATTTTTACCTTTAATATCCACAAAACGATTTCTTGAAAAGCTACAAAAAGTTAATTTCAATTTAAATGACAAAAAATTAAGCAGAAGGGATAGTTTACTTCCACTTGTACTTTATTGGAATAAAATAAAAGGTCTGTGATCTTTTTAATAGAAATTAGGCCAAAATTTTTACAATTTAGCATGAGTCTCACAAAATTCTTTTAAACGCCTGCATGATTCTTTAATCATACCATCAGTTACAGTTAAAACGATTCGCATAAACCCTGGATAGTTAAAACAAGGATGTCCTGGAAAAACCAGCACACTCTGCTCTCTGATTAACTGTTGTGTGAATTCAAGGCACGATTGGAATTCAGGAAATTTATCAAGTTCAATTTGAATCATCATGTACATTGATCCTCTTGGTTTGATGGGTTTCAATCCAGGAATTTTGCTTAATAGTTCATATGCAAGATCAGCGTTGTACTGAAAAATAAAGAGGTATTAAAGGAATCAATGATGTAAAGTTTTAATACTTACAGAAATCTTCATCATTTTGTTAACGAAGAATCTTTGTGGAGTGTTTTGTAAAATATCAGGAAGCGCATATTGAACAGTTGAATTTGGTCCCAAAATGCGTGCGCTCACATTTCTCAATCCTTGCTTGACTTCATCCAAGACACCATTTCTATCATGCACTATAATCCATCCCATTCGAATTCCGGGAACTAGAAATCTTTTCGACAGTCCAGAACATGTCAAAACTGGAACATTTTTAGACAGTGAACTTATCGAATGATATTCAATTCCAGGAAACACAAAATGTTCGTAAATTTCATCAGCTACGATTGGTAATTGACGGCGTTCTGCAAGTGCGATTATTTCTAGAATATGTTCTTTGCTAAAGCAGTTTCCACATGGATTTCCTGGATTATTTATGATGATTGCACGAGTTTTATCATCAATCAAGCTTTCCATTTGAACTAAATCAATGTCCCATGACTTTTCAGGATCCAAGTTATAAGCTTTAGTTTCAATTTTCATTCCATCAATCCAAGTTTTGTAATTATAACTAGGTCTTGGTATCAAAACATTCTCACCGGGTTGAACAAGAGTCAACACAGTCATTTCTAAAGCATGAGAGCATCCACTTGACAGAATGACGTCATCAGGTGAAATTTCACCTTGATGCTTAGAATATTCAGCAACAGCTTGGCGAGCCTCAAATTTACCATAACTTATATTGTAAGGAAATTTGTCATGTACAACAGCATTACTGAGAGCACTAATAAGAGCAACAGGTGGAGGGAAGTTTCCTAAATAAAAATTTGGAAAGAGAGACTTTAAAATTTTACGAGATTAATCTTTGCCCTCTATTACCAAAAATTGTTGGGTCACCAAGTTGCAGTGTAATTGATCTTTTAGCAGGATTTGGATCAATTTTCTGTTCCTGAGTGATTTTTCTGAGTGGATTGATACTCAATCTAGCATAATCTGATATTTTAATTTTTCCAAAATTTCGAGCCATCTTTAACGAGCTAAACGTGTCTACACAGAATGAAATTCGGTTTCAAACTAACCATTGATAAGCCATCTCATCCAACTGAGTGTCTCAATTCTAAATTTACTCAATTGAGATAACAATATGTAAATAAATACACTTATTGTTCACTAAAGTTTCATGTTTCCTTTTATTGATTGCCTTTAAGAAATTTACTCTGTCAACAGATGTTGTCATTATTCAATGTCAATTTAAAATAACTGGCATATAATCTTAACTTCATCCCTACCTCAAGAACCGTGTGAAGCTAATGATTCAGGGTCCAGGGTCAGTGGGGGTTTCTTGAGGAGGGACTTTTCTCTAAAAACATGCTCCAAGGATTCCTTTACTTAAATCCTTATTATTCCAGTGCCATTCCCAGATAGTTTGACATTGGTGTGCGTATCGACTATATTGTACTGTTTAGTAAGGTACGTAAAATGACTACTTGAAAATATTTACATAGGAACATGAGAGCATGATTCTCACAACGTTTTATAGCTTTTTATCGTTCTTTCTCTCAGTTCACTCTCACTTGATCGCTGATTCATGATCCCCTCACATAAAGTTGTTTTTGTTTACGCAGAAGTAGGAAATTTATGAGAGAAAGTTGACCCAATTACGATACTAAATTTAAAGTGTCAAGTTTTGGGAACAATAAATTGATTTATCTTCTTTTTATTAGCATGCAATGATATTGAGGTTTGCGCCTTACATGTATGCCACTAATTATAATTCCCTATGTGTGCATGTACTAGTATGTTTTAGAATTAATTGAGCAGTTTACTCACATTCTCATTTTCTTTCTCAAACACAAAATTCAGTCAACTTTGAGCACTTGAAGAAACAAGAGATACTAAACATTGTTTCATAAAATGCAGAACTTAAAGCCGATACTGGCTTACGTCAATCCAGTTTATTGTTATTATGTTATATTTTACTACGTGAGTATATTCCTGGCACCTGTTCTAGGAATTGAGAGTGTTTGGCAAGTTTGTTGGAATACAATTAGAGAATGTCTCGGAGATGACATTGATGTGTACACTGTCTGGTTCATGAACATTTATACTATAGCAATTTATTGGATTTTTGGACTTGCGATTATCGCAATGGAAAAATTTGAAATACCGAAAAATTTTAAGAGCTATCAAATTCGAACAAAACCTAGTGAAATAGAGCAAGGCGATAATTATTACAAAGTGAGTAATTAGGGGTAAACAACATGATTGGAAAATTAAGGCAAATTATCAATTGAGTTGGAAAGTTGATTTGAAATTGTTATCATGGTGCAAAATTTGTGGTGATAAAAATCTTTTTCCATCGTGTTGTTTCCCCCGTCAGTTATTTATAAATAGTCACATCTTTTTAAAAACTGTTTTAATCTCCAAAATTTCAGGTCACTAGAGATGTTTTGCGAAATCAATTGCTAGCATTTGCTGTTTCAGTTCTTATTAACAAATTTGACAAAAATTCACTCGGATTGAAAATTACACCGGAAGTTCCTAGCTTTTATATTACCATGCGAGACTTAATGATATGCTTACTACTCCAAGAAACTTTATTTTATTATTGTCATCGAACACTTCACCATAGAAAATTCTACTGGCTTCATAAAAAACATCATGAATTCACATCACCAGCTTCAATAACTGCAGAATATTGTGGAGTGACGGAGCATTTTGTGTGTAATTTATTCCCTGTTGTGATTGGTCTCAAGATTTTTGGATCTCATTACACTACAGCACTTTTATTCTGGACTAGTATAATTATTACAACTTTAATTGATCATTCTGGATACAATTTGCTTCATTTCCATAGTCCAGAAGTTCATATGCATCATCATACTAAGTTAGTGAATTACTTTCTTTTTGAGTGCCACTTAATGCTAGTTTATATCATTTACAGATTCAACGTAAATTATGCCAGTAAGTTTTTGAGTCAGCTGAACGGAACTTATTATGAAGAATCGGTAAAGAAAGAAAAAGTCGATTCTTAAAGATTTTTTTTTTGATTTAAGTTTTACTAAATTTACGATTTAAAGTCTAAAGCTACCTAATGTAAGAGACTGAATTGTGAAAATCTCTTTATTCTTAAGTTAAAATAAATTGATTGAATGTTTTGTTGAGTGATAATTTAATTATAGTTATTGGTGATGGCCAACGAAAATATCAAAACTTGATTCTTATAAGCTGTTTAAAAGAATCTTGAGAATGAGAAAACTTTTTGATTTAAATCTTTACTTTAAGATTACTTTATATGCATAGAAATAAATATTTTAAACCACAGAAACTTGCATTTTTTTACTCAAAACTTTGGCACACATGTAAATAGCTGCCAATTTTGGAGATTTGACTATACGCTCTTAACTCAGAATAGTGCAGGGAATTGTGTAAAAAATACAGCACAAAACCTCAAAAATTCGCATTATTATTTCTTCATCCAAAATTATCAAATGTATTTTATCAGCTACATCTTGACTCTACAAAATTGAGCAACTTATTATATTTAGTGCACACAAAAGCATTTACAAATTATTCTCTATAATTTATTTCTCTCTGATTATCAGAACTCATATCTCGTAAGTCAGCTATTTGTGTACACAACTTTTTCAGAAATTAGTTCATTCTGAGCTCTGAAAGGATTCACATTATTTTAAAATTATTTTGCAAAGATCAAAAATGAAGCAGCTCGAGAGGATTCTTTCTTATATTAATCCATTTTTCTTTTACTATTCTGTCATTTATGGAATCAGCAAAGTTTATGAAACATCTTTTCATACTGAAAGTGTTTGGCAAATGTGTTGGGATAGAACTAGAGAAACTTTTGGTGATGATAAACGAACTTATATTATATGGGGTTTAAATGCTTACACAACGATTCTTTATTGGACATTGGGATTCATAATAATTATAATGGAAAGAATGAAAAGGCCAAAAGTTCTTGATAACTACAAAATACAAGCGAATACGAATGAAACAGAAAATAATGAAAAATTGATTAAGGTAAGTTACTGCCAATAATAATATTTACAATCCAAAATTATTCAAAATTCAAAGTAATATTAATTATTGAACAAATGGAAAGTAAACCTTAAGAATATTAATTTCTAATTTTACTTACTTTAGGTCGTTAGAGTTGTATTTCGTAATCAAGGAGTTGCTCTTATTATATCCATGGTTGCTTACAAACTTGATAACAATTTTCTTGGTATATCAATTTCTCCGGAACTTCCAACTTTCTTCATTACAATGCGAGATCTTTTAATCTGCTTCTTTTCTCAAGAAATATTCTTTTATTATTCACATCGAATGCTTCATTACAAAAGATTTTATTGGCTACATAAACAGCACCATGAGTTTATTGCCCCAATTGCCATTGCAGCTGAATATTGTGGAGTAGTTGAACACATTTTAAGTAACTTACTGCCGGTAGTTATTGGCTTTAAATTTGTGAACGCTCATGTGACAACTGCTGTTTTATGGCTTACAATTGTGATTGTAACAACATTAAGTGACCATTCAGGATATCATCTTCCATTTATGCATAGCTCTCGATTGCATGATTATCATCACCTAAAGTGAGTATACTTTTCTGATTTTTGGGAAAATTTAATTCAATAATTTAAATAAAATGGAAAGTCAAGGCATCATTCATTAATGAGATCCAGAAGAAAGGAATTGAACAACAATAACAAATTTTGATTAATCCTTCAAAGAACGTCATTTGTAATTGACCCGTTTGATACCTGTGAAAGTTTTTAATTGCGTAGATTGATAATTTTATGCAAAATTATTAGAATTAAGCAACAGCTTGAATACTGCTAATAACATATTAACAGTTTAATATTTTCCACTAATTAGTTGCTAATTTACTGTTTCCAGGTTTAATGTTAATTATTCCGTCTACGGATTTCTGGACAAATTACATGGAACTTATGGACACTTTGAGACATCAAAAAGCTACAAAAATCATCGAACTTTATTTTCTTTGTCGCCTTTAAAGGATGACTAAATAATATTTTACGTAAGACTGATTAAATTGTTGATTAAAAATAAGTCATGTTAATGTCATCAGGCCAATATTAATTATTAACCTTATAAAATGTGTTAAAAAAGGTTAAAATTCAATTAATGCTTAAAATTTGACTCTCGCACACTTTTAAATAATTTAAAAACTAGCCTTTGTGTACTTTTATCAGCACCGACTTATCTTTATAATCTCTCTGAGAAATGGAATTTTATTTTCGGAATGCGACTTTATTTTGTTTCCATACTGAAGTCTATAAACTCTTATCAATTGACATTCAAACTTTGCACAGGAAAGATGTCAGCAAAGGAGGAAAATAAACCAAAAAAGTCTCAATTTGAGACTCCATTAGTGAATCCATTGGTGCACTGGACTATTTTAATTTATGTCACGACCCGGTGAGAATTTTGTTTGCGGTGATTAAGATATTCTGTATTATTAAAGAGATAATTGTAGAGGAATTTATTGCACGTGCTAAAACTGTATAAAGCTTATAATTAAGATGAAATGTCATTTAATAAATAATTGTAAACACTTTTTTAGAATAATTGAATATCTCACGGGTACGAGTAATTTTTGGTCAAGTTCATGGAACAAGCTGGTTGATAATTTGGGTATGTATATTGATATTTTACAGAATCATTTATACTAAGCTTATCAGATGAGTAAATCTATAAACAAAGTCATTCAACAAGAACCAAAGTTATTAATTCTCAATTAATTTTTGAGCGTAAAATTGCTTATTCAAGAGCGAGCCTGAGAGTGAATTAAAGTTATGATTAAAGAGAGCTAGAAAAGGTTTGCATGCGAGACTACCCTAACATTGTTTATGTTAAGCGTTAAGAAAGTTATTGAATTGTATGCGTCTTGAAGATCTTAAAAAATATTCAAAGTGTTTGTTTAGGAATAACATGAACAGATGTCAACTGCAATACACATGAACAAAATATTTTAAATGGTATTTAAGCTTATAATATCTGGGAAACTTTTTATTTTTAAAGATAAGATAAGAATTGGATTTAGATAAAAATGTGTTTGCTGGGGGGGTCATTGAGAATTATTTTGGAAGGTGAATTCAAGAATTTTTAATTCTCAGGTGATGATGACTTCATGTTCAAGGTCGTGTATACTACAATTTTCATTAATTCGGTATACTTTGGTGTTGGAACTCTTTATGTTTTAATGGACATAACAAACAAACCACAATTCTTCAGAAAATTCAAAACTCAACCAGAGACTCACCTGCCATTGGATATGAAGAAGTTTTGGAATGCAATGGTGCAAGTCTTCATTAATCAACTTATAATCGGTGTTATTGCTTCAGTCATTGTGTACAAAATGGGAGATATTATGATGGGCGGTACGATTCGTACAACACCAAGTTTCTTCCGCTTGCTTTTAGATATTATTAGCTTCGGTTTCATTTATGAGTTTGCATTTTATTATACTCATCGGTTACTCCATCACAAAAATTTGTATAAATATATCCACAAGATGCATCACGAATGGACTGGTAATATATTCAATTCTAAATGACACATCCATAGAGTAATTGAATTTTCCTACAGCTCCTGTTGCATTGATGGCTGGCTACTGTCATCCAATTGAGCATATTTTTGGAAATTTAGTTCCAATAATGTTGGGAAATTATTTATTAAAATATACATTGGCATCAACTTGGATGATTTATGGCGTAGCTATCGTAACAACACTTGGAGACCACTCAGGTATAATCAGAAACTTACATCTAAAGATTGCAATTCTAATTTTAAAACTTACTCCCCAGGTTATCACTTGCCATACCTTCACAGCCCTCAATTCCATGACTATCATCATTTAAAATTTATTGAAAATTTCGGCGCATCAGGATTCCTTGATAAATTCCATGGAACATGCAGCAAATTTGAAGAATCAATTCAGAAACAAAGGCACAGAACATTACTTACATTCAAATCATCTAATGAATTGTATCCTGATAATATTTTGAAAAAGGATAAGTAAGGATGAAAATAAAGTTTAAAACTAAGACAATTCGTTTTATTATTAAAATATGTGAGAGATGCTTTGTTATTTTGACTCTTAAATGTTGATTCTCTTAATTGTTTTGCATAAATTTCCGCAAAATCTCTCTTTGTATCCATTCAAATGAGATATCATCTCAAAAAGCTCAACATTGAATTCTTTTTTGGAGATTTTCAGTTTGTGCATTTAAATACAGGTTTCAATATCAAATTCACAAAAAAGTTGTCATTCTTGTAAGGACGTTTGACAAAAAATCTCCAATAAAGAATTAGTTTTGTTTCAACTCTCAAAGACATCGGAAGAACTTGATAAAAAAGGTGTTTTTTTGAAAAATGCACAAGCTTGATAGGATTGTGTCATATGTAAATCCACTCATTTTGTACATTCCAATTATTTATGGAGGATTCAAATATGTCCAAGAGTGGTTTCAAATTGACAGCATTTTCCAAATTGTTTGGTCCTTTATAAGAGATAATTATGGATCAGATCCTACTTTTCATTTTGTATGGGTTGGAAATACATTTCTGTTTACATTATATTGGACATTAGGACTTACTTTGTTTGCAATGGAAAAGTTTAGAGCACCAAAATCATTAGAAAACTACAAAATACAATCGAGACAAAGTGAAGTTAAACAAAGTGAAAACTTTTTTAAAGTACGTCAAAAATCTTTATCTTTTTAAATTTGATCATATTCTAAAAGAATACTTACTATCCTTAGGTTGTTAAAGTCGTTGTCCGAAATCAAATTTGCATGTACATCTTATTTTATAGTTTAGAAAAATTCGATAAAAACTTTTTCCGACTTTCGTATGATGAAGAAGTGTCGAGTTTATCAATTGTCATGCGTGATGTGTTCATATTTAGTTATTGCCAGGAAATATTCTTCTATTATAGTCATCGATTACTTCATCACAGATGGTTCTATCATCTGCATAAACAACATCATGAATTCATCACCCCAGTTGCTATTGCAGGTCAATATTGTGGAGTCATTGAGCATCTGTTTAGCAACATTTTTCCTGTCGTCATTGGATTCAGGATTATGAAGCCACATGTGTCTACTGCTTTGCTTTGGAGCACTATGGTTATGATTACAACTCTTAATGATCATAGTGGTTTCCATCTGCCTTTTATGCATAGTGCAGAAATTCATGATTATCATCATCTTAAGCAAGTGTTCCTACTCAAGATTTATATAAAAACTAATGACTATAACTTCATAAACTTTATTATTTTAGATACAATGTCAACTTTTCAGTGTATGGAATCCTTGATCAGCTCCATGGAACGTATGGTCACTTTGAAACTTCAAAAAGATATGAATATAATCGAACAGTATTTTCATTGACTCCTGTAACTTATATTGAATCATCATCTTAAACTTAGTCCTCTAAATCATTAGGAAATTGTTTATTTTTAATATTTTAAGTTGAGAAAAATAAAAATGAGCCGTCAAAAACGAAACTTGTTTGATGAGTTTTTAAATTCGCAGAAATTCATAATCTCCATATGCGATCTTACAGGATATTTTAAGTTTGTGATTTGCTATAATCAGCAGTTTGTCAGTGTTCTTTGCCTTGGATTATACATTCTGCTTGTCTAATCTTCGTCTTGTCATATCTTTAGTAAAATTATTGTAAAAATTCTCTGCAGGAGCAAAAAAGCATGTCTAAAGTGATTTCTTACTTACCACAATCTAATTTGAATATTTTTAGCAAAAATAAAATGTGTATAAAATAATCTTACGATATATGGAAACTTAAAATTCGCAAATGTTTTTCAGCAAAAACAGGTTCTTGAAACTTTACGGAAATCAACAGTCAGAAAGTAGTTTGACTATATAAAAAAAAGAATCACAAAGAAAGTTTAAGAACTGTGATGAATTGTGTCATTTTTGCATTCAAAAATCATTTCCAAATGCAGACAAGAATTTAAGAACATATTTGAATTAACTTTATTAATACACAAAAACAAGCACTTTAGTTGATGTTGATCAAAAATGCAGATGTTTTCAAGTTCATTGAAATCATCAAATTAACTGCTTATCACGAGGTAGCTGCAGAAACAATAATTTTCTTAATATAAATATTAAATCCAGTTTTGTTGACATTGAAATTTGCGAATGAGATGTAACTTATGCAAACGATTTAGGCAGATTTAGGAAGAGAAAATGAAACGAGGTGAATTTTTATTAGTTGATCCAGTGTTTAAAGATCATCTTGTTATATTTTGATTGTAAATCTCTCCAAAAATGAGTGAAATCAGAGTCACAAATTAATGTAAGGAAGCTTTTATGTCGCAACAATATTGAGATTAAGCTTTTCAATTTAAGTTGTTCGAAAGATTTTTCTTTTAAATTTTATTATGTTTTAAGACTTTAAAAACCAAAAATCTCGCAAAACAAGCAAAGTCAAAACCTAAAGAACAAATTACTTGCTCTCGATAGTTGTTCTTTGTTTATACATTTTCATGAACTGATCATTAACCTTAATTTTCTCATTCATAAGAGCAGAGAGTGACTCTCTACGAGCATATAATTCAAATTTATTTTCATTCTCATTTGTACTCGTAACAGCAAAATCACAAGTCGCACTTTAAACATTTGTGATCAAGCATATATTTTTCATTATCAAAATAACAACTGAAAAACCTTTTGAGCTTCAGATTGAAAAAAGTTGATAAAGAATTGTAGAAAGATAATTTTCTATAAAGTACTTAGACTGAATTCAGTCAAGTTCGTTCATTTGTTAAATTCAGTTCAATGAATAAAGATGGAAGTTAAAAAAAAAGGATTGCGTTGGGGTGTTAATCCTCTACTTTATTGGATTAGTGTAATCTATGCCATTACAAGGTATGAAATTAGTGAGCTACATTATTTTGAGTTTTGTGAATAAATTAATGCAGCTGATTCCGGTTTTTCTGGAATTTTTTTTCTTATCGAATATCTTACATCCACAAATCATTAATATAGGAATATCAATCAATAGTTTATTTATAAAACAGATATGAATAAAGTCAATAATCAAAATTCAAAACAATCAAAAGTTAAAATCTGAATATTTACGCACATTTAACAAATATAATTTTGCGCAATTGCCGGTGTTGCCAAAATTTAAAATTACATGCATTTGTGAAGATTAAAATAGCTCAGTATGTGTCAGTACAACTTGTAGTTTGTGATAACGCACATACAAACAAAATAAATTTTTAAATCAATATTTTCATTTGCACAGCTGATAGCTGTATTTACTTGATTCTTGTCGGCTTTTCTTTGTCTTATGGCTTGATCTTAAGAAACAAGCTAATTATTTTGAAAAAGATCTGCAGAATTACATACTTCAAACTTAATAACATGGAATGTTCAAATAATGAAAACTTCTAAGTCGCAAAAAGAACATCCATAAATGATGTCAATCAAAAACGCCGGTGTTTGTAATATGTTCCCTCTCTCTAGATCATTATTTTTTTAACATATATTAAAAATAGACAATTATAATCTCCCTCCTCCCTGCCTCAATCATCAAAAAAACAGATAGCTTTCATGACATCACAAACGAGTGACTCCTCAAGCAAAAAAGGACGGAATTAATTATAGTAATCATGCTAATTCATCCACAATTATTTGTTTGATCGTACACAGAATTGCCGAAACACTGACGGGAACTGAGAATTTTTGGTCAAACTCATGGAATCGAATTGTTGACATTTCGGGTGCGTATCCATTAAAACTTGATGTTTCTTTGATCTATTGCGTGACTGTTTATTACATTCCTTTATAAAGACGATGAGTATACATTCAAAGTCATCATTAGACTTATCTACACCACTAGTCTTTACTGGATTATTGGAATTTTATTCATCATTATGGATATAACAAATAAACCAAAGTTCTTCAGAAAATACAAGACCCAACCGGAAGCACATGTCCCACTTAATATGAAAAAATTCATACCTGCTTGTGGAACGGTTCTGTTTAATCAGCTAGTCTTGAACTTAATTATTTCTCACTTCATGATTAAGGTTGAAGAAAAAATTGGAAGAGCACCAATTCGTGAGACGCCGACATTCTATAAGTTGATGTTTGACTTGATAATGTACCAATTCATCTATGAAGTTGCCTTTTATTATTCACATCGGTTCCTACACTTAAAGCAGTTTTATAAATGGATTCATAAGAAACATCATGAATGGACTGGTAAGTGTTGGGTCATTTAATTCTTGTTGTATTTAATTTTCCATAATTTTTTTTACATCAACAGCACCAGTGTCTGTTATGGCCGTTTATGCTCATCCAATCGAACATTTCTTCAGCAACATTTTTCCTGTGGCTTTAGGAATTGCACTGCTTAATGCACCTGAATCTACAGCTTGGGTCTTGATGTCTATTACATCTATATCAACTTTGGGTGATCATTCAGGATATCACTTGCCATTCCTTCATAGTCCTGAATTCCATGACTGGCATCATTTAAAATTCAACGAGTGCTATGGAGCTTCTGGATTCTTAGATGCATTGCATGGCAACTGTCAGAAGTTTGATCAATCTGTTCAGTATTTGAGACATCGAACGCTGTTTAGTCTTAAGTCAGCTAGTGAACTTTATCCTGATCCAATTAAGAAAAAGGAGAAATAAGACTTTTTGTTGATGAAAAGATTTGGCTACACAATTTGTGATTTTAAGAGAATTTAATGCTGATGCATTCCTAGTCTGAATAAATATTTTTATTGTTAACAACGAACTTTTCAATTTGTTTTGCCTTACTGCAAATCTTTAGACCCAAAACGTGTTAGGCTTATCAGCGAACTCTTTTGATGGCAGCACACGCTTAAATTAAGGAATTCCTTTCCTCATCATTTTAGATATTATGAAGCTTAAAAAACAACGATAACGTAGTTTTGTTTCGATAAGCATACTAATTTAGCCTCATTACTTTGCAAACTTACAAATTAAGTACAATTGCCGATCATCTAATCTATATTTTGATGCAAATGCGCATTGCACCTGTCATTAGTTAAAGGCTCATTAAAAAGTCATTATTCTACGCAGCAATTTTATGCATTTAATATTAAGCAACTGTCAATACTTTTAACGGTTACTTTAATTTTGAAGCAGCATTAGCTTTTGTGAATTTGAAAATATTCAAAAGCTTAGTTTTTAACAAATCACAAAAACTTAAGTTCTACAAGTTTTAGACTACAACATAGCTCAAATAAAAGTTGTTCATTTGATTAGTATTTGAACTTTCAAGTTCTATCAGTCAAGTAAATTAACTTTAAAAATCTTTTCTATTTTAGATAATCAGAAAATTAAATTAAGACAAAAATTAAAAAATCAATTTCAAAATTGATATTTTTCAATTTTTGTTTTAAGTTCAATTGAATCATTAGCTTAACTTCTTGAAAATCTTAGGTGTTCTCTATCTAAGAGAATTAAGTTACCACCTGAAAAAGCAAAAATACCTGAAAAATTGTAACAAAAAAAAAACTCGTTCATTTAAATTTTTCATCTTTTATACATTTAATATATTGTTCATTAATAGATTTTTTTCGTTTTGGAAAACTATAATAATAATAATAATTAATAATAATTCTTTCATGCACTTCAAACAATCATTTTAATTATTATCGCTGAGCGCATCATTTGAAATATAGAATCTTTTCTTCTTTAATCACTTACTATAAATTAGTTTAATATACATGTAAAAAAGGTTAAAGAAAAAAAGGAATATGCAGCACTATAAACACAATTTTCAATCAGTTTTCCTTTTTATAAGTTTTTGAGTTTGATCAAACAGCACTTGAGTATAGATTTCATTAATTTAAAGTTCTCTCAAATGACTAAGTTGATTTATAGCAATGATAAGTCTATCTCCAGTGCTGTATGATCTTTTAAAATTTTGTTTTATTTCAAACAAGTGATTTTTCTTTTCATAATAAAATAGGCTCTGCAGGAGCTTATGCATGTATGTATGTGTGAGTGTATAGGCATAATATATTTGGATTTCCGGCAGAATATGTTGAAAGAAGGGACACAAAAATAACTTTCATAATCCTCTTTCATGCTCACTTATGGATAGATTTCATCTTAAAAATTTTCTTTAAAACTGCAACGATTTTTTTTTTAATTTCAATTTTTTTTCTCATCATTTTTATTACAAATGTTCCTATATGTATAGTCGATTTTTGTTTTATTATTAAATTTAATTTATTTCATCGCTAAAAAGGTAATTTAATCAGTTTTCCATTTTACTTTATGTGTTCATCAGCATATATTTATAGGTTTTTTTTTCATCATTATGTATTTATTTATAAATAAAAATACATTTATCTTCATAATTGCAATGTTTCATCGCATTTTGATGACTTTTATTCAGTTTTTTAGCATAATTTTCTAATTTTATCCATTCTTATTTCTTAAAAGTATTTTTTCATCGTCATTTTTTTACTAGAAAAATTGTTAAATATTTTTTTTATACAAAAGTTTACTTTCTCAGCAACACCGTATATCGTTCAATCTTAAATGTGTTTCTTATTCATTAAAAGTGAAATTTTGGTGTATATATGTATGCATGTATGTGTGTGATCTCTTAACAATTTAAACTTATAATTCTAAAATTTTCCTTTTATTTATAATTTTTCTTTTCTTTTTTAATAATATTTATATGAAAATTGATTAAATTTTCTAACACAAAAAAAGAAGTTCATCTTCATTTCCACCTAAGAACTATCATAACGTTTAAATAGCTGATCAAAGGACTGTTCCTTTTTCATAATTAATTGTTCAATTTATTACAATTTATTTTTATTCTTCATGTACAAATGAGTATGCAGGAAGGATGTGAAGAGATTTGGATGATGAAGTTTCAGTTAAGTTTTGCTGGATCATAAGAACATTTTGTGATAAGAGTTTTAGGTGTATCTTTTAAATTGGATTTAGGTCTATTGATGTTAATTTATTCTAAGAGTGTGGAACTGATCAGAATGACTAAATCTTCAATCAATCCAATATAGATCTTCTTTTCGAGACATCTCAACGAGAATTGAAAAGCAGTGCAATGCTTAATTGTTTAAGTCTGAGATTTTCGAATTGTTTGTAAAGACAGAAGATTTTTGAAACAAATCTCCAAAGATCGTGTGTGTAACCATCTAGATACATCTCTCTATCAACTTCCTTCATCCATTCTCTAAGTCTTCCTTTCTCATGAAGCCAAAATCATCCTTAAGATCTTAACATGTCATTTCTCAGAAATATCTTAGGCTTCTCAGTAATGTCATTTTAAAATTCACTAAGGTTAACTTCATTCTTCATGAGCATTCTGCATGTTAATGATGTATTCGGTTGGTGTCTATTTCATCAAAAAGAAGCTGTTCATTGCATAAATATTAGATTATAATTTACAAAATATTTCAGATGATACATGATTGATATAAAAGGTTCTTACAGCAATGAACAATTCCTAATACTTTCGTATGAAAAGTTATTAATTTAATTTTTTTTCCCTAATGCAAAAACATTTTTTATGCCAAATTTTGCAGAATTGGCTTTTCTTTACAAATAAATTAATTGTCTCCAAAAAAAAATATTTTTAATCTTCTTCTAATGAACGAACACAATTTCTTAAATGACTACTGAAATATGTATTTGTTAATTTCCCTATCTTTTCTCATTACATCTTCTTCCTTAAGAGAATGCTTCAATCTTACGTTTTGTTCAACTTTCATAATTTATCATTTATATAAATAACTTTATTAAAGAAATAGATGGTAGAAGAGATTTATGTTGAGGTATATGAAGCTCATTGCTTGACAATATTCTTTGAAATTTTGTCTTTAATTTAGTCTTTTTTTATTTGCCAAGCCATAGCATTTTAAGCTTCATACAACTCAGGATGAGATACCAAACTATAAGTTAAAAGATACAATACGACTGGTTCTGGGAGGAGATGATGAAATTGTTGCTAATATTCTTAGGAGATTATAAAATTAATGTTTTGAGAATTTGAATTGTCTGATGTAATGAAAAGCATCATTTTAAAGTTCTGGAGATGATTTGATTAATATTAAGAAATTGATTCGGATTCCGCTTTAAACAATTGATTTAAAAAGGTGTGATACAATAGATTCTATCCTAATTAAATTGTAGCTCGATTTATCTCTTAGATTCAAGGGTGTAGTACTGATGAAATGATCAAAATTGATCAAAGTGTAATTCCTTAGTTCCACACCCTTGCTTAGATTTGGTTTCACTAACTGTGTGCAGCGAACTTTTGAAAAATGTTTCCAGTCTTAAACTTAAGAACTAAGAATATTTCATGACTCAAAACTATTAGGCTACTTTTCTGCTTTATGACGATTGAGTTTGTAACGATTGAGTTCAAACTTAACCTTGAGAGAATCTTGTTTTCCCGCCAAAACTTTAAAATCGTGCCCATAAATCTTCAAAATGGTGTCAAAATTTTGAAAAACACTGTTTTAGAACGAAATCATTTAAAAGACTTCTACAGCCTCGATTTTAATCTCCACCCAAAGCATTTATTGATCAAAAATGTCACCCAAAGCATAATAATCAACAATTCCATCGTCTCCATTCCATTAAATCAGAAAAGAAATGCAAAATAATTCAAGGAAAAGTCGGAATTTTTCTCATTTTTAATGTGCGCAGTTACTTAACCAAGTGCAAAAAAAGCGAGAGAAGAAAACATTAAGAATTCTATTTTAAAAAATATGGAAACAACAAAAAAATATATATTTTTTATTTTACACATTGAAACAAATTAAAAAAAATTCTCATCGCTTCGATAAATCAAAGCCTTTATCTCTCTTTTCCCTTTTCATTCTTTTCTTTTAAGATTCAGATCAGAAATTTTCTTCAAATTTGATTTAACACAGAGCACAGCCAAGCCCGTTAATTAATTAATCATTAAACGGTATTTAATGTGTTGATTTTACTTCATTCCTGCTTTATTTGGATTCAATTTCTATCCCGAACTATTATTTTCTCTTAAGTATGGACAACTTCCATCTATCTTATGTTTGAAAAAGAAAAATTCTAGCTCACTTTGTATTTACATTATCAATAGTATCAGTTATTCCCTATCACAAATATATATATATATATAGTTATTAAGTCTTTCCAAAATGACTGTCATTAAAGTGAATGTGAAGAGAATTGAGGAGAATCTTTGCAATAAATTAGAGGTCCAATTCAAATTTCTTCGCCTAAATTCTCCAATGCTTCAGATTCAATTTGACAAGAGAAATTAGTTGATGACGTATAGGAGATGAAAATTAAGGAATATTTGTCAAATGTTCGTATAAAAAAATAAATGAAATTAAATAAAAAAATAAAGAGATAACATTTTTTTTGAGTATCTTAACGTGTGAAGCCATACGAGAGAAGCTCCTGAGAATGTCTGCAGCATAATAACAGTTGGATAGACTTAATAAATAACCATGACTAAAATTTTGTGCTGCTCACGATAACAGTATGCAATATTACATAATAATACATTGCCATGTTGCCAGATTATCGCTTTAAAATTCTCAGTGCTTCTCAGATGGAAGTTTTACTGTACAAATCTTTGTTTCAATAATTATTTAGCTTTGTGTGCTTTCTGCTTCATCTTCTTGTCTATGTAAATAGCAGTAATAAGTATTTGTGTGAAATCAGCACGAACCTCAGCCCGACTTCTTTTTTCATCACTTGATGCATGCTGAAAGAAAGCTGGGCTGAAGTTGGGGATAAACTTCACAAAGGTCTAATAACTTGTATTCATTTCCATGAGTTGGTAGGGAGGTGTTATTAGTAAGTACATTAATTAATTATTTTTTAATATTATTTATCCACTATTCTTGGTTTCTTCATCGTTCACATAATAATAATAATAATAATATTCATGTATTAATTAATAGAAATTTGTTTTTTTACGGTAAAAAGACAATTTTATTTAAATGTTAAATCTTTTGCTTTTTTGTTCGATTCTCTCGCTTATAAATTATAAGGAAGAATGTTTTAATTAAATAAAGTAAAATCCAAATGAAAAAAAAATATTACTAATTTTAAATCACATAAATTAAAAATCCTATTTTTTAAAGTGTCACAGTATTTGTTTTCTTTCATCTTAAATTCCACAACTTTCCATTTTTCCCATCCAGATTTACTCCTTTTCCTTTCGATTTTTGCTATGCTTTCTTTATTTTTACTATTTTTTCTTTGCCCGAAATGAAAAAGAATAGTCCTAAACAAGTATTTAATTTCTAAATATGTAATTATTTACAAGATTTTTTTTTTGTTTTCTTTATCGTGTTACTCATGTAGATAAACAGAACAGAACAGAACAGATTTCCCTCATTCGACTTTGACTTGATTTGGCAAAGGAAGTGGTGGGGGAAGGGGAGTGGGTCTCTTAAAGGACTTTACAGCAGAACAACAGAAATATTAATAATTTATAATGTATTATCAACGCGCTACAATTTTTCCACAAATTTCGATAATTGTTCTTGTGCATTTAATTGACTCTCACCCATTACATTATTATCCATAGCAGGCAGTGGCGATTGATGTGGATGAACGAGATGATTATGCATATCTCCGCCGGGCGAATGACTTGGCAAATGATGTGGAGATGGCTGTGCTCTAGGTGATGGTGCGGGTCTAGGTGATGGATTTGCTTGAGGGCTTGCAATTGGAGGTGGCGATCTTACATTTTGCATCATTTGCTGTTGCATTGTCGCGTGCTGTCCTCCTGGTGGTCCCATAACAACTTGATGCTGAATTCCACCTTGTAATTGTGATGATAATACGCTATTTCCAGGCGATTGTAGTGGTTGATTTGGTTTCATTCCTTGTTGCTGTTGATCAGCATTGAAAATTCCTTGGAAATTATTCTGATTCATTCCTCCCATTTGTGGCTGTCTAGGACGAGCCATATAACTCGTCGGACCACCTTGATAATTTCCAATTCCCTGAATTTGTCTTTGCAAAATTATTGGTTGTTGAGGTTGTTGTTGTTGCTGTTGCTTATTAAACCATTGTTGTTGTTGGCTTTGCTGATTTTGTTGCTGATTTTGCATTGGTCCTCCCAAAACTCCCCCAAGATTTCCCTAAATTCAGAATTAACCTTGTTAGAATTTTGGTTTTATTGGAAATTAAAATATTAAGTAAACTTACGCCTTGCTGTACATTAGGATTTCCCATTCCACCTTGCATTCGATTAACCATTTGATTAGGTCCATTAGACATCATCATCATTTGATTTGGTTGCTGCATTTGATTTTGTTGTTGTTGTTGTTGCTGCTGCTGCATTTGCTGATTTATCATCATTTGATGTCCAGCATTTTGATTTGGTTGCATTTGTTGTGGATTTTGCTGTTGACCTACAACATTCTGTTGATTTTGTTGTTGTTGTTGCTGTTGCTGATTATTTAATTGCTTTATAATGAATTAATTATTTAAATATTAGAATTTAATTTTTTTTATAAACAATATAAAATGAAAACTTACATTCTGTTGTCTTTGCTTAATGAATGCAGCCATAAGTTGTGGATTTGCTTTTAATATTTGCAATAATTGTTGCTGTTGTTCTGGTCCAGGATTGTTTTTAAGAGTCTGTATGAGCTGTTGAACTGCTTGTTTTTGCGGTACATTATTTGGTCCTAATTGCACCATTCCTTGCATATTTCCAGCGCCTGGTCTCATCATTTGAGAATTTCCAGGCATATTTCCAGATTGAACCATTTGCTGCTAGAGATAAAATTTATTGTTTTATTAATAAACTAGTAGTAATGGGACCCGTAAAGTAGATTTTTTGAATCGAAAATTCTCCAATTCAAAAAAGGATAAACTGACAATTTTTGTATGAAATTACATAATTCACAAGTTCAAAAACTCAGTCTTGTTAGAAAGTGATCCAGTTTTAGCCAAAACTTTTGGAAAATTTTCGTACATCAAAGAACGTTCAAAATAAATTTAAAATGCATCACGCACTCAGACATTAAGGCAAATATGGTAGAGATATGACGTGTCTACATGGAATTGGTTAAAATATTATAATAGCTTACCTGATTAGCTTGCATTTGATTCGGCACAACCATTTGTGCACCAGGATTTGGTGAACGCATAGCATTTGGATTATTTACATTTGGATTTGAGAAGCGTGGTCCATTATTCCAATCGTTTGCCATCATATTAGCATTTGGATTTGGACCACCGACATTAATTCCAGCAGCATGTTGTGGTTTCGAAACATTTGGATTTAAATGATTTGGCATTCTCATGTTTGGTGGATGCATCGTCTGACCCATTTTACCATAATTTCCACCATGTGATTGTTGACGTGCAGCTTCCGCTTGCACCTGATTTTAAATCAAATATTAGTTTATTTTTGTAAATTTTAATAATTTTTGATGAATTTTACCTGTTTAACGACTTGAAGGACAGCTGGAGGAGGTTTCTGAGTCGTTTGTTGTTGTTGCTGCTGTTGTTGTGAGCCAGGCTTAACACCAGTTATATGATGTGGACTTCCCATTCCACCCATTGAATTGCCATGATGAGGACTCATACTTGATGGACTCATTTCTTCCTTCGAACCATGAACAGGCGTAGGAGTTGCTTGCTGTATCGCTGATTGTTGACTCATTGCTTGCATTCGAATATTCATAGCCGCAGCTCTACGACGATTAAACTGTTGCTCTTGTAATCTGCGAGAGTAATAAAAAGAATTAGTCATTTATTGACGATATTTCGATGTTCGATAAGGTGATAATTAGAGTCGATTTGGGTGTGAGAAATGAAAATTTCCTTGTTAAAAAAGCCACACAATAATACATACCTTTGTGCCAAACTTTGTTGTCGTAATTTCTGCTTAATATTTGGACAGAATGGAACCAAGCATTTGTTCTCTTTACAATGCTTAGCATGATAACAGCACAGAGCAATAAGTTGCTTGCAAATTGGACATCCACCGTGTGTTTTTCTCTTGCAATTCTTCGTATGCGTTACAACACGTTTCATCTTCTGACAAGATGGTAAGCGACAATTTGCATCCCGACACTGGCAAGCATGCACCAATGACTGAATACATCTCTGAATAGATTGTTTTCTTGCTTCTTGTGGATTAGATTGTGGTCGTCCATCGGTTGGTGATGATCCATCGTCTAAATCGAATCCAAGACGCTCCATCTTATGAGGATGACCAACTTTCTCTTTGCATGAAAGACACAAGTCGTAATCCTGAGAGAGTGAGAGAGAGACATTTTGAATTTTGGAATTAATCAATATTTTTTTCAAGAATGAATAATGAAAATAAAAGAAAGAATTCTTACATCACAAACTGTGCAGTGATATCTTGTCTCGACATGATTCTTGCAGTTATTACAAGTATATACAAATTTATCTTGTCCTTGATTGTGTAATTCATATAACATACACATTGTTGAGAATTGAGCGCGTCTTAGTGATGAAAACTCATAATGCTTATCTCTTGCTAGCGTCAAAAATGCATCCCTACCGTCCATCAAGTCACAATTGTATAGCGGATCTGGATCTTGAATAGGCTGTAATGTGAGAAAGGAGAATGATTGAATTAATTCACTCGTTGAATATGTAAAATGATAAAATTGGAATTAAATGTATTACAATTTGTTTAACTTCAAGTATTTAAAATGAGATTCAAAAAATTGAGATGCTACTTACCGCTAAGATAGCAGCGGATTGTGCAGAATGTAGGCGAATAACGAAAAACACTTCCTTATGTTTCTCCATACATGCAAATATTTTATCACTGAGATCATTGCCACTTTGTTCACTGACTTTCTTTGTATTTTTCCTTTGCGCCGCTTTCGACTTGTACGATTTCTTCTTCTGGGATTTTTGACCTTTCTTCTTATTATCCTCAGTACCATTATCACTATCATCATTAATTGATGAATTAGCGTTTGCAGCTTCTGCCGCTTCCGCTTGCTTCCTTTTTTCTTCTTCTTCGTGATCTAATTCTTTAATAGACTCTTCAATTACATTAGGCCAGAAGTCACCCTCAAAATAAGGCAATTCACAAGCTGATGTCAACTTATCTTCCATTGCTTGTTTCAAGATATCCTTATAGTCCTGAATAATACGTTCAGTTATGCCTTTATCGAGCATCTTCTTGTACCATTCCTGAAGTCTTTTTGGTTTTGGAATCTTTTGTTCAGGTGGATGGCAATGGAAAATGTAGTCATCACCTTCTGATGGTGGACACGCCCAAATATGAGCCATTGTATATCCTAATTGTTTAGCATAATCCATATAAGAGAGAAGAATCTCATGATATACGGCAGTTCGATGATTTTTTGGTCGGAAGAAATGTACGGAATCAAGATAGGCAATATAAACACGCCTTGTATTTGGTGCTGAACACTCAGAACCATATTCTTGTACGTGCATACCAAAGAAACAAACAGTCTTTCCCTCCAGTTCTTGAAATGCAAATAATGCTTTAGCACGATATGGAAAATCACCTGGCATATCACCAGTATCAACAAAACGAGATTTCATTCCAGGCTTAACTTCAACCATACGATCAGAACTTGATACAACTCGAATATATACTTCTCCAGCGCCAGCCTCTTTTTTCTTTAAGAAATTATTCACGCGAGTCTCAATGTATATTCCAAGTTTTGATGTTGCTAAGCTCTTTGCATTAAATTTATTTGGTTTACGCTTTTGTCCTTTCTTATCAAGACATTTATCGCATGTAAAACCACGCGACCAGATCTGTTCATGGTAGAGTACGCATATTTGATGCTGTTTTCGTCCACATTCATTACATGTAACAAATGGTTCTAATTCGAGATGATCATTCTTCATCTCCTTAAATTGGTCCTTTTTAATTTGACTAGAAAGCAAATAATTCAATTAACATCATAACTTACGATCATAATTTGAGTTGACTTACGTTTGAGTTTGTGTTGGATCGTCACCAAGACTTACAGTGTCCCCAGGAATGTCGTTGAAGCACCGTTGACAGAAGACATATCTGTCGGATGCATTTGTAAATGCATTTCTTTAGTTTAGAAGTTTTTGATAATTAAACATAATATAAATTGTTTATATTGGTCATAAATCGTTCGATTATTCGTTAATAAAACATAATAAAGCGACAAAAAAGGGGAAAGTGATAGACAACCAAACAACAACAGCAATGAAATGATATAACAATCAAGCAGGATTTTTTTTATTCATTATGCGATGATAAAAAAAAATTTGTGTGCAATTTTAGTTGATATTAGTGATGATATAATTAGTTTAAAATGATGAAGCAACGAAAATATGAAAATAAAAGAAAAACAGAAGATATGGAAATTTAATTAAGCAGCTCTAAAATCTAAATGAATAAACTAGGGATGATTCACAATTAACAAATAAAGCATTGATAATTCTAGTGCATTTTCTAGTTAATCTTGTTTGATAATACTCATAAAGGGTTTAAAGCAACTCATTCTTATCAATTACATGCTTGATAGCTACAAAGCAGTTCCAACGGAAATTCGAAATTCAAATTTAAGAACCATACAAATGTTTTTTGGGGGTCATCGATTTGAAAATGTTTCGTTTAAAAAAAATCCTGTTTAAATCAATTCATAATTTACATTCATTAATTTTTGACTATTCAAATCGAGGACCCTTAGTGCAAAAGCAATTGACATGATCATAAAGTAATTCCAAATGATTAAGCATTTTCTAATGATTTCTACGATGCAGTTATGACTAAAAGAGCAATAATAAATTACTCTCAAGATTTTAGAGAGAAAATGCACTAAGCATTAATAGGAGAAAAAATAGCAAACGTTATAATGCAGCAAGTATGAAAGAGAAAATTTGAATCCTTGAAGACAATTAAATTTATGTATCAGAATTTGCATCAATAATCGGAAAATTTGAGTCGAATTTCTATACACAATATCCGATACATTAAAAGTGACGTCATACGCAAATAAATGCATTGGCTTTATATTCCTTTAGACACTCCGCAGACGCTGAAAAATTTCATAAATACCTTTCTATGCGAGAGGATATATAAAGAAGAGAAAAAAAATAAGGGAAAAGAAGAAAAATATTTCACATGCGGACTACACGTTTTTCCTTTCCAAAACAAATAAAAAAAGGCCAATTTTCATTTCACTAGAAATTCTTGGATTCTTGGAATGGAAAGGTCGAATCAAACTCAATAAAATCAAAGATCCAAAAGCATGTATTTTTTTGGAAATATATCAACAAAGTTTTAATCATCAAGGATTCAAATTTTTCCTTCAAACTATCGTTTTTCTTTCTTTTCATTCTCTCTGTACATTTTTATCAGAAACTCTAAAGAGAAGAAATTTATTCCTCCGAACAAACACATGCGCACATGTAAGCTTTCTCATCTTTTTTCTTTTTGCTCTTTTTTGAAGAGAAATAAATTGACATTGGAGAATAATGAAGGAAAGAAAGAAAATTTTTCATGAGACTCTTCATGTCATGAACTACTTGCGAACACTTTTTTTTTCCTTTCGAATCGAGAATAATTTTCCAAAAATAATTGAACCTTTAAAATTAAGCACTTACCTATCTAAATAGCTAAAATACTTGGCATCACGCGGTATTGTGCACAACTGTTTACCATAACAGCACAAAACTTGTGGATTGAATGTATACTTTCGACCACAACAGTATCCTAATGCTTGCATTACAGGATCAATTTCTTTCTCAAATTCCTCAGACAACTAGAGTTGGAAGGAAGAAAGTTATGAGATTTAGTATTGGGCATTTTAAATGTAATCATTGATTATGAAGAACTTACCTTTGTGCAATAACGATATACTCTGGAAGTTTTACGATTATATAACCATGCATTATCAAACATTAACCATACATCATCAACATATTCCCAAGGATCAGAATATTCTCCCTTCTTTAAATTCTTTTCAATTGTTCCCAAATCCATTGGCTTCCTAATTATATCTAAATAGTCTGGAATTCCTAAGGCAATTGGATCGACAGGAGAACGGAAAGGTAACGATTCAGGCTCTTGACGAATTAGCTTCTCAAGCGTAGGCAGCAATGCTTCACAGAGCTCCTCTGGTTTAAATGCTATTAAATAAATTCAAATTCATTAGTTTAAATCCATAAAAATAAAATAAAAATAACAAAGACTTACTGCAAGTCTTAACTTTCTTGTCTGTTGTAGCAACAGGTTCGAGCTTCAATTCTGGCTTCACTAGTGCTTGACTTTCTTGATTCGAAGATCCTGGTGACATTGCTTCCTCCTTAATTTTCTTAACATCATCTTCCATTTTCTCAGTCCTTTTTATATCCTTGTAATCTTCCCATCCTTCCCGTCCAATCACATTAGTATTTATATCCACATGTTGTCCATCTTCGTTCTTTTCTTTCTTTATATCACCAACTTCCATCCACTTAGATCCCGCTTTATGATCATCAGAATCTTCCATCTTAATATCAGGTTTTACGTCACATTTGTCACCATCCTCAGTTTCCATTTTAACTTTAATATCATCACCAAGTTTCTGATCGAGTTTACCACGATTTGCATTCTGTGGCGATGGAACTGGTGGCGGTGAGTCTTCTTCTTTGCATGCAGCTTCAAGTGCTGCTCGTTGGGAACTTAATGAACTTCGTCCACTCATCATAGAGTTCATTCCTGTAAAATTTCAAAGACAATTTTATTAAGTTACATAAAATAAAAATAAGTGAATAAATAACAAGCTTACCGGAATTGCTCATATGACCGAAATTGTTTTGTCCTTTTCCGGGAGATGTGATTGATAATGGAGGTGTAGGCTCAGGAGGGGGCCTAAACATGCTTACATTAGGAGTATTTGGTGTGGAAACAGAAGGTGGAGGTCCATTGGAATTAAGACTTGGCGAAGGACTCGGCACGGGAATTGTTGAATTTAAATCACTACTTGTTGGTGTAGGAGGCATCATGTTGCTACTATTACTGCCCATTCGTTGTTGTTGTTGATTATTTTGCATCATTATATTATTATTGAATACATTTTGATTTTGACTTTGACTGAACGGTGACGGTGCTTGACTATTGACTGTCTGATTCTTATTTTGTTGCTGTTGCATATTATTGCCACCAACAACATGAATAATATTTGGATTGAAATCATTAGATGGAGACATAATTGGACGGTTTGATAACATTTGTTGTTGCTGGGAATTTTGTTGTGCTGCAGCACTATTTGGAGGAGTCATTCCGGATGAATTGCAGCTGAATGGAGATAGCCCTGAGTTAGGCACTAGAAGATTAGGTGTATTTCCACCGCCACTACTTGGTGATGGACCAGATTGTCCAACAACCATTTGACTGCCCATATTTGATTGTGGCACTTGCTGACCAGTATTAAAAGGCATTCGTTGATTTCCTGGGAAATTTTGTTGTCCCGTTTGATTACCCATTTGTAATCCTTGATTGGTCGGCATTCGTGGAATTAAATTTGGATTATTAGGGATATTTTGTTGTGGAAAGTTTGGTGGCATTCCTCGAACTTGATTAGCTTGTTGCTGTTGAGCAGCCTGCTGTTGTTGCTGTTCCTTTCTCTTTTGACGCTTTTCTTCTAATTCCTTCTGGATCTTATAGATCTTTTCAGCCAACAAATGATAATATTCAGATCGAGTATTAGCCATTTCATACATATCTCCTTCAACTTTTCTCGCGTAAGCTAGCAGATTTGACATTCGCTTATCATACATTGCATTCATGTCGTTTGTTGGAAAAATAGCTTGCACTAATTTATGAACTAAATGATTACGTAAGTCGGGCGTAATTGATTGATGCCAATCTTTACTTCCACTGCTTGGTCCAGCGAGATTTCCTTGTATTTGATTTAAATTTGTCGTAACACTTGTAACACTCGCAACATTTCCATTTGCTGCATTTATATTCTCAAGTACATTATTAAATTGTTGCATATTCGCTAAATGCTGTTGCTGTAATTGAGATTGTTGCTGCTGCTGATTTGGAATGTTTGTCGATTGATTTTGTTGTTGCTGTAACATGGAATTATTTGGAAGATTTACTGGACGTTGCGTTGATAAAAGCGATGATGCATCATTACGAACATTATTAGCACCTCCATTGGCATTTGATGTATCATTCGATTGCTGTAACATATTTATCATTTGATTCTGTAACTGTGTAGCATTTTGCTGATTTTGTGTCTGTGACTGTTGTTGCTGTTGCTGCTGCTGAATCATGCCACTCTGCTGTTGTTGTTGTTGTTGAATGAGTCTATCCATTGTGGATTGATTGGCATCAGACATTGTCATTCGTGGACCAGCCATATTGGGCTGTTGCATTTGTTGCTGAGGAGCTTGCTGATTTTGTTGTTGTTGCTGTTGTTGTTGTTGTTGCATCCTCATAGCTCCAAGTGCATTCATATTATTGGCACCAAATTGTGGTCGAATTATTTCATTTGGATTCGTTACATTTGAAAGTGTTTGTTGTGCATTAATTTGCATTGGTCCATCATTCGATGGCTGCTGCTGCTGGTTCTGATTCTGATTCATATCGCCAGTGAGATTTCCTTGTTGTGTAGCATTTTGTTGCGATTGCTGATTTTGCATAGCATTACCTTGTTGTTGTTGCTGTTGTTGTTGTCCTGCTACTACATTTTGCTGCTGCCCTGGCTGACCAGCTTTATTCTTATTACTTTCAGATTGTTTTAATGGTGAGCATACCGGACAATCACCACGATTACAATTCTTCCAATGATTTATAATTTGACGCGACGATGAACAGTGTGTTCGTGGACAATTTTTGCCTAAATTACATGTCGTCATATGATTAAGGACATCTTTCATCGTTCGACAATGCTGTAATGTACATGTATCATTTTCTCGTCTCATACATTTGTGTGCATGAAGCAATAAAACTAATTGTTGTTGAATTAATTTCCTCTTTTCTGGATCAGCCATGAGAGGATTATTCGTAGCAATTCCAGACGATCCAGGCCCAGTTTGTTGAGGCTGTTGCTGAGCACCTGCCACTGTCGTTGGCAATCTAACTTGATTTGGACCTGCTTGATTTGGTGCATTAGCGGGCGACTGTTGCTGTGCCATACCAACAGCATCATTATTATTTACCATATTTCCAGTAATATTATTTACACCTACAACTTTGAGTCCACCGCATGCATCATTATTATTTACAATTGGTGTCTGTAATCGAACTGCATTAATCTGTTGACTCATGGGAAGCCTATTTTGTTGCATATTTGGCAATAACACTTGTTGATTATTTCCAGGTTGATTATTAAATGATCCAGCATTGTTCATTTGATAACTCTGTTGATTCATTTGACTCATTTGATTTGGTAACATTCCTGGGTTTTGCATTCGCGGTGCATTAATTAAATGCGATCCAGGATTTCCTCGATTCTGCAAAATACTCGTAATCATTCTCTGTGGCTGCATCATCTGTAATCCTGGACCATTCTGCATATTTGGTGGTAATTGATTCATTTGATTATTCTTATTTAACACTAATCCGCCACCCGACATTGGACCTGCGGCACTATTTGTTATTATCATTCCACCTTGATTCACATTTCCAGCTAACGTACTAATTCCTGCACATCACAATTCACCAAAGATAAATTCGTCAATTTAAAGAACATATTAAATAGAAAATTAAGAGTATTAGAACTTACCTTGCATAGTCATAGCGTTATTAGTGCCATTATTTGGAGCCATTGACATTGTCATATTACTAACACCTAGGTTGTTCATTACAGCCGTTACATTCGGACCGCCTTGTATTGGATTTTTATTTGTCAATTGATTAAGATGTGGATTACCGACATTCATCGGATTCTTTTGTCCTTGCTGTAACAAGTGAGCAAGTTGTTGTTGATGTTGCTGTTGCCTCTGTAAGGTCGCAACATTTGTTGGAACTATTGCCTCATCACCGCCATTCATTTGTGACGTCTGATAAATTTGTCCTGGACCTGGACCTTGCGCTGGTGGCTTATTATTCGTCACCATTTGTTGTTCCCATGAAGATGGACCGCCTGCCATTAATTCATCGGGTAATTCTGTTTCTAGTAGTAACATGTCATCGAAATTTGGACCAGTTGAGTATAAATCTAAAATAAATTTAGAAGATGCAATCGTTTTAGAGACTTCTTGTTTTTTGTATGTACAAAAATATACATGTGCACTTGAACTTCAAAGTTAGTGCTCTAGCTATTATTTTTGTATGTTTTATTTTCATTTACTTTTGTGTCGGAAATTGAGAGAAACAAAAAGAAAAAGGAAAGACATAAATGACAACACGAAAAGATAGAACAGAGACTTTTATTTGCAAATGCATGAAAGTCAATTGGCGAAAATCCGCGAAAGAAAAAGGAAAATTGTGCGATGGAAAAATCGATTAGGATTTTCACCGTGCTAAAAAGAATTGATGTCGATTAAAAGCATGATGAGATGCATCACTCATCCCAGCCAGTGCTTTCAAACCTTTTTTATTCACGATCACTTTAATACACTTCCAGCTCATTTTTTTTATTAGCACAAGAATTTCTGTTTTTTTTTGAACAATTTTTTTGTGAGATTTTAAATGAAAAAGATTTGGACAACACTGCAGTCAGAGTTACAATGTAGCACAGAAAGAAATGTTGCGTTTGATTTTCACTTTTCTTCTCTCACAGAAAAAATATAAAAATGTATACACTCGCGCGTTGCTACTTCTGCCGCATATATAAAGCTTTTTTTTCTTCACAAAACAAAAAAAAAATATTTGAGAAGAAAAATTCACAATTTTCACCAAGTGTCTAAGACAATCATAAACTATATTATTATTATTATTCTATCGAGTGCCGCAAAGAAAGAAATAAGGCAATGAAAAATCATAGATTTGCTCTCTTTTTTTTGTGTGTTGCTCACAATTTCAGTGTTTCATTGCCAGACGATGGTAGTGAAATGAAAAAAAGTTCGAAGCGAAATGTGTGTGCAGTCAGTAAAGTAGCATCAAACGAGCGAAATTGAGATCAACTTATGAGAAAAAAAAAATGAATCAGATGATTTTGAAATTTATTTGTGATGCCTTATTTTTTTGACTCTTTACTTGCACTATACAGTCACTAAGAAATTCCTTTTTTTTTGGGACGAGATTTACTGGATTTCACTGGGTGTTATTGTCACAAAAATAAAAATTGATTTAAAACAAAAATAGTTGAGATAATTCATGAGAACTGAATTTCCTCAATTTTCACAATTCTTATTCTTTAGTCCAAAAATATATTAAAATAAAAAGAGCTACTTACTGGAATCAGGCCCTTGAAAAGGATCCTTTTTCTGTTTTTTCTGTGGTGGTTCATCGAGATGATCAGCCATGTTTACAGCTGATGTGTAGTACTGCTTTTAGTTGAAAAATGTTTTTTTTTTCTCTTTTTTCTTCGCTCTCACTTCGTGTTAATGTTGATTTAACAACTCCTTTTTTTTATCAGAACTTGTTAAAAATCTTTTTAAACTTTCCTCTTAATCGGTATTAATTTTTTAAAAATCAGATATGATTGAATTTTATGAGAATTAAACAAAAATGTACAGGAAAAAGGAAAACTGATGAAACACAAGAGAAATTAACTTAAATTTGAACTTATTTCACTAATTTCATTGATTAAAATTTATTATGTAGTTCACTAAAAGTGTTTAGTGTCTTGCACACACAAAAAAAGTCCTTTGGTTTTGTGACTCCTTTATCTATAATTATTTTGTGTATTTTTCTTTTCGTCTTCTAAAAATGTCTTTAATTAATATTTTCTTTTTATATTTTCAATTTTCTAAATCAGTTTGACTTGATTTAAAAATTCTATATCTTCACACTGATACACTATACACATTTTTGCTAAGTAGCATTCTATACTTCATTAAATTTCTTTATCACTCGGCTTGGATGTTGAATATAAAAGTAACATAATCCTTTGAACGCTCATCATTTTTATACGATTAGAATTTCACTTTTAATTCCTCATTTATGGATGTTTTTTTTAGCAATAAATGCCTCTATATTTTCATTGGTAGATTCTGGTGATCCTGAAGAATAAAGAAATAATGCTTATTAGGCTTTACGTTATTCGGCACACTGTATCTTTAATATTAAGTTAAATTTCTAGCTTAATCGGAATTGTGACTTTTTTTATGCACAACAATTTTTTCTCTTCATTCTTTCTTTATTAATAAAACTATTTCACTAAAACGCAATTTTTAATCATTTCTACAGCATAAATGACACTCGAATCAGTTAAATCAGCCCTAAAGTTGACACCAAAATTTCACAAAAAATCAGAAAACTTTTCTTAATCCAAAAAATGTATGAAAAATTTGAAAAATCTTCATGATATTTTCATATGAGCGACTAAAATGAATGAAATACGCCGAATAGAAAGAAACTGAGTTTTGATGAAGAGAAAATTTTTTGTGGACGGAAAAAAAATTCAGAAAGCGCACAATTCTTTTAATGCATTTATGTCGATGCAACCCTCACTTTTTCCAGATCCTCCACTTTTAAATGGTTTCTTATCACTTTATAAACATTTTTTTGCCATTATAATTTATTTTAAACGTCACTTTAACGCGAAAATTAATAAAATTAAGTCTGTGGCTTTCGAGCTGTCCAACACACTATGAAAGAAAAATACTCACACTATGATAGATTATACGTAAATACGTGAAATAAAATGTCGGAAAGCTACTAACGCTGCGTTCCTAGCAGATTACTTCAGCAACTTTTTATTTGAATTATTTTTTTCCGTTACATAATTAAGGTTTCATTTCTAGTTTACTTCTTGATACTTGATTCTCACATATAAAGCTAGTGATATTTTTTAAAAGTTTCTCAAGTACAAGAGTTTCTATAGTTAATGTTGACTTATTGAATGATATTTCAATCCAATAATGCATATATCAATTTAGATGAACATGATGGATATAAGGGATATAGACATAAAGAGAACTAATAATGTTAAATGTGTAACGAATGTTTTTAATTTTAAATATTCCCTCTATGCGACTTATATTTTCTCCAACTTTCTACTCATTTTGATTCTCAAAATTATGCATTTTAAAATCTTAGAATGGACCAACAAATCAAATATAATGATGCAAAAGCTGGTATATTTGATGACTAATTACTTGTTTTCGCACCTAGCATATAAAAATGTACCTTATTTCATAAAAATCGTAATTATTGTCATTATACCATTGAATTAAAAACAAAACAACGCCATCTATTGATTACCTGACGAAGATTAATTTAAACAAAGCTATGTCTTTGCTAGAAATTTCTTCAGCATTTATTTAACGATGTAACATGATCTATTTAGTCTCGTAAAAATAAATATCAGCTATTTTAAAATCATAAGACTAAGAACTGTTCTGACTGAATATAAACAACAAGTATGAAGATTATTTTACTATCAACAGCGACTATATTGGGAAAGTTTACTTGATTATTGTTTTCATAAAAACTTAACGTGTTGAAAATATTTAAATAGTAACGGGACTTTGAAATTCAAATTTATTCCCAAACATTTGTATTGTTTTGAATTTTAAAATTTAATAAAATTAATGAAATATAGAGTATTTAAATAAGATAGGCATTTAAAGGTGAATTTAATGAAATATTAGAGCATTATTGGCATATTCAGCATGGAATATTAAGCAATACTATGAGCATTAAGTATTTTAAGTAGATCCATAATTAATTTGAAACATCCAGTGAATTTAAACTTAATAATATTGTCAAAGTGCATTATCTTCATAATTATATGCTGCTTTAAGTGCATAACAAGTTGAAATCACTGTAACCAATTCAATATTTATGATTTCAGATAATAACAGAATCAAGCAAGAATGGATAGTGATGCTGAGAAGCTAGCAAGTTTAAGAGATAAATATGGACCGTCTGTTAAAAATTGGCTCTTAAAACATAAGCCTGAAGAAAGTCAAGAAAAGTAAGATAAAACTGACCAACTTCTTTAAATGCATGAATTAAATTGCAATATTCTTAAGGTACGAGGCTTTTTTAAAATTTGATGACATGCTGTGTGGACGTTTACAGCCATCAAGAAAATACAGAGTTGATAGTATGGAAATGATGCTTAAAAAGATTTTTCCAAATGCTGATTTTATAGTTCTAAGTGACAGCGATGATGAAAACAATAATGAAGAAAGTTCACTATTAACAGAGATCATTGTGGATAATGAAAATGCTATAAATGAAGAAATTTCGAAATGTCTACATCACGAATTCAACGACGATAGCTCTGTTGATGATGTTTTGGTGCCACTATTGAAAAAGAACATTTCCGAAAAAAATATTCCTGTTGAACCGAAGAAAATAAAAGCTCGAAGACCATCAATGTGCGTGCCATCAATAGCTGAATACTCTATTAAAACACAAAAACTACCGCCATCATCAGCATATGCCAAGAAGTCTAAAATAGATAAACCAGCTCTCTCCTTAAACTACAAAGAAACAAAGCCGATCGTTAAAGCTCCATATGATCCCAAAGAAGAGGCAATAAAATTAAATAATATAAAAGAAAAAATATACTGTAAGAAATTTTTAAAGCTCGATGATCAAAAAAAGGAAGTTAAAAACGAGGTGACAGCTAAAAAAGATGAGAAGGTGACTGTTAAGGAAGAAGAAAAGAAGAAAGCTCAAAATAATTCACTAGCTTCAACTTCGTCAGAAGTGAAATTGCAGAAAAAGTCACCATTAAAGGTAAAGCAACGTTCAAATTCCTTGATCTCTGAAGTTATTGAATTGTCAGAAAGTGACGATGAATTCAAAAAAATCCCAATATTAAAAACATGTAGACCTGTCAGGCAATGCTGGCGACCAGTCTAAGTATTAACAATTGGGATATTTTGTACTTAAAAAATTTAATTTATAAGTTGATTTAATAATAAAATAATATACATTGATAAAAATATCCATAGCACTAGGTTTTAATCGAATTTCTGATAAATCTTCAAATCTATAGTGCAGTTCTAGAAGTCGTCAAAGTCGTATGTTTTTATCTAAATTGTAAAATGCATGGAATGCATAGCTATGCACGTACTCAACATGATAAAACATGAAGAATGAATCAATAATAGACCAGCTGATTGTGGCAATGTTATATGAAATATTTGAAAATTTTATGAAATTTTAATTTAAGCATGAAGATAGGAACTTTCAGTATGAATCTTCGCAATCTGCCGATAGCAACAATGTAACTGATTTCTGAAAAGATGATGGAATTAAAATATAGCTTGTGGGACATTTATAAGAAGAAAAACCACGAAGTTTGTGGTTGAATTGAGAGCAACGACTAGCATTTTTTACAATTCCATTAATAAGCAATTTTTCAGAGAGAATTTTGGATACATTACAATATTCACAAATCAAATTTCTCATGAGAAGCTTACACAAAAAAGTATATCCATCACAGAAAACATCGAACATTTTTATGTACGCGTTAGAATAAATGTCTTTAAATCGTCGTGAAAATTTCAGTTGGTCGTCTTCATTCGGAGTGATAAGTCGCTTAAAAAAGAAGTTGTTTACGTCAAATAGTGATTCTGAAATGTCTGAAAGTAAAGAAAGTGCAAGAAATGGAAATAATTTCCATTGCGATACAATGATCAAGTACAAGGCACTGGATATGCCTGAAACATTACAATCTGATTTTGTGTACCCTGATACTCCATCGAAATGTACTTGGGTTCAAGATAAATCAAGTCAACCAGAAACACCTCATTCTGTTCGTACTTTGTAAGGACTTCTTTATATCTAGTTTAAATATTATTGGTCCAAAATTAGTTTAAGTAATTTACATTGTTGAGAGAGTCAGTAATGTAAATTAAAGAAGATCATTAGAGATAAATATTATTTAAGTATGTGCTAATTTGATAGGAACGAATTGAGAAATAAGTTACATCAATAGAATGAAATGGAAAAGTTTAGACTTTTCTTTAACACAAAAATAAAAGAAAATCGGCTTCTCTCTTTTATCGAAATAAATTAAATACGCTAAGTTTATATTTATACACATGTTTGCATTAAATGATAAAAAAGAAAACGTGAATGAAGATGCTTCTTGTTTTTCTCATTTTCCATTTTCAATTGAATAGATGCGTGGATAAAAATATGTGTATAAATAAAATGGAAAATTTTTGTCGCTTCTCAATATTTTCTCATATATTCGAATAGTCGTGAACGTCCAAAGACGATTCCACACATCTTGGATGCTATTGGAATGACACCAATGGTTCGATTGAATCATATTCCACAATCGCTGGGAATCAAATGCAAAGTTTGTAAGTTCGAATAATCATATATTGATATTCTGGTCACTTAATATGCCTGCGTCTCTCTAAAATTAGATGCCAAGTGTGAGTTCCTAAATCCCGGAGGGTCTGTAAAAGATAGAATAGGCTACAGAATGGTTCTAGATGCTGAAAGTAAAGGAACTTTAAAACCTTACTCGACAGTCATTGAACCAACATCAGGTAACACTGGAATCGGTTTAGCAATGGCATGTGCTGTTCGTGGTTATAGATGCATAATTGTTTTACCTGAAAAGAATTCAGACGAGAAAGTTAATGTCTTGAAAGCTCTTGGTGCTGAAATTATTAGGACAAGAACAGAAGCTAGATTTGATGAGGCCGACTCACTTGTTGCTGTTGCACAACGTTTGCAGAAGGAAATACCAAATTCCGTTATTTTAAATCAATATACAAATTCTGGAAATCCTTTGGCTCATTATGACGGTACAGGTTCTGAAATGCTTTACCAGTTGGATAATAAAATTGATATGGTAATACTGGGTGTCGGGACTGGAGGAACATTAACTGGTGTTGCTAGAAAAATTAAAGAAGAGTGTCCAAATTGTAAAATTGTTGCTGTTGACCCAGAAGGCTCGATTCTCGCACAACCAGACTCAGTGAATATTTCGGACGTTGTGGTTTATGAAGTTGAGGGAATCGGCTATGATTTCGTTCCAACTGTTCTCGATCGTAGTGTGGTTGATAAATGGATGAAGTCAAATGATAAAATGGCATTTCCGATGGCAAAGAGGCTGATTCGTGAAGAAGGCCTTTTATGTGGAGGATCAAGTGGTGCTGCAATGTTTGCAGCTATGGAAGCAGCAAAAGATTTAACTGAAGATCAAGTTTGTGTAGTGTTGTGTCCCGATAATATCCGTAATTATATGACGAAATTCTTAGTTGACAATTGGATGGAAGCACGAGATTTTAAGAAATCTGAAAATTTGTTCTGTCATGATTGGTGGAACAGCAAAATTTCGTGCCTTATTTCCAATCAATCTGCAATTACAATTACTGAAACTGCTACATGTCATGAAGTGATTGATAAATTAAAAAGCATGCATTTGGATCAAGCTGCAATCACTGATACTCATGGAAATATCCAAGGAATGGCAACAGTTAACAATATTATGTGCAAGATCCTAGATCGTTCAGTCGAACTTAATGATCCAATTTCAAAAGCTCTGTTCAAAAAGTTCATTAAGATTGAAATGGATACAACTCTCGGAAAATTATCAAGAATATTAGAAAAGGAACCGTACGCAGTCGTTGTTCAAAAACGAGAAATCTGTAAATTACTTTAATGTTCTTATCAAAGTATTAAGCTAATCATTTATTTCCACAGATCACAACAGAATGACCAAAAACATTGAAAGTGTCATCACAGTGTTAACTCAAAATGATATGCTTAATTATTTGGCTAATAAAAAATTAAGCAATGGCAATTAGGTTCCGATTGGCTAGCTATGTAGATTGCCATAATCAGGAATAATAAATGCAGATGTTCAAATTGATTCTTTTTGTTTAATCCAATTCATAATCTATGACTTTATTAAGTTAAGTTTTAGTTCTCTTTTATCTATTTAACAAACTTAATTATATAAATTTTACAAATATCTAACCATTGAATACTCTTATCTATAGCACATTACGGTCCTACTTTAATATGAATAAATCAATAATTTAATACCAAAATATTATGATAATCCTTAATATGCTCAACTTGACATGTTTTTTAAAACAATTTCTTGTTTACAACATTATTAAATTACATTTGCATTATAAGCTTCAATTTGGAGTAATGAGTGTTTATCCAAAATTTGAAGCTGTCAATCGAGAAACATTTTTTTTTTCTAATACACATTTAAACACAAATTCAATGTTCATATGAAGATGGCGCTATATTGCAGAACAGAGTGCTCATATCCAGATAATCTGCAAAGTCAAATTTCATTGAATATGTTTGAACAAGTGATTTGAAGATAGGTGATATGTATGTCTTTAAAAATTTATTTTATTATAGTCCCAGTTATAGTTTGTATAAAAAAAAACCAAAAATTAACAAAACATATTGAATGAGTGATAAAGGAATTAAAAATAGGAAATGCCTTGCACGGAAAAATCCATTTTAACCGTCTGTGCATGAACTTAAAACTACACACCTTTATAAACTTTTTTTTTTGGAATTGCTTTAAACTTATATTCAATCAAATCAAAACCATCACTGATAAAAGGAATAATTGCAATCCAATTGATTTACAATTTAGCTTCTGTCTTCAACAATGGTCCGAGTTTCTGGGCTAGCATGATGTTTCCTTGAATCTTGAGCTTTCCCTTCATGAACGCTTGTTGTGGATTAAGTTTTCCGAGAGCAATTTCAACAAAATCAGCATCAGAAACTGTGATTGTTGTGTCAGCCTTGCCTGATGGTGATCCCTCTGATATTACAGCATTCTTAAGATCCAATGCTAAAATAAATTTTTAAACATTAATTTCACAGAATTATCAGTGAAGCTCTATCATTCCTCTAAGCTTTGTTCATTAAATTCGTACTAACACTTTGAAAAACAATTAGCTTAAAGCTTGTGAGTAAATTATAAAAAAAAAAATTATAGAACGTATAGATTTGCATGATAGTTCAAACAACCTTTGGACTTTCCCAAAAATAATGATTCGGCAATAAACTTGAACTTTTGCACTGTACTTACTCCATTCTTTAGCAACTTTTCCATCCTTTGTAATCTTGTAAAGGAAAACTCCATTGACGGATTTTGCTTTTGCCGGATCAGCAGCAACTCGATCCTTAATTGCTTGGAAAATTGCGTCTGTTTGAAGTTCTGCCATTTTTGTTGATACTGACTGAGGAATGTTTTCTGATGTTGATTTTATAACGTTTAATAAGTCCACATAAGCACCTGTGATAAGGATAAGAAATAAAGTTTCTTTTATCGATTTGATAAACTTCTAGTGAGAACGAAGTTCGTGCTTCTTTTTCCGATCGATAAATGTGAAAGTGTCAAACCAAAAACCGTCAAGCGGTTCCAAATAAAATGAATTTTTTACGACCGTTAATGTTATGCCACTTACCCGATATAACTTCGACATTTGAATCGGCAATTAATGTTCTGAAATAAATGCGATTTCCTTCTTGCCACATTTCAACCTTCAAAGTATCACCTGGATACACGGGCTTTGTAAAACGAACTTTAATCGCCTTAAATAATGATGGATCATTATTAGCATATTGCTTCAAAATTGCACGAACTGATATTCCAAATGAAAGGAGACCATGCATGATTGGCTTAGAAAACCCTCCCATAGCAGCAAATGATGGATCCATATGCATTGGGTTAAGATCTATATTTAAGAAAATTACATTATTTTTAGAAATATAAAGTCATAACAATTATTAAGTTTGAACCTCCTGAAAGTCGATATAAAGCAGACTGGTCAATGCATGTCTTCATTAAAGCTGTAGAATCAGGAGCTCTTTTTGGTGCATTTTGGATCTGAATAACTTTTTCTGGCTGTCCCTTAATAGTATTATTTGTTTTTCCACCGACCACAAATGTTGATGATTGAGCACGAATAATTAGCTTTCCATTTTCATCAAATGAGTTACCTATTTGAGTTACATAACAAGCATTAAGCAACACAGCTTCAAATCTAAAATTATATGAACATCTTACACTCGACCGTAATTACAGCGCCAGATTTCTTCTGTTGAACATCAAGAACTGATGCTTTTGTAGTTAAAGAACCTTCAGTAGTCATTGGACTGACAAGTTCTAAAAATTGTTCACCATGAAGAACCTGTAATGTCATAATGCCTTATATGATTCTTTTATCTTATCAGAAAGTAAAAATAATTCTTACTCTTGAAAGATCAAAGTTTTCTACAGCGGATGGAGTTAGTTGTGATGACATTAGCATCACAATTGATGGAATGACTGCATGTGAAGGAAAGACTGAAAAGTCTGGATGATTTTCGTAAAGGAATTTCATGTTATCAGAATCTTCTGTAGAGATGCCAATACCTAAACTGTAAAGAATGACGTCTTTGAAGTTATAATTGTAGACATCCTCAAATTCGTTATTTTCTGATGGATTCTTTAATTTCTGTAACACTCCAATATACTCAGCACTCACTTCTACATTTGAATCATAATGTTTAGCCTTGCTCATATCAGTAATCTTGCTCCATTTTGCTCTAACAGCTTCTGGTGTTGGAACTTCGTTAATAGAATCACGAATGAGGCTACCAGGTCCTCTAACATAATGATATTTTGTAGCATATCCACAAGAACTTTCAATAATTTGTCCAGTCTCTTGAGTATCTTCATGACATAGATATACAACAACAGGTGCGATCAATTCAGGCTTCATTTCATCAAAAACTTCATCAGGAAGAATTCCTTTTGTCATTCTTGAAGCTGCTGTTGGACAAATTGTATTGCATCGAATATCATACTTAGCACCTTCAATAGAAACTGTATTCATTAATCCTACTAGTCCCAACTTTGCAGCTGAATAATTAGCTTGACCAAAATTTCCATAAAGTCCAGAAGTACTTGTGGTCATGATTATTCTACCGAACTTTTGTTTCTTGAAATATGGCCAAGCTGCTCGGGTTGTTGCAAAACTTCCTTTCAAGTGAACATCCTGAATCTTATCCCAGTCATCATCAGAAATATTCACAATTGACTTATCACGAAGAATTCCAGCATTATTAACAAGAACATCGATACGTCCAAAATTCTTAATTGCTGTCTCAATAATTTTATTACCGTCGACAACACTGTTATAATCAGCTACGGCAGTTCCACCAGCTTGCTTAATCTCATCAACAACTATGTCAGCAGCATTTGTGGATTTTCCTTCACCATTCCAATGACCACCAAGATCATTAACAACGACTTTAGCACCTCTTGATCCAAAAAGTATCGCATATTGTTTTCCTAAACCTGCTCCGGCACCTGTTACTACCACAACTCGATTGTCAAATCTTAGGGTCATTTTTACTGGAATTCTGTGAAATTTAAAAGTTCAAATTTTATTGGAAGATCAAAGTTCAACATATCCACAATATTAAGAGTGATTATATTCGTTATCAAAATAAGATTATTGACAAAATATTATAAATAGCACTGCTGATAGCTGCTCTTTTAAATAATTTATCTATACTAATTAAATAATTAATCATAATAACTTCAGTTCCAACAAAAACTATCGGGAATGTCAACAGATAATTCAAAAGGTTTTAAAACTTAATTTTTCAAGAACTTCATGACACTCACCTTTGCTTTCAAATTCGGAACTAAAACAAATCAAGTGAATGTGTACGAAGAGAAATTATTTCTTTAAGCCTTAAGTGTATGGAACACAACAACAATAACAAGACGGTACTCATATCACGAAAAACTGTTGGACGTAACTTTATACCCTGCATGCCGTCAAAATTTTAAATCATTCGTTATGTTTAAAAGTTAAGAAAATGAACAAAATAAAGTTTTTTCTAAGTGGATTAATCGAGTCGTTTTATATCCATCGCATAATTTTTTATTGATCATATATCCATAAATCCTTACATTTTTCATTTGATACAAATTAATTATTGATGGCAATGTAACAGATTTTCTTGTTTGTGGGAGGAATATCAAAGGAAAAATTTAAGGATTGAAGATAAGTTTAGAGGAATTCAGAGAAATTTCACCAGCGACATTTTTTCCTCATCAACTATTATTGGGTGGTGCATTTATTATCGCTTGATTTTAAGGAAAAAGATTATTATTATTATTATGTGTTATTTAACCATGATCGAAGAATAGTTTTTCTACATATCGAAATAAAAGGTTTGCTGAATTTAACTCAAAGCAGCGGCACCAGAAATAATTTCAATCAATTCTCTGGTAATGACAGCTTGACGTGTTCTGTTGAATGTTAATGTAAGTTTATCAATCATTTCACCGGCATTTTTTGATGCATTGTCCATAGCTGTCATTCTTGAAGATTGTTCAGCACATGCACCTTCCTTCATTGCGAAGAATAACATTGATGCCAATGAGAATTCCAAATAATTCTGGATAACATCGGAATCTAATGAATCGTAAACTGCGAGTTTTGGTGCTGATTCAACTGATTTTAAGCTAAAGACTGGCAAGTCAGAAATTGAATATGAGACGACGGACTTGAAACGATTGTACATGATCTTTCCATCAGTGAATTCGTATTCAAGATTCATCACTTCATTTGCCAATTTTGATGCATCTAAGAATTGTGGTGCTAATCTTCCGACCTAAAATTGATAAAATCAATAAGTTTCCTTAACATTTAAATGAATGAAGTGACAACTTACTTCACTAGCAACCATCAAGATATTTTTGGCGTATAAACGTTGAAGAATAGCACGACTTTTGTCACCAACACAGATAACTTTAATGCTTGAATCAGCAGCTAAATCAGCACGAATATGACGACAAATACCGCTGTGAATGGCTCCACAAAGACCTATAATTCAAGCTTTTTACTAGATAATTTGGTACAAGCTTACAAATTCAGAATTTACCTCTGTCGGAGCTCATTGCAATGTACAATTTCTTAGTTTCCTCGGTCTTTTCAGGAGCAACAACTTCAGCCTTTTCGTAAAATTGTTTGCTACCTTCACCGTATGGTCTTGCCTGTTTCAATTCACGTTCAGCACGAGCATATTTAGCAGCTGACACCATTTTCATGGATTGAGTGATTTTCTGGATGTTCTTTACAGACTTTAGACGCATTGAAATTGTTTTCAATGTTGCCATTCCACGCTGTTGTTGGGCGCTAGCCAACATGTTACCAGCTGTTGGCAAAATCGAAGTTGCTGCTCTCTGCATCATCTTTGCCTAAAACGATATAATTAAAGATCCTTTTAATGTTTTTTGCAATTTTCTAGCAAGTACTTGTAAGCACTAATACAATCAAAAATGTTAGATCATCACTTTGAAAATTTTCCGAATCTGGATTTTCTAGCTTTTTTACATGCTATCATTAACTTTTGACTAGTTATTCTTTAAGAATATACTTTAAATAATCTAAAAAGAAGTGAATTGTTTAAAAAGTTATCGAATGTGTTGCGTAAAACTAGACTTGGACGAGCTATTGATAATTTCTCAGATTTAAACTTATTCTTCACCTTAAACTATTGATAATTTAATGTATTATGTTTCACTTATGTTATATTAATTATCTGATCTTAAAATAAAATTAATTAAGCTAGTAGAATAATAATTAAATAATTAAATACCTTCTAATGTGAATTTTTCAAAAAATCGAGACAAGATGGTTAGTTTAACACCCCTCAAAGGGACTTTACACAATCTTTTGAGAATTTAAAAATAAAATAACCGTTGCACTTTATAGATGGAACTTAGAGACTTAAAATTCTTAAAATTTAACTTTAACTTAATTTTTTATGCATCAATATAATGCAAGGTTTACCGAATTAGTTATAAATAAATTAAATCTACATTAAAACTAGGCAATAAAAATTAATGAAACACATATTAATTTTGCTGTAAAATAAGATTAATTATTATTTTTATTATTTTTTTAAAGGAATTTTACCTTTTATAAGGACGTTCCTTGATTTTTTTTCTGAATAACGTTATAAAATGTATCGCAATTGTTTTGTTTTATTAATCATCAACACATATTGAATGAAAATAATAAACATGCTAAATAGTCCCAAACCTTAAATTTACTTAACATTAAAATGAAAATATTGAAAAACTTAAAAATATTTTTATTTTCGACAAAAGGGCAGACACAAAATCGCCATTATTTGCCTTTTTTTAAAAGCACTATTTTGTGAAATTATCTCATGACCATTAAGTTATGCATCCACAAAATAGTACGACCATGTCAAAGTCTAGTATCATAATCCTTATAAATCAATATTTTATATTTTATACAAGAAAGTTATTCTTAAAAGTTTTAAATCAAAGCTAGGCTTATTGGGCTTATTGTAATTTTTTTTTTTGATTAATGTTTTCCACTTAAAATATCAACTAAGCAAATTTGAATTCTCTAATGGACAAATAGTTTTGTCACATTTTTAATTTTACAATTGCAGATTGGGCAGCTTTTTCGTTTCTTCCAAACTTTTAATGCACACTTATAGCAACAGCACAAATGAAGACAATTATTGTGAACAAAGACGCCATTTTTAGGATTGATCATGCAAAAACGACAAATTCCTAAATTGCTATCATTAATATCAGCCATTAACTCTTCCGATGACTGCTGTAAGTCAGATGCTACAGGACGAATGCTTGAACTGTCTTTCATCTTATCTTGACGTTCTTTCGTGAATTCTTCGACACGTGTTAGAATTTCTTCACTATCAGTCTCCTCATCAGAATCTTGTTGGATTTGAGTTGATGCTTGACTGGCGGGAAAGTCAGGTTGTGAGTCAGTGCTTCTTGATGATACATTTGAAGATGATCTCGCTAAATATCCTTCTTCAACAGGAGATGATGAGAATTCTTGACTTGATTCCTGACATGAACTTACTCCAGAATCTTTCCATTCTAAATGATTCGGAGGTAAACGCTGTCTTATACACTTTAACTCTTGTCTATAAACATTCTGGATTATCTTATTTTCTACCTTATATTCTACATATTTATTATTTTCTCGACTAGATTCAAGCTTTATATTTAAACTTGTACTTGGATAGCTTGAAACTTTTGCTATCTCAATTGACGCTGATGGCGTGACCTTGATTTTCGTTATGACATCACTATTTTTATACGAAACGATCTCGCCATCATCGCCACAATCATCAGAGCTTGTATGATTACAACTTAATTCACCCGCACTATTAGCATGTTTACTATTTTCATTACTATGCTTATCTTTTATAATTGTTTGATTACCATTTTTAATGCAGGATGAATTGATTGTTGGTGAGGCTGATTCATCACGATTAGACATGAATTTTTTCTTCACAGGACTATCGAACTCTGAATCGCTATCAATCTCCGTTGTTGAATAATCTTGACTTTGCTGAGCCATTTTTCGCTTCCGATTTGGAGTAGTTCTTGTCTTTCGCAATTTTTTGGGTCTTGGCGGGAATAAACTTTTACGTACCTGGAAGTAGAATAAAATTTTTTTAGACGATTTACAACTCAAGTTGAATCGGAATTGGTACATAACAAAAAAAATAAAACATGAGTCATACGTCATGTGTAAAAATGAAAGAAAGAAAATAATTTTTAACCTCGCAGAACAAAGAAGAATAAGAATTTAAAAGTCCAATTTTAAATGGTTTGTTTTGAAGATTCTAGGGAGGTTTTTCCATTAGAATCATAAGAAAAACGATTGTCCTTGACGTGGATCTAATTTTTATGCAGCACAAATCCAGTTCCGTAATGTAACGGAATGTTATGAAATTCACGAAGTTTGCTAGTCACATATAAAGACTTTATTTAACAATCAGTCAATTTTCGAACGATTTAAAAATTTTATAAACTTATATTTTTTAAACAAGATTTTAGTCTAATTTAATTAATGCAAAATATTCTAAGTTTTTGAGTCTAACTCCTTCCATCACTTGAAATCAAATGTTCGGAAAAGAAAATGATCCGCAACGAAAAAAAACTTATGATAATGTTATGAATGTTATGTGAGATGAAAGAAAGAGCAACAAATTCTTCTTTATTTTTGTGTCATGCTCTCGCGGTTGAATTGAAAAACATTATGTGTATATTTGGTCGCTATAATGGTATTTCCGCTTCTCCTATTTATGGTAGTTTCTTCGCGATTCTTTTTTTTCGCACATGAACCGAAGATATAAACACGAGGACTACAACAAACACTATCTTATACTTTATTTTTCCCACTTAATAAATAAACATTTTTTTGAGTATTCAGCGATTTAGGAGAAATCTTTTTATAACAATATGAATATGGCTATCATCATGGTGAGACTAATTTCATGTTTCAGTTTACAATCTACCACAGAACTGATAAGATGCGTTAGCAAATTTTGTCATGACTTCAAATTTTTTTCATGATATTTTGTAGATAACTTTGGATTAATAAGGTAAATGCTTTGCTTATAAAAATTGTAAATAATAAAATTACACAAATATTGGTAAAGAGAAAATAAATAAATATATGGAACGAAAATGAAAATGAATGAATATACGACGTCTATGACATCACGAATGAAACGAGAGAATATCTCAAACACGTTTCAACATGTTTTGCACTCAATGACTTTTTGTTGGAATTTCATTGATACATAAAGAAATATTTTAATATGCGTGTATATAAATATTTTTATTTATTTCTTTAAACTTACCTGATAACACTTTTCGCAATATCTATACAGCGGATTATTTTGTCTATTGTTGCACTTGACGCATTTCCAATAGTCTGCTTGGCCCAATTCAAGGTCAACCGATCCGTCAGTATCATCTTCAGTGTCGGCAAGAATAAATTCATCAGAGTCGTCATCCTCTAGAAGATGACCATTCATCAATGCATTGAATTCGTAGAAAGCCGTCGTAGCAGCTTCAAGTGTGAATTCCTGTTAAATTAATAATTTTCATTTGCTAATTTCTTTCGATATAAATCAACAAGTTTACAACTTACATCAGTTCCACTTGATTCACTTGTATTATCACTATCATCCTCGTCACTTGAACTAGCGACCTCATACTCAACATCTAAGACTGCATATCCCTCAGTTTTGGATGATGCTGTATCCGAAAAATCGTCATCGGTGCTATCCTTACACACATCTATTGAAAAAATAAAAGAATAATACATAAAAGAATTAGAAGAATTTCCCGTTTTGAAATACTTAGGATTCTTTTTATTGTTCTTTGTAGCATGCATGGCATACATGTTCTTAACAAAAAAAAAAAAATCAATGTAAAAAGGAATAAAAAGAAGGAATCCAAAAAACTAATACAATCAAGGATTGTTGATTATAGCTAAGGAAGAGATGGAAGTTTGTAACTGACTGAAATCAATGGATTTTCACTTAAAAGTTCATTAGCAAGTAGCTGACTTGTTAATAAAATAATAAAAAGAAGGAATAATGAATATATTAAACAGACGGGTGTCGTATGAGCATGTTCGGACAAGATTTTGAGCCGTCTGTTTACGGAAACTCCACTATGAATCAGAATGCAAGGTATTACTATGTCACTACAAGATTTTGCGCGTAAAAATGCGTAAGAGCATGCAAATAAATGCGACGGATAAATATCCAAGATATTTTTTTATTTTTTTGGAGATTGGAAATTTCCATTATCTGGATTAGGAACGCGTGAAAAGACTATTCAATTAATAAATAAATACTTGCCTGTTTCCTGATTGTGAAAAGAATCATAAGAACTTTCATCATTATAGATATCCAAGCTTTGATTAAGTGGACTTTCTGGGGCTAATTTAATATAATATGAAGACCTAGAATTAATATTAGATGATTCTCCACCACTAATTCCGACGTTATTCCATTTTCCATTTTTTTGATGTTGCTGTTTCTTCAAATCTGAAATTTCACGATTAACGTGGTAGAAATAAATATGCGATGTTTAACAAAATTTCACGATACATTTGCACTATCACACTTTATATATTTTCATTTTATAATATTTTATTTTAATACCTTGTACACTAGAAAAATTCATTACGACTTATTTGATATTTTATTTACAGTCTTTCTCGCTCAAAATGTTAAAAATATTTTAATCAACTATTTTCTTTAAAACTCTTTTATAATATTTCTAGTACAACTTTTTTACATCTTCCGTTTAAATTTATTTCTATCGTTAATATCCGTCTACATTGAGGATGCCTGCTACTTTTCCCAATGTTTAAATACCCATGTTTCATTTGCCTAATAGTCAACTCCACACTAATATCATTATTTTTTATTTTTGAGTTTTTATGATGACAGAAACTGAATTTAATTTTATTGATTTACTTGCATTCTTATTTGACTATTATTAAATCTATATTACTTAGATTAACTTTCATACTTCAGCATATCACATGACATCAACAAATGAACCGGTAGATCATTATAGTAGTGGGGAGATGATAGGTTGGGTATTAATAGTGGGCAGTTTTATAACAGGTTTGAAATAATTCCAAACGTTAAGAAAATATTCGGATTGATTAGTGCAATTTACGGATAATATGGAAAACCTCATGGGGAAACGCTCTGGTAAAATAATTGCGAAACTTTATAACATCGAGAAATACGTGGATGAATGAATCTCAATTCAAATCTAATACAATTTTAGATTCTTAAACTATAGAAATTTCTTAACATCGAGGTTCTTAAATGTTTCGAAACTTTTTGATCCAACAATTAATTTTTTACTTTGGATAAGAATGAGTAATTTTAAGGAAAGGATAAGTGGAATAAAAGCGTATAAATAAATAACAAAACATTGAAATAAAAAAAATTATATTTTTAAGAAATAGCTATATATTTTTGTAAACCTCTAAGAAAGATCTTATGGAACAATGAAATAAACCGGTAATTAAGAAAAGTGAAGCTATAGATTGAAGATTAACAATTTAGAATGTATGATGAAACAATCTTTACAACATTCATCTAATGTGATTTTTATAAGAGGAAAATTATAATGGAAAATAATAAACAAAACTTTACTAAAGCCGAAAATAGACAAGGCAAATCGAAAGGAGCTGAATTACCTTCGAAGGTGGCACAATTGTAAGGATGAATCATCGAAATGTGAATTTTGGATTGCAAAATATTTCATAAATTTTCAATTTTTCCAATAATTTAATGCGTAGATACTATCGTCATGGACTCTTTATTACCAGCTACCCAACGTGCAGCACAAGTCTTGCTATATTAACGATATTATTTTGCTGGTGTGTTAACTTCTCATTAAAATTTTTTTATTTGTATGACGCAAATATATCTTCTTATTTATTTATCATACATATATAGCTACCCACTCCTTAACTTCTCCCCATTGCCCGGAAAAATTCCAACAAAAGTCATTTTGCCGTACAACTCACAACACGTTACAAACTATTCGTATGTCAAGGACGTAATCGATGATAAGGAAAGTGATAATGATGATCATCGACTTAACAACAATAATAAAATCGGCAAATTGCACACCGATGCAGAACAAAATAACAACTTTTCATCTTCTTCACTTCCTATTCCATCGCATTCGTGGGCAAAAGTCCAACCGCCATATATGTATGTGCAGCAAGTGATACTACGAAGCATTGTATTACCTTGGGAAAAAGAATTAGTATTAACGGATGCATTTCGTGGTCCACTATTTGAAGTTTTCAAATTACTTGAGATTATCAATAATCATGAGACGAATGTGACATTAAGCAATTTGTGTTTGCATGTTGATAGTATTAAGCGACCTCAAAAAGACGTTTATTTTCCCGAATATAATTGCCTTGTGCTATCGCCTGCCAATTTCTGGAGACAAAATATTCACAATTTGAATAAAGACACAAGCTTGTTGAGCACAATATTTCAGCAACATGTAAGTTAATAATAAACATTCAATGCATCCATACAAAATGATTACTCATAAATTTTTCAATGCATCTTCTTTCCCGCTTTATATATTTTTAGAACAATCAAAAATCGAAAGTTTCAACAGCAGAAATGCTTCTTGGTGTCCCAATTTTGGATTCTGGATTGAAACGATATCCATTACAGAATCGCTCAAGAATAATTCAATATGCCATAACATTAATTATGAAGGAGAGAAATCAAGAATTCATTTCATCTCTTCAGAAGAAGCTGCACAAAATATATCCATTACATCAGGAGCAATCGAATGAATTAACAGATAATTATATAAGCAATTCATCAGTTACATTTATATATTATCCCGGTGAATTTAACATGATTGAATTAGTTCCGTTGAGCATTGCATTAACCGTCCTCTTCATCTACATGTACTTTTCAATCCGAAAAGTTGAAATGATACGCTCGAGGTTTATTGTGTCATTATCAGCCGTCGTAACAGTTTTAGGTAGCCTTGTCATGTCAGTTGGATTTTGCTTCTTCTTTGGACTTAGCATCTGGGTACAATCATCAATGGGAGTTTATCCATATCTCTTACTCCTTGTTGGCCTTGAGAATTGTCTGGTGCTGACAAAAAGTGTAATGACAACAGAAAATAATTTGGATGTTAAAATTCGTGTTGCACAGGGTCTTATGAAAGAAGGATGGGCAATAACAAAAAACTTGATGACAGAAATAACAATCCTGACAGCAGGTCTCGTCCTAACTTTTCTTCCATTCCTACAAGAATTTTGCATTTTCGCCATTGTCGGATTAGTCTCTGATTATTTCCTTCAAATGTTTCTCTTCTCAACCGCTTTGGGACTTAATATCAAGCGCGTAGAGGTTGAAATGGAAGTTAAGAAATTACCAAAAATGTTTGACTATTCATCATGGCATAATCGCAAGGAATTAATAATGAAATATGACGCGAGATCATTGAATCGATCAAAATCACATCCTTCTCAACTGTCTGATTTAGAGCATAAAGAAATATCAAATGCAAAATCAACAGAGAAGAAAATTCCAAAACGTTTACGAATTGTTAACTTTTGGGCGCGCACAAGATTCTTTCAGCGTGGCTTTATGATCTGGATGGTTTTGTGGATATCAAATATTATCTATACATCAGGAATAATTGAAAATATATTCATGATTGATATGAATAACATAATAACGAGTGATAGTTCAACAATAACACCGAGTGAAAGAACGAGTGAATCAATTAATAATTATGAGAGTATGGTTAAGAATCTCTCAAATATCATGATGGATTATTATACGAAAAATGTTCAATGGAATAAGAGAATGGATGAGAATACAGAACACAATGTAACCGACAAGATACAAAAGCTCAAGCATCCACATTATGAGATGAGCAACAAGTTGTCAAGCTTTCATTGGGCGAGTATATTGAAGCAGTACAATATAACAATGAGTGGACATTACGTGACAATCTTACCTGCCATTAAAATATCACATGTGGTTCCAATGGAGGTTGCATTAAAAGTCCGTAATCCCAATGAAACACCACCATCGTCATCAAAATGGAATGCTTTAACATCTGCTCTTGATCCACTTGATTTAAATGATGCTGATGCTGAAGACGATTTACCATTTGATTTAGATGATCATCCACTCTTCCCAAAGACACCAATGGAGATTATGCTAACCGCAATTTTGTGTTTAGTCAGCGTTTTTGTAATTACATATACGATGATTGTCATGTATCGTTGCATTTGCTCCAGGAATTATGCTGAGTGGAGATCAAGTCATTGGGACGATACTGAAATAATTGAGACAAAGACTGAACAAGTATTGGAAGGATTTCCAATTCGAGTGAAGGGTCATAAACACAACATTGAATGTGTAGTATCTGATGGAAACTTAATAGCTAGTTCCTGCTTGCAAAATATTATCAAAATCTGGTCATCGACAAATGGAGAACTTGTGGCGGAAATTAATAGAATAAGTTATTTTGAGCAACTTCAGCAATATTATTTAGAGAAGAAATCCCCATCAGTTTCCGAAGAGAGTCTTATTATGGAGCAACAGTCAACTCAAATGGAAAATGTGGCACAAATTAAAACGACACCACAGCAACAGCCGCAAAATGATAGTAAAGCAAATCAATTGCGACTACGAAGCAATTTAAATTTTGATTTCTCATCGCAACGTGTTAAGAGCTGTGATGGAGATTTTGATTCACAGAATGAATTCAAGAGGAGTTATGAGAAATATTTTGAAATAATACCAGCACGAACAAAGTCATTTGACTATGATACACAATCGTCGTCAGATACGATATCTTATTCACCGACATCGCCATTAACAAATAATACCAAATTTAATAATTATATAAGTTTAAATAATAACTTGAATCGTGTCAATAGTAGCAGTAGTGATAATGTAAATGGATTAAATTCACCACAATATAAATCATCACCAATATGGACACTCGATTTTACTGATAATTTAATAGTAATTGGATGTGCTTGCGGAAGACTTGAATTCTGGGAGGCAACGACTGGTACTTTAAGGACAATTTTTGAGACAGATAAGACTCATGGAGATGGAGTAACACATGTGAAATTATCTAGTGATAAAGTGGTAGCTGCACGCCTATCAGGTCGTATTGATTTTTATAGACTAGAAACATACACACAAGGCCGACATATAGATTGGAATTTTACATCTGCCTATCGACGAACACACATCCGTACTGGTTCAGCAGGCAGTCTATCTAGTTTTAATCAACATCAACAACAACAAAATAATCGATATGTACCGCGGAATTCCTTAAATTTATCATCGCCATTATCGACCACATTATCATCATCGCAGAATCAATCAAGTGCGAGCATATCATATTCACCGACACAAGAGGAATTAAGATGTATATTAGAGCTGCAACATCCGGGCCATACACAACCAATAACCTCATTAGATATGTTAGGAAATGTGCTCTTCACGGGCAGTCAAGACCACACACTCAAAGTTTTTCACACAGACTCGAATACTTTAATGTATACCCTTCATGGGCATTGCTCTCCAATTACCACTCTACTAATTGATCATTTTCAAGCTGGCACGGGTTGTTCAGGGTCTCAAAATGGAATATTATGTTTATGGGATGTTGTTACAGGTATGCATGCATATTCAATTATTTCCACAGCCTACACATGTTCTCCTTTCTTCCCACCTTCTATTTCACACACTAAAATCTCTTAACATCATCTCATGCATATATATTAAAATAAATGTATTTAATTAATTTTACAGGAGCTTGCCTCTATAACTTGCAAGCACATGAAGAATGTTTAGTCTCCATAACAAGTGCACCTAGCTACATTATTACATTAGGTTTAGATGAACGAATACGTGTTTGGGAGCGATTTCAGGGGCATTTACTAAATACGATTAATCTTCATCATGCCCATTCAAATTCAATTGTCATGTTGACTCCATCGTTGCTGATAACAGCTAAACCAGGTAAAGTTAGATTACATCATGAAGTTTATTTATTTTTTATGCTCCAAAACACACACACGCATTTTTGTTTCATTTGCTGGAAGGAATATTCTCAAATATTCAGTTTTATTGAAGAGATTTTCAAAACTGGAAATTAGTTTTCATAGCTTAATTGAGATTAGTGTTTTGACACATGCATGATAGTCATTCAAATGAAGCTGAAATGAGATATATCCTTAAATTTTAAAATGCTGCAAAAGTTTATTTTACCCAATTTGATTATAATATTAATTCTCAAACTTTTCTTACCTTATCAATTGCATTATGGACATATAATGAATTCATTAGGAGCTCTCTTGGTGTCAGATGTGAAGGATGGTCATGTGAAGCATGAGGTTAAACTAGATCGATCTGAAATGAGTCAACAAATAACACCCAAGATGCTGATTCCATCATTTGGACAAATTATTTGTGACTTTGGTCACGAATTGCGAGTTGTTAGATTTCCATTGCATGATAAGAATGAATAAGAAAAGAAGATGAAGAAATGAATACTTCACTTTAGTCTTACATTTTCATTTCTGATGATGACTTTTTAGATTCCTTTTAATTAATTTAACAATCAAGCTGTCTTTCCTTTTTACTTTGCTGCTATGCTTATCTTCCTATCAAAAACTATACTGTTGACGTCGCTATAAAATGAGAAGAAAATTTTTCTATCAAGAACAAACGACAGGGAAAAAAGGGGGAAATGAAAGAATAAAAAGAACTTTTTTGATGTTAATTTTGAAAATAACTTTTTTCTTTCTCTGTTTTATTTCTCCATTGTTTAAACAATTTTTATGTTCTTTTTTCTTGAGTACATTTTAATTTACATCATTTTTGCTCATTGCAATGTTATTATAATATTTATTATAATTTTTTTTTTATTTTGAACTTTTTCTGATGTTTGTTGATTTTTTTTTATACGAGAGCGAGCGAACAGACAATAAAATGTGTTTTTTGTTCAATTAATTAAATTTTTTTACAAATAATGTGGTTTTCATTCATTCTTCTTCCTTCTTCCTTTTTTTTTCGCAGCAAGAAAAAATCTTTTTCGAGGAACCGAATTTTTTTGAAATTTCTTCTACTTACTTACATGATTCATCGTCTCATTAATTTCTCTTTATATTTATTTTTTCAGTATATCTTCTCATAATGTTTACTTATGTATCTCCTTCTGATTGTACTTCGCCTCATGGCATCAATGAGCGACTTGAAAAATTCTTCTTTTCTCAAGGACCCGAGTGACTCAAAAATCTACTTGAGTATCTGTACATGCATGACAATCTTTATCGTTAAGATCATCATTCAGTCACTCGTCAACAAACTTTAAGGAAATATGTCGCTCGGATTTTTTACTCTGATTCCACGCTCATCTCAGAAGGAAGTTTCTTGTTGTTTCAGTAAACTTACTAATTGGCCGAAACTTTTATTTTCGAGAGCTTTTGGGCATTTTGTGTTGTAAAAAAATAATAAAAAAATCAACTTTCAACATTTTTTTTTAATGTTACGGTACACAGCAATTTACTCTCAAAATACATTCCTTTAACATTTCTTTTTTAATTTTGGATGAAAAGAACTGAAATATCTTTCATGACGAACGAAATTGTTTTGTTTTCATTTGCTGGGAGGATTTTTTGGGTTTAATTTCTTTCTTTTTTTTGTTTTCTAAATTAATTAATGTAAAACAGATCTTATAACATCTGTTGAAAAAGCATTTTTCGTATTCTAAACTCGTGCGCTGAACCATTTTACTCAATTCTTTTAATTTATAATTTATGCAAGGGATTTTGTCACATTTAACTCTTTAAGATTTTACCAAATCCAGCACAGAGCACGCAAATAACAAAAATTCTAAAGGAAGAAAAATGTCGATTTTTATCTGGATTGCCACTCCTCTGATTACTTATTATCTACATAAGAAATATATTTCATGAATAAACTTTTCTTTTTTTTTTGTCAATGAAACAAGATTTCATGTACTTATATTTTGTTTATAATTCTTCATCATTAAAGCATATATTTCATCTATAAAATTATATATATGTATATATTTCTCGCAAAAAACATTTTATAATATATTTTTTTTATTCTCTTCATCATCTCATTCATGTATATATAAAAACAACTCAAAAAATTTATATCTTCATATTGTGTGTCATCATTTTTTTAAATAACAAATTATCTATAAAGGAAAGCTTCTTCTCTTCATGCGAAAGCTTTTTATTTTGTCATTAACTGACATTAACAAAAATTCATAAACATAAAAAGTATGAATTACAGGTGGGAGTATTGAGAGGAATTGTAATGGAAAAGTAATCAACTTCCTATAAAATTTTACAATCCCTATCATAATTTTAATGTTTTCCTCTTCAATGAGAAATAATTTTTTATTTTCAATCGATTTAACATCCTGGCAAAAAAGTTCAATTGGTGCCTAAGAGTCAAAAAAGTGATTATTCAAAGGTCAAAGGTATTTTAATATTCAATAGTTCTCTTGGCATTATTAAATAATGTCCTTAAAGCAACAATTGTTACTTCAACCTCTCTAGTTATAAATATCCTCAAGTACCATGAAAAAGGCATCTGTGAAGTTGAGCGAAAAAATGTCTTCAATCAATCTTCGAGTTCTGTAAACCTTTGACATTAAATTATCATGGAAAACTTGACAACAAAGCCATCACAATTCCACCTCAGTACCCACCATTATTGCACATTTTATTTATTACATAATATATTTATTTCTTTTTTCATCTTATTCATCACCAAGCAATGAAAAATCAAAAAAATTGCGATTTTTTCTTTTTAATTTTTATTTTCTTTTAAAGATTCTTCTTATTTTCAACTATTCACGGTGTATTTTTTAAATTAATTTGGCATTTTAAAGGCTTTATTTCATTAAACAGCCCCAAATAAATTAATACAATCGTTAATTAATTATTATTGAAACAACGCAAACGTAATTATTATTTGTTCTATTCGAAATAAATGTAAAGAAGTTGGGAAGAGCATTTGTTATTTATTTTAATTCAAGGCAGAGTTGTTATTGACAGGCATGATAGGCCTGTGTATGCCCAATTCCCAGTCATGAATCAAAACAACAACTCTGATTTTAACGAATGTCTAACGATGAATAAAGTATTTTAATTTAATTATTGTTAAAGGTTTTTGTATCGCTTAAATTTTTTTCAACTTTGCTGGAACTTTCTCCTATTCTTTTAAACAAATTTTTCTTTTACGCTCTTCAGGTGGGGTGTTTCATACTGTACGCAAAAAGATTGATTTCTTAACATTTTTCATTCCTACTAAGTTAAATAAATTAATAAAATTAAAAACTAAGATAATGGCGTGGTTGGTATGGTTTAAATTTATAGGAAAGAATATTATTGAGGGATGAAAGAGGGGGAAAGTTAAAGGTAGATAGAAATAAAAAGTGGAGCAAAAATGAGAGATTTTCAATTTATTTTTTTTTATTTTTCATTCTATGAAGAAAAATTTTCATTTTTCTCATTTTTTATTGTCATTATTTCGCAATTTCATTTCATTCGTCCATCCATCAAACTTTTCTGTCTTTTTCCTTTTTTTTAACCGACATATAAATTGTGTGAGAAATAGAAATTATTAAAGAATTTTCGGTGTATGTAAGAAGCACGCGCAAGTTGAGAAAGAAAAATGATAAGTCTCCTCGTTGATAAGTTGAAGGTGGCATAGTTCATCATAAAGTGATTTCTTTCTTATTATTATTGTTGGAGATATAGAGACAGAGATAAGTTAAAAGGTCAAAAACTGATGAAAAATTTCCACATTCGTTTTTTTTTGTTTGTTTGTTAAAAACTGATATTTACGAGATCATTTAACCCAAGTGACATAAACTTATTGACGCAATCATTTGACGAGAAAGTGGAATTTTACAGACATGAAGCAGCTGGGAGAATCCTATTATTAGCTATTTACAAATAAGAACCGAAAACTATCAGAATCAATGAGAAATTTTCTCATTGCATAAATTGATGAGCCACTTGTCTATCAAATGTTCACGACCCGAATTTTCTGTCACCTAGATCATCTCAGATCATATTATTATTATTATTTTTTTTCATATTTTATCTATTTTCATTTATTTTCGAGCTGAATGGTCCATTGATATATATTTTCATTTAAAATTGGATAATTTTTTTTTTGCGTAACTGATATGATTCTTGTTTTCATCTGTTGAGGACATTTTATTTCGGTATTTTTCATTGATGGGAAAATTGCAACACTTCTTACGGATCGTTGAGATTTTCCATTTAAAAAACTTTCAAGTATACTACAGCATCTATTGCAATTCTATGCTTATTCCCTTGCCAAAAAATTGTTTTTTTTTTTTGAATTATTCAATTTTCAATGCGGACATAAGAAAAATTTTGTTTATCATCACGTAAAAAATCTGACAAAATTTGCATAATCGAAAAATATGGAACCGAAAGTAATGCCAATTTCCATTTCTATACGAAAAGAATATCAGACCGTTTTGTAATAAAATACGCTTCTAGGACTCTCTATTGGCATTCTTGAACTACAGCTGGATCTATGAGAGAATAATAAAATAAATTCATTGATCCATCTCGTACTTGAATGATCAATCAATTTTTTGTTATTGTTGTTATTCGAAATGATATTTACCCATTTTGATTTTGCCAATGAAACTTTTTATTCTCTTCTCGTTTGGATATTTTCATTTTGATATGCTGGATGGGAAAAAAACTATTTCACTATTTTTGCTTCTGGTTTAAAAATAATAGAATATTTTACACAACAATGTGCAATATGATGCATCTTTTATTCTTGTTTATTGAAATGTTGAAATCGAAAATAAATTCTTTTGAAACTATTTTATATCAAACTCTTGGCCAATAGACAAGTGGGAATTGATTGTATGGTTATTGAGGAATGTTCAAGTTTACGAAACATTTTGCAAATCAAATATTTTCAATTGTGGTTTATGAGGGAATCTCTTGAGTATATTATGATTTTTTTTGGCTCAGTGCTGTACACAGCTTATGTTTTAAATCTATAAAATCGATGGATTTGCTTTTCAAAATCCTAGGATTTAAGAGATAAATCCTTAAATTGGATTGGTTATTTATGAAGTTCAACATTCCATTAGAATCTTGTGACAGCGTCAAAAAACCCATTCTTTAATCGAAATGAGTTATGAATTGCCACACAATAGTTTATGAGATTATATAATGACCAGCAAGTTTCAAATTGATGACATTAATTGATTCTATCAACGGATACAACTCGAAACCCTCATAAATCAGCACTTAATAGAACTTTCAACAGTAAATGTTGTTTTTAATGAATGATAAGAACGAATTCTTGAATTTTCAAGTTGTTTTCATCTCAAAAGCAGAGTTTGATGTCGAATCAGTTCAAATAAAATCAAAAGAATTTATGTGAAGCAATATTCAGCCTATGAATATTATTGTTAATTGCAAATGCGTACGAGACGAACCAATTTAATTGCAATCGCCGTACCTATGCAGAATCAATGTAAACACAAAAGAATTTCGAGAGTAAAAAAAATTTCATCCACAATAGTGGCTTTCAAATAGAGCTCATTCAGAGAGATTGCTGGTTGAGAACTGCACAAAAAATTCATCGCATAAATGGGATTGTTTACAACAAGATGGAATGATGGTCGGGTATATGTTCATGATGGGTTTTTAAGTTTTTTCAACAATTTTTTAAGCTTCCTAAAATTTTTTCATACTTAATATTTTTTTTTGCATATAAAAAATTTTGCTTTTGCATTTTTCATTTGCTCGATAGAAATATTAGTGTGTCCGAGAATGTTAAATAAAACTTTTTCATATGTGCATATTTGAGTATGAAATTGCAGGTCGTGTGTGAGTAGAAAAAACTTTAGTTTCAATATGCAGTTCCTGCCTTAATTCCCCTTCATGTGCACATTTTTTCTAACTTTTTCGTTTCATTCCAACTTAATTGGGGGATGAATATTTCATTCGCTCTACAAAAGGGGACATTTGGATATTTTGTATCCTATTTTTTAAGGGATAGAGGAGGTCGAGTTTTGGTTATGTATTGACAATTTTTATCTAAAAAAGTGAAGCAATTTTATCGTTACTTAATGTCCGAACCATCCCAAAAAATCGTTCTCATCATTTTCATGAATAAATCAATTCTATCTAAAGACTCTCTTTTTTTGTGAGATATATTTAAAGTGATTTTGGGATTCATTCATCTTCAATTAAGTATCCTTGTGGAATACTTGGTCAGATGATTAGAATATATTCGCTAGCTAAATGTCTGACGTTATAATTTCAAGGATATTTGTCTGTGTCATTTTTAATTAAAAAACCGAGTTATCCAGCAACATCGTGATTTTTTAATGACTTTATCCAACATTAAATCGTATAATGTCCTGAAGATCAACATCTTTATCATAATCTTTATGCTATTAAATATAGTTTAATTTAAAATAATAATGATCGAGTAATTATATGACGGATAAGTGGTAATAATACTAACAATAATAACGATGATTTTATGAGTGAGATAAGAGACCATAGATAGAAGCTATACAGATAAATAGAGATAGATAATAAAAAAATAAATTAAATAATTCTTAACATTTCGCTTTAATACTCATTAACACGAGAAGGAAGACAACTTGATGATTCGGAGATGAAAAATAATTTCAAGTTGCTCTTCACCCACCTCACAATATTTTCAATATTCTAACTTTTTTTCGTCACGATAAATTGCAATTCAATTTATAAATTATCATCTTGACAAATTTATTAAATGTGAGCTTATTATTTTTTATATAAATTTTCATTATTGAACCACAGATATATTTTAACGAGTTTATGTCACTTTTATTCTTTTTCATTAATGCTATTAATTTGATTTTCATCATTTCTTTTCTCTCTTGTTTTTTTGTGTGTGAAGTTTAATAAAGATTTATTAACTGCTCCTTTTCTCATGCAGAAAAATATAATTACTTTGTTTGCTGCTAATTTAATTTCAAAGAATGAGTAAGGAAAAGAGAAGGCAAAGCAGACTTTTTCTCGATATCAGGTGAATATTTTGAGGCATTTTGAGAACGTATCATACAAATTTATATTGTTCTTTAAACTATACCCATGTCAGTTTATGATAAATTTACTCAAAGTGCTATGGAGAGAACTTTTTAAGGACATCGCTGATAAAAAATAAAAGTTTGTCGCATTTAATTTCTTGTAAACTTTTACTATATGGAATAAGATTTCTCCCAATACATTGATTTTCCTAATATCCACAAATTATTCAAATCCAATTGATTACTACTCAATCGGATTTAGCTGAGAGCATTCCACACATTGTTGTAGTTGTAGCAATAAGATTTAGAGCCTATTACCATTGATTTTTATGAGGCTCAAGGGATTTCAATTTGATTTTATGTTTGCTTTGAGATTACATCCTTAGGAATATGCGCAATAAATTTCTCGAGCATTTCTTACTCATTTTTTGAAAATTTATTAATAAATGAGAATAATTGAGGCGAATAACAATAATAAAAGAAGTAAGGGAAGGAAGTAAAGTTTCAATAGAAGAGCGACGAAAGTCAGGTGCACGAAGTCATTTGATTTATGATTTTACGTGAGAACAACTACCGGAAAAAAATATGTGTATAATGCCATAGGCTTATGATAGCTTTTTTAAATATATTTTTATTATTTTCTTGTTTTCATTTTACTGGTTCTGTGCCCACAAATAATACTTATTCAGAGGGGAATGAGAAGGTAAAAAGAAATCGGAAAAAATAAGAACGAATCTTCTTATCGGCTTTGAATGGAATGCTCAAGGAAAGGAAATGAGGAAGAAGAAGAAGAGAGGAAGCAGTCTTCACATTTTTTCTCCTATTTAATAAAAGTAAATTTCTTATTGCTAGACCGAAAATAAATTTTTAGATATTATAAGGATCATAAAGCTCATTTTCTGTTCGGTATACAAAACATACAAGAGACTGCATGGACTTTTCGTAAAGTTAAACTAATGTAATTCATGGGATTTAATTCAATGGGTGAAATAAAACTTTAACTAGGATTTTTTTGGGATGCTCTAGAGCTTTTAAAAAATTCTATTTGGTAAAATAACAAATTGTCATCTGCAAATGGAATTGAAATGTTACAAAAACTAGATTTTGGCATCAATATTGTTCAATACGAATTGTTTTATTTACATTCCTCTTAAAAATCTGGGATTTAGTTGAATATAAAAATGTTTACCTTCCCCTGAGTGCCATACAATTATGAAAAAGTGCTTCACTTTAGGGGGTCTCAGAGAATTTTGATTGAAAATTTTTCCATGTGAATTAATAAAAAGGGTTTAAATGCGGCTTTGAATAATTAAAGTGTTGAAAACTTTTTTTTTGTCTCGAATTCAAAGTTAAAAAAGAAATTTCGAATGTCATCAAACGTTGGGAGATGTAACTATAACGACAAAATGAGGCAATAACGATTCAAATTACTTCAATAAATCAACGGGAGACATTAGCTCGGAAAACTTTTCACATGGAAAATTTCATATTATGCCACATTTACGTCAAGATGTAAATGATTTATTAGATCTGAAATCTATCCGATTTTTCTTCTAAAATCTTTAAAATCATTCATTGCCAGCGATAAAACTCAAAATTTCGTGACTCATAAAAATGCTCTCAATTAAAATCATTTATTTTGTGGAGAAGGGGGAGGGTTGGATCACCTTCGTATTACAACTCAGTTTTATCGTCAAAAGAATGCGAGAATTAACGACAAAAGGCTTGCTCTTCTATAAAACTCCAATAAAAATTTCAAATTTTTGATTACCAAATGTTCACAATTCACAAACGTAACTAAGCATCCGATGACTATTGAGGAGAAGCCTAGCAGTTTATACGAGAGAAAGTAAAAAAAAAAAAATTCAATTAATTTCCCCAAAGACTCTCTTTAAAGCTCTCATTTTCTATGGGGATAAAAGCGCATAGTACACGACACTAAACCGTCCTTTTAAATTTTTTATGACTACCTTCAAAAAAACAAAAAATATTTTCTTGTGCCTTTCACAGTAAAAAAAATTCCAAACAACAAAAAAAATTGAGTTATTTCATTTCGCATCCATTCAAAGGAGAAACTGGGAAGGAGCAAAGTTATAAAAAATTAAGAAGAATAAGGAAACTTTAAACGCGTGTATCGTCTAGTTTGAAAAGAAACATAACAAGCAGCAACAGCAATTTTTATCATGTTTAATAGGAAATGGTAGGATTTTTTTTTTGTGTTAGAGCATTGGGCGTTTTCCGCTATAAATTCTGTTCATCTCATTAAGCATAACGAATTGAAAAAGCTCACAAAGCTTTCACATTTTAGCTTCATAACGCAGCTTATTCGAAAAGAGAAGAAAATGAATATTTTTCATAAAATTTCTCATTTTCCTAACGAGGTTACGATACGAGAAATTCTTTTTGTGAATGGAGGTGGGGATTCTATCTCAAGAAAAGAATATGATATGAGAATTATTTGAAGAAATTTCAGAAATTTGGAGTGAGAAAAGAGGCTGAAAAACATAAGAAATTAATAGTCTGATAAGAGGCGTACAACAAAAATCCAGAGGATAGATTAATAGTGAGTGAATGATTGAGTGAATGAGAGAAAGAGAAAAATTTTTGCTTGTTTTTCATCATGTTTGACAGAAATTATACAAATATGCCAACGAAGCGCTAGCACAATTTTCACTTATAGTATGAAATGTTCATCATCTTCTTCTTTTTAATTATTATTATTCTTTTTGCTTATTAGACAAGCTATAGAAAGATACAGTAAAAGTTTTACACCTATATCATGGTTTTTTTGAAGAGTCTTAAAATCCGCTATAATTTTTTCTTCATTATTATTATTATTATTTATTATTTATTATTCTTTTTTTTTGTATGTGTATCATTCTTGTTCTATATATAATTTTTTTCAAAAAAGTTTCATATTTTATTTTATTTCATTTTTTTGATTTAAAGCTATCATCATTTATTTCATTTTTTTTCATTAATTGAATTTTTTTTTTCATGTTTCAAAACACATTATTATTAATTTTTTTTTGTCATTTATTTCTTCGCCTTAATAAACATAACAAAAGGCGTCATAACCCCACATCTGCCAGAATATTCTTTTAAATTCATCATCAGCAGCAGCAGTTGGACACCCAAAAAATTCTAAAGCAAAATGATTTCTTTCTACGCGTCGTAATTATTCATTCAAGTGATGTCATTTTACACATCTCTTTTATTTTTGTATAATTTCCCCAACGATCAGAACAAAAAATATTCTCTTCTATTATTCGTTCAAACCCCCTAAACCCCTTTTTTTTACGGTGGCAATGATTTTCACACACAAACAACAAAACACACAAAAGAGGCTGAAAAATAAATGCTTTTTTTCTGTTACCTCAGAAAAGCTATAAAGTCTTGCAGGAGCGTAGCTAGAGAGGTTGATGTCAACCATCTTTCTCTTAACGAGTGAATTTATTCAATTTGAAAGTTTTTGAAAAATTTCTAGCTACTCTCCTGACGCCTCATATTCAAATATTCCTGTAAATAATGTTTGAATGCCTGAAAAGTCTATGCGTATTATGTGTATATAAATGATAATATTTATCCTACTCATCTTTTGTCAAAAAGCCACATTTGTCAGAATAAAAGTCAACATACAGGAAATAGCAGAAAGAATGTTGGAATCTCTTTTTCATTCTCTATTGTGGATTTGTGTTTATGTGTTTGTGTATTAAGCTTTCCTTCTTTTTTTTTTGTTTTAAAAAATTTCATTTCATTCATTCTAAATTTATCTATACATTCTCTCTATGTTCACTTACAGCTGATACCATTTTTTGTCGCGATATTTTGCCATAAGTTGTGATGCTGCTCCACTGAACTGTTGCGCTTCATTCGCCATCTTTTCAGCATTGTCTTCCAATTTATTTAATTTGTCACCACGTTCTATCATCATTTGATGGGCACGACTGAATTCATTTGATGCAGTATTTGCGCGTGTATTTAAATCTTGTATATTGGCATTCGGACCCGAAATTAATTTTGCAACAGATCGGTTTGGTTTACCACTGACTTCGCCAACTGTAAGCATATGGATATGGAATGTTTTAAAAGAATTTAATTAATAACTCAATTGGAATGCAAATAATTCTCAACTCACATAATTCCTCACGGTCAATGCTTCTCGCTCCGCCACCAAAGAGTCCTTTGAAGAAACTTTCTTTCGGTGGTTCTGGCATTTCACATTGTAGATATAATTCCCCAAGCATATCATTATAATTTTGACTGTAACAAAAATAAAATTATTTGTATTTATTTTAATTCAATTATTCTATTCACGTAAAGCAAATTAAAGGGAAAGCAAACTGCCTCCCTGCCTTCGTGTTTAAAACTTTTTTATTTTCTCTCATCGTCTGTGCATGCCATGTAAATACGTACCTAAATTCAGAGCACAATGTAAATTTTTGGATTTCAGTCGGTGTTGCCAAATACAATCCATGACCTCTATTGCTAAAGCAAAATGTTTTTGATATCCTTTATGATGTTTTCGTTTTGCATGAAGATTTTTTGTTTTTGATAATTGTAGGGGACAGGCAGAGCACGAGCAAAGTGTGTTGAGAAACAAATTAACGGCGTGTGATTATAGTTATGGAGGGAAAGAAAGAGAAAGACAAAAAAAGAAACGTACAATTAAAATTCCAATTAAGAAGATCACATTATTTTATTTTACAACAGAAAATAATCATTTTTATATTAATATTTCCTCTTTTTATCTACTCTCGCTCTTTCGATAATTAAACTCTTCGTTTCTTCCTTTCTTTTTATTTGGAGGGTACGGGGGAAGATATTTTGGTGTAAAAAATTATTGGAAAATGCAATTTTAGTGTAAAATTTTGTATTTTAAAACAGAGGTGTGACTAGAGGTGTCACAGGTCTTTGAGATTGATTTTTAGGGAAACAAGAGGACCAAACCTTAGTCACAGTGTTATTTAATTTGATGTCTATCCAATAATGTAAGTAAAATGATTCTATATTTCATGTTACTTTGGGTATCATTAGAAACTATAAGGATTTGAACTCAATACTCTTTTAAAAATGGGTAACAAATATTGAGACTATTGTCTAACCACTTGACTAGAGAAGCTTCAATCTCATGCTGGCAGATTTACATACATAAAACTTGATACCCTATTGAAGACGTCACAAATTATACACTTAGTTGTTTCCCCTTTACTATTCACATTATAAAGATTAAGTTTATAAATATGAATATTTCGGTCATTTGGCAATCAAGAAAACAAATGGTCAACAAAATTATTCTCTTTACAGCACTAAATCCTAGAAGTATTCAACATAAATGCTTCCCATTAATAAATTTTCCTTATAATTTCCAACTCGATTATTCATATTAAAAAAAAGGAAGTAATGATTTTAATTATAATTGTAGGAAGAGCGAGAGTGAGCAAGAGATACAAATATGGAACATCTTCTCGGCTTACATTTATTAATTTTTTTTATTCTTATACACATCATATATACATAAACTTTTTAATGATGTTTATTTTCATGCTGACTCTTCTTCGCATAAGTACGATTATGTATATATGATTTTAATATTGAGAAGCGCATATAAAAAATAAATTACGAAAAAACTCATAATTAAAATTAAAAAATACGTTTTAATATACAAGAAATATATTAGGCATAATGTTTAATACAGAAAAGCAGAAGAACGTTAGTAGATACCCAACATAAAAAATTACAATATCGAAAGAGGACATGCTTGTGTTATAAGTTTAAGTATTTTACACATTTTTTTAAAGTTTAGATAAAAAGTTATTGTCTCAATAAGGATTGAGACTTGAAAGAGGTAAAGCAATAGAATTGAGATTTTATGTACGTAAATGTACACAGAGGATATACGTTGTACTAGAAATGTAATCACAATTCAGTTCCAGTTTTATTTCAACTTTTAAACATTAAAGCTTTGTTAGCAAAATTTAATTATTTTTTTCATATCTCATTTTGTGGATTCTATTGGGGAAGAAGAGCTTCGAGTTCACCTTAAGGCTTCCATCGATGGTCGCATAAATTTTCTTTTCATTCTTAACATTTTATTTTCTCTAAATTTCTCATAAATATTTTCTTTAATGGTTTCATGGCTTGTATCTTTACTTAGCTATGCTGTTTTATTTAAATTTATCGCGTTCCTTGTGTCTGCTCGTTCAATGGTAAAAAATTTAAAATTGAATTTTAAATCCTTCTTAAAAATATCTTATTGATGTTAAATTGCATGCCTTTCTACGCCTCATGTTTGAAAAGGTTCAACATTAATCTTATATCTTAAAGGAATTTAAATCTAAAAATACACAGGAATGAACACAAAAATTCATCAGATTTACTCTTATTAATATGAAAATTTTGTAAGGCACTTTCATTTTCTATTTTTTTTTTGTTTGAAAACTAATGTTTTAGGAATCGTTTAAGTATTTAAGGTATTTAGGACTAGTCAAGTTAAATCTACGTTATTTAAAAACGACCCCTCATCAAATGTTACTTCCAACAAAGTTAATTTTTTTTGTGAATTAACAAAGTAGAACTTTTTGATCATGACTCATAAATGAATTAATTATTCAATTATATACTCATGAACGCACGAATGATCTCGAGTCTATTGTATTAATCCACCTACACGTTAACTGACATTTAAAATCAAGCAATTCTGAACAATCTAAAATTACTCAACTAAATTAAATTGAAAAATTTCAAGTATAATGCTTGAATTACTAATTAACATTTTTGAAATATTTTCTAATCTCATCAAGATAAAAAAGAAGTCAAAATTGTAATTAAATCAATATCTTTGGAAATCAAAATAAATTTTAATTAACTTCCATTTGAAATCAAATCTTTGGATTTATATTTCATTCCTGTGAAATGTGAATTAAGGTCAATGAATATTCAAAGCTGTTTAAAGCACTGCAAATCAAGTAAGAAAATAGAAACTTATTATAAAACAATAGGGGAGTGATTATCATAATAATTAAGAAGGCAATTTGATTCCGAATTAGATATTTTTCACCAATGACTAGCTGTTACGAGGTGGGAAGAACAACATATAAAAAAATAATTAAATTTGCCAATAATCATTATCATGAATATTTTAAATAGTCAATAAGGATAAAAACTGTCTGCGAATTGTGATCAGTACAAATATTCATTAGCTTTGTATATACAATAAAATTTTATTATTGCCTACGAAATAGAGAAAAAAAGGAAATGTATATAGCGATAGATACGATAGAGAAGGCAAAGAGAATAAGAATAAAAAAAAGGAAATGTGCAATGTTATCTACCCAAATATATACATGGGAGTAATAAGGATATATTTCTAAAAATATGCTCATATAAAGATATGTTTGCACAATGATAATATCAATCAAATACGAACTAGTTTCAATTGTCCTTTTCCGACATATATTATTATTGTATGTATTATAGTCATCATAAGAATGTTCAAAAATGTTTTCTGTTTTTTTTTCGGGTTAAAAAATTTCTTTCATTCAGCATTCCGATAGAAAAACGGAAGAAATGTTTTGAGGGTAATTTCAATGTTTAAATAAGTGAATGTACTTATGTTTAGCAATATGCGGTAGCGCATTTTTATATTATCAAGTTCTATGGAAATTATTATATTGATAGATTGATATATGATAGGAACCAAACATACATATTAGCACGAATATGAATGGGTTAAAGATATGCAGTCTAGTGGCTAACCACTCGGCTACAGAGTTCTTAAAGTTCTTAAACTGGCAGATTCGCCTTTATATGCCTCGATATTCTAGGTTCAACTCTGCTCAAACACCACAGAGATCAAAAGTATGAAAGTTTTCTTCGGTCAGTCTATGAGCTGCTTGAAAATACCATTAAAAAGTCAATCCCTATTAAAATTTTGCATGAACAAACAATTACTGAGTAAATTATCAAAGAATTTTGCATTTTTTCGACCATAAATTGACATGACAGTCAGTCATGCTTAGATTGATCGAAATTCAGGTTAAAAATTCTCCAAATATGGGAATCATAGAACATTTCTTCCATTCACTCTATCCTCAAATATCTTCTTTCATTCAATATTTTTTGTAATTTAAAATGTATGCATAGATAGTTTTTGTGGCAATACTACATCATCATTTGATATTTATATAAGGATAAAATTTTACAAAATTTGTACAGTAAAAGCTTTTGTACTTATATTATGCATTTGGATAAAATGTTTTTATTTTAAGCAAAAAAGAAGGAACAAAAATTGAATTTAAATTTCAAACAAGTTTTTAAACTTGCATTAATTGAATATTTTCATTTCATGTCACTGTATGTATGCAATTTCAAAAGTATTTTTTGTGTAAGAAAAGGAAATTAATTTTCTAAATTTTCTTCAGGGAAGATGGAAGAACTCAGTCGTAAGTCTTATTCTAGCTAATGCTTAGATATTGAAATATTTTAATGAGATAAATGAATGGGAAAAGTTTCAGTATACATCAAAGTTTTCATCTTGTTGTTCTTATTAATTGAATTAAATTGTTTGATTTCATTCTCCAAACTTTAAAGTTAAAAAGTTTCTCGAAGACATAACTGGATAATTAACCTAAATCATGCTAGAGTATACAATTTGCATACATAAACATCCCAAATTGTGTGAAAAACACCATTTTAGATCAAAGTTTTCACATCAAATCAAAATAGCGAAAGGAATGGTCGAAAGCACTTGAACCTTTCAGCATTAAAGCAGAAATCTCCCTTAATCGTATGCAAAACATGATTACATTTGCATTTTATGGAGTGAGCACATAATACAGTAAAAATGTATCAAGAATAATCTACATTATACGATTAAGGGAACTGTTGGAATTTATTCGATGAAAAAAAAAATCTCAATGATGAATGAATTGAACAATTATTGACACAGCATCTAGATAATTTTTATTATCAGAGTTTTTCTTTCTCTCGAAATAATGCTTTATGTATACCAGAGGTTCTCAAACTCTGATTTAGTGGATTAGACTAAATTAAGATTTTTTGAAGATCCCAGATACTTTACTAATTGAAATTGATTTGAAACCAAAAATGTTAAGAATTGAGTTTCCCGCCAAATCTTTAGGATGATGTCATTAGCTGAAAATGTTTGAACAACACTGATGTATACGTTGGGTAATTTTTTATCTATTGGTATTAAATTGCGCAGCACAGCATTTGATAGATTCGAGATTTCCCATTCATTATTTCCTCAATTTTCGATTATTTTTTTTTGCTGAGCTAGAGTAAAACTTCATCCCTAAGTTTTTCAACTTCCCCTGAGTCTTTAGAACGACTTTCTTTATTGCTTCTAAATAGCAAGATTTATGATTATGTTTGTGTTTATGTATGTAAAGCATTTCTTCTTCTTCATTCATTTTCAAAAAAACAAAAAACAAAAATATATTTTTCTTTGGTTTTGTTTGCTTGCACACTGAACTTACTGATTGGAATCCTCATGCACTATCAATTGCTGACCCCATATTGATAACATCGGATCTACGATGCCTTGCTTACATTTTGTCTGGAAGCTATGAACGAACAACAAACACAAATAACAATAACAACAAATACCAGAAATATTTTCTGATGTTTTTTTGGTTTTTTGGTATAATAAAAAAGGAACTTTTCATCATCAAGTCTTAAGGATTTCACATCATCATTATCATGAAGAGTATAGATATAGCAAAAATGCAAAACTGAAGTAAGTATTAAATGGGAGAATAAAAATATTTTTCTATAGATCGTCTTTTGTAGAGTTAGGCTGATTTATTCCTATTGTTTGAAGCATTCAACTTCAAGCATGCTTATTCTGCTTTTAATAAACTCAAAATTTCATTAGATATGAATGTATGAGCAAATTGTTTCATAATCTTAAACTGTTGCATTTCTGACAGAAAATGCTCAAAAAATTCCAACGAAGCAGATTACAGGAACAAAAAAAATCAATCTAGTTCCAAAAGAGTCTATAGATGAAAGAATAACAAAAAAATGTAAAAAATTATGAAGAAACGGGATGGAGATCTATTGTAAAAATGATGAAAATACTTTTGGTATTAAAAAGTATGGTTTTTCTATGAGTTGTGGCAGTCGCACAGAGAGAAAGAAAAGAATTTTTATATTTTTTAAAGAGCTTCAAGGGTTAAGACAGACAATAACAGCAAACAACAGTGAAGCGTTGAAAGGAACTAGAGAGAAAAAAATTATTGTAAAATTCTTTGATGATTTTCAAAACATATCATCGTCATCATCATCGTTTATGATACTCGAGGGTTAAATTTTAAAGCTACTGAATTTTCTTCATTTTACAATTTAAACGCACTTGTTGAAGAGTTGAAGTTGCTGCTGTACTTGATGTGTCCATTATGTTGCAATTTATTTAAGGTATTATTTTATGAGTGGGTAAGCTTATGCTCAAGAGAACGAAGAAGGATTCAAGAGCTACACTGGTATCAAGGAAAATGTCATTGTTGGGACTGAACAACGCCTTAGGTCGTAAACGACAATGAAGTGTATGTCCAGAGATCTATAAGCTGGTGACAGAACCATGAAGATATGTTTCGTGCCAAGCGGGAGCCAGCAAAAGAGGGACAGCGTCAGGATCAATTGATCGCAATCACTAGTAAATCAAGGAGATATAGTGACAGAGCCAACAACAGAGTCAAATGAAAAGCCTATTATTTTAACCTAAGCACCACATTAGAACATAAAGTTCATTGAGTAGATATTGAAACTGGCTCCACATATGCGCTCACATTTCGTTTGCATCCCTTACTTCTGTAATTTTTCATTATTATTATCATTTCGGTTTTATGCTGACAAGCAATGGCAGTAGCAGTAACAATATACAAAGTACGAATTGTATGTTGATACAAAAAATTATTTTGACGTAGATAGAGGAAAAAATATAAAAAGGATAGAAAAAGAACTCTTTTACGAAAGAATGTTACAGTAACTTGAAGCCATTCTGTTGCTCTCTTTTTTCATACATCAACAATATAAAAAGTATTTGAGGTGCGTTTTTGGTTATGACTTGAATGCCTGAAGCTGATATTCATACAGATGGAAAAATTTAATTTCGAAAATATTTATCCTTCTCTCTGACTGTAGAATCGGTAATGTCATATTTCGGTGGTGTCATAAATGTTTATGTATGGTCTTTTGTGAATACTGTCGAGTTGGGGGGTATGTAAAGAAGTTGATGTAAAATGTTTAAAAAAAGTAAAATTCATAAAAAAATAATTTTTTTTTATCTTAATAGAAAAGCATCAAAGGGAAAATGCTAAAATATTTAGAAAGTAATGTGCATTTTTATAAACAATTTTGTGAATATAAAATTCTTTCTTCCATTTTATATGCGTGTACTGATTTATATATATATATATTTTTGTTTTATTTGATTTCAACTTGCCATAAAAAACATTTTTTTTATCGTGTGTGTGTTCATCAAAAAAAATACCTATGAATATTTTAAAATAAACTGCATATGTGCTATTACAGATAGATAAATAAAATATATATATAAAAGTAAAAATGGGATGCGTGGGTGCACGTTTATATATTGTATTCTATTTTGCTGCAATCAAAATTGTTTGAAGCGTGAGACTAGATTTTGGTGAGAATAATAAAAAAAGTTGTGGACTTAATATGGCATATATAGATAATATAATATTCATTCAATAAAATATATAGAATTCATCCTTTTATTGTGATTTATTTGAATATTTTGTCTTGCAATCACACACATCAATTTTCCATTAATCTAATAGCTTCTCCTAACATCAACCAATGGATAGGAATCAGATATTGCCTTTGGAAAGAGCACACTGCAAAGTGTTTTAAAAACGATTTAGATAATAGACAGAAAGTGAAGAAGATAGTAAGGATATTAGCTAATATTACAATCAGTGAAAAGGACGTTGGCTTGTGAGGGCACTTACTACTATTTATTAGAAAAAAGGGGTAGTTTTGTAGTGACTAGATATATATAAATTTAATAAGATTATAAAGAGTATACTTATGTCGGATATAAGTAGTGAAAGGAGGAAAGGAAAAATAGTTTAGTTCATTTTTATCCACTTTTATGTTCAAAAATGTGAATGGTTATTATTATTATGGATTCTACACATTTTTTACGTTAGCCTTTCTTTTTTGTTATTCATTCAATAACCCACAAAAATGGTTTTAAACTTTCTCTTGTTAGTATGATAAATATATGTATGTGTGTGTTATTTGGAGCATAAAAACTACTTTCAAATCCTGACTATGATTGAAAACATTTTTACTACGTTTGGAAAATCAAATGAAATTTGATTTTTATTTTTATGTCATTTTGATCTTTTTTCATTTACAATTTAAATAACGGTTATTTTTTGAATTTAAATTTTATTTGCATAATAAAATGAGTTTTTATGGTCATGTCAATTGATTTGATCCTAACAATAGTAAACCGCAGTGTATAATTGTAATTTCCGAAATCAATTATCATCTGCTTTAGCCGCATAATTTATGTTTGGCACACGCTCTATCATTATTATTAATATGATTATCTTTTATTTACTTGAACAAATTTATTGTTTGACATTTTAGTGGAATGCAGCATGTGATTCATTTATATAAATTTAGAAGAGTTGACAGAATTATTTCCTTTTATATGCGCCGTCATGTTTTCAGTCAGCGAACATCATGCTAAATTTTGCAATAAATTATAGCCGTAAAAAGTCTTTACATACATGAAACATCTATTTGAAAGCTTTATTGAGCAGCAATAAAAGCATGGCAGACTTGCTTTTAGATGAATGGAAATAATGAGCTTTGAGAATTTTAAAAAAATGTACATAAAACTTTATGTCTATATTAGTTCATCCTGAAAATTGGAAAACTTTCTTATTGAAATTCTATGGATACATTAAGTTTAATTGCTCTAAATGCTCTATAGCTTAATTGCATATAATTGGTTTCTCTATGAATTTCCTGAGCATTTTATACGACTTCATATTCAATAACCTTTAAATGTTCACTGCTTATTCAGATCAAAATATATTCCTTGACCTTTTCAGTTTCCATGGTTCGTATGAAAAATTTGAACGCATGCCTGCCTCAAGATTATCTTTTGTGATGCTAAGAGACTTGAAATCTCAAGTGAGAACTTCATAAAGTTTATTAAAGACAAAAATTGATTTTAAATTCAGTAAATAACCATTAATTATGCTCAATCATAAATGAAAATCATCATTAAAGACCGTTCCTAAGATTCTTTTCTCATTATATCATGTAATAGTCATTAACGAAGTATAATTTATGATAATGATGTATCATACGTAATTATTCTCTACCTACCTCAAATCAGCCAACGGTAGAAAATCTACATCAAGAAGAAGACGAAGACTAGGTAGACTAAATGCCATTAAGTGTCCATTTGATAGATAACATACAAGGCAAACGCTATCTGTTGACGATAGAGATGATGAAGAGTCAGTCTTGAATGTCTACACTCAAAATAGAATAATAAGATAATTCTTCATTATTACCTTTCATGCTAACAACTTCTGCACGAACAACAAAATCAGTTTCAGTTATTTGAAGACGGTATACACAATTTTGACTTGGAAGAGCTACAATTCGGCACTGTTTTTCACTCGTTATTACCATAAATTGACGATCACCAAATGCTAAGTCCTGATTCAATGTCGGACTCATACGATTTGATGTGCTTTTTGTTGGCGTTTCTATTCAATAATATTTTTGTTGTGATTATGGTCGACAACGATGATGATGATGATGATAATGGCGATAAGGAAGAATAAAGAAAAGAAGAAGACAAAAAGGGAAGAAAAAAGAAAAGTTGTGAATAACAAATTCACATATGAAGTGTGTATGTTTTTTTTTGGGTCGCTTACTTATATCTCTCTGTCTTCCTTCATCCTTCCATGGCTCGTATGAATAAGGAATGAGTCCTCCATTACAGTCCAAAAATGACATACATAATATTGAACCTTTTAGTCGGAATATGGGTCCACCTTTTGAATTTTTAGGATGGGGAAGAAATAAAAGAAAATTGTTGACAAATTATACAATAAAAATATGTTTAACATCAATATGAATGTCTTTTCCTTCTTTACTGCACGCATATACGTTTGTAGGCTGAGATTTAAGGGTTGTTCATAAATGACTTTTATTGGAAATTGACTTTTAAATACAAAAATCCTGCTGTATGGAAATCTTGTAGCGCAACTGACCCCTCTTCCTACTTAATAGTTAAACATCATTTATGAACGACCCCTTAAGACATTACAAATGTTTTACATCGTGTAGAAAATCATAATACGAGTGTAAAAGTTTACATACCCAATATTGATACTAGAACAGGCGACGTATTTCGTGTATCTGCCTCAGGTAATGTAATTGAAACTGTTAGCACTGACCCGAGACTCGTTCCCAGCCATAGCGTTGGTATGAGTGCGGATGGATCTATTGGGAAAAAAAACAATTGAACACAATAAAAAAAGTTTACAACATTTTACGCCATGAGCTACAATCTGATACGATCGGCTTGGTGTCTAGACAATGACATTCATAATGATAAAGTGTAGTAAAGTAGTAATAATTACTAGTGTCTGTTTAATTGGATTTAAACTTATTCGTCGTTTGGCATTCACCGACAAAATGTTGATAATATCAATTTATGGAATTGAAATAATTGCATCCATAAATAAATATTATCAGCATAGGAACAAAAAATACGGAAGGTGAAAAAAAAAAATATAAATTTGAATTAAATTGTCAATGTCAAACTTACCACTCTTCTTTGTATAACTATCAACAAAAGCTAAGCACGTCACAGACTCGGAAGATATATTCTCTAAACTAGACATCGATGATGAGCGCGATCGGGAAAATGAATTGTCCAATTTATCTGCACGACCGATATATTTTGAATTAGATGTATGAAGAAGTGGATAGGAAAAAAAAAGAAAAACAAAATAAAATGCAATTAAATTTCTGTTTTAGTAAAAAAAAATTATTCTCTTTATCTTTCTATGGCACATAGACAGCACAATATACAATCGTATTAATAGATAGATAGAGAGCAGGAGTGAGTCGATAGATATGGGTGTATAAATTTAGAATTTAGCACAATAAATGCTTTAAATATTCATTTTTTTGCATTAGTATTTGTTAAAACGAAAACAATCATAAATTACAATTCTTGCAAAAAGGGATAATAATTAATGTAAGAGCATGCTAATATGAAAGCATTAATTTCAGTACACATATATATAAAGATATGATCAATAAGTCGATGTGGCAGTAGTTATAGTAATTTATGAATATCAATTATGTTGTGGTAGTGTGCAAATAATTTCAATGTATGTGCAAATCGATAGCTAATTCATCCCTCCAATTATTGGAAGAAAAACACAACATTTTTGCATGCATCATATGTACACATTCTAAGAGATTGGAATTTATGCACATTTATATGACGACTAATCATCAATTTTACATGCAAGTGCAGCAATTTTACTTTATATAGATGTTTATTTTACAAGCAAGGATGCACATTCTATGCGATACGAGAGTAAGCAAAGCTGATGGAATTTTCCTTCGATGAGAACCTTGAGGTAATTTTGTGAATTTCTTGAATGAAAGGGAGGTTGCTGGGGTTCTGATTAAGTTTTGCTACAGCTATGCTTTCTAATTCTATAGATACAAATTTAAGACTTTAGGAACGAAGCTCTTCAGCTACTGTTCAGATCTTAATTAAATTTGAATCAACTGACTAAGTTGCTAATGAATCTTAATTGCATGAGTTTCAGAGTCCTTTAATGTGGCAAATATCTGAAACTATTTGATTAAATTTGAGGTATTTTTACTCGGTAAAATCAAAACATTTGAATATAAATAGAAGGATGAGTGCATATCCAAGGGTATTTGGACTACTAGCCTTAAGTTATTTTATCAACTTCCCATAATTTAAATTCTTTTAATAATTTTAGAATATCAAGAATTTATGTTTGATGTTATGTGCATTGGAATGAAGGTTTGTTTACAAATCCTACAAATCTTTCTATAAGGATCGCAAGAAAAATAATGCAAACAAAAAAAAAAGAGAGATGAAGAAAAATTTCCATACATTACATGCACAGCAGCAGCATCCATGCTATCATAACACATGTATATACAATATCTTTTATTTTTTAAAGTTTCATTTAACTAGAGATATGAAGAAGAAAACTTATAAGTTTTTTGATTAAAAAATATGTATGAAAAACAAAATCAAGAAAAAGGGAAGGAACTTATTCATGAATAAGTGACAGAGACAGAATACTAAAAGGGATAGAATTTTGAGTAGTTTTTCTTGTGTGTCATTGTGTAATTGGTCCTTAACAAATTTAAATGTTTATAGTTTCGAATCAGAATTAAAAATTATACAAATCTATTTATTGTGTTAGTGTGTAAATATTAAGATGTGCCTGTTCTGTTTGTGTAGCTAATGAATCAAGTGTTTTTTTTTTATCTTATTTAATTTCAGTAAAAAGTTAACTCTTCATTTTCTTATGTAATTCATATTAAGTGAGATTGAAATAACAAGAGAATTGTATTAAAGAATTAAGTAGCGAGAAGAATGAGAGAAGATAGAGTAATATAGATAGAGATAGAGTAGAGTTGCATTTATAGATGGAAAAATTTGTCGAGTATTTGTCATTTTTAATGACACAAAAAGCGACTAATGTGGAAAATCATAAAGAACATATGAATAAAAGTCCCTGAGAGCAAAAAAATAAGCGGAATTTCCATCAGAGTTGTTCTGTAGTTAAAAAATAATTTAAACCCCATTTTAGAGACGAGCTTATCAAGCATTAACCAAAATTATCCCTATGTGACCAATAAAATAGCATTTAAAACCTTTGGAAACAACTCTGATTTCAATTTTAATTTTATTCATGAGACAAAAAAGCGGAATAGATTAAGTTGGAGGGAGGGTATGAGAAGTTAAATTTACATATGTGAACAATAATGCTAAAGAACATATAAATGTAAATAAGTTGGGGGTAACATTAAGCTTTTTATTCTTCTCGAAACGGACGATTTATTTTATTTATTCATAATTTCCACAGCATTTCTTTAAATAATTCCGTGAAGATCAATTTCATTAAATAAAATGCATATTTAATGAAATTATGTTTCGAATGCTGTCACATTTAATGATAAAAAGTGGTGAAATTATTTTAATGAATTTCCAATCAATAAATTAAATCATTTTCATCGCTGCTCCCCCTCCTACATACATTTAATTTAGTTCTTTAATTTACACTCAGAATGCAAAAACAAAACATTTGCATTTTTTGACATCGAACAAATTAAATGAGAAATTGAGTGGAAAACAGAGGTCAAATTTGTGTCTGTTAGAATATTTTCTGCTAAGTGCTGAGCTTTGAACAATCAGGATTATTGTTAGGGGAGAAATTTTTGTTTATTCATCAAAAAAATAAAGTTTGATTCTCTTGTGCTTTAAATTGGACGAAAATTATAAGGCTGTTGACTTTTTGATGAGTTTTCAGAATTGCTAATCAGGGGTGTAATTAGGGGGCACCCTTTTTGAGAAATTTATTTAATTTGATAAGGTTTTATGCGAAAAAAAAGCTGGTTTTTACAACCCCCATTCCCTTCAACATCCCCAACGACACAGAGCATGTTGTTGGCAAATTTTCACAGATATCAGATTATTATTAGGCTATTATTTGTAAGCTTGAGATTTTTGATAAAAAAAAGGTAGCTGTAACAATTTTTGTGGACATCCTTTTTGCACTTTTTCTTTAACATTGTTTGAAAAAAAAATAATTTTTCTGTGTCTTGTTTCGAAAATGACATAACAATTAAAAGTTCGAAAATATTTTTGTTAAGGGAATTTCCAACAACATGCTCGAGAGAAGATGATGAAGGAAAGCTTGTAATTTAGAAAATTTGAGATCAACTTTGTTAAATGAAGCACATTGTAATTAACGAGATAATATTTTAGTAATTTGATATTCGTCCTTGGCATCCAGCCCCATAGAAAATTACTATGATGATGAAATTTATCAAGTTAAGGAAATTAAATTCTAGCAAATTGAAACTTTCAATCCTAATTAACGTCAAACATTTTACAACAAAGCAGAAAACATTTTTGCCTCAAATCTATTACAGACCTATCTAAACTACATTAATCCTCTTTCAATCTTGATCTAAGATAAATTAACACAATTAAGCAAACATTAGAACGCTATTAAAGAGCAATAAAGTGGTCTAGCCTTTCTCATTTTTACAGAAAGCTTTAATGTCTTTAACGATGAACAATTTTTGTTTTTCATTCTGAGTGTTAATTCACGTACGCAAAAATTGCAAGCTCTCGTGTCTCTGACAATATAAAATGAAATTATGAATTGCTAAAGGATACAGGCAAAATAAGTTTATTGTCAGATTTTGTAGGATTTTCGGTTAATATACCATTGCTGGATTATATGAGTTTATGTGAATGACTCTTTCTCCCCCATTTATTCCTGGTAACAAGCATTATGTCATGTATAGTTGTTAACAGAAACAAATAGATATATAATGTGCCATTTCATTACATCCACACGTATATCCACCGACAGCATACATACCTGAAAATTGTGATTCGAAATGCATGAAAAAAAATCTACTTAAAGTTACTGTGTGGACGTTTAAAGTGCATTTATGTTCAAGAGGAGGAAAGTCACAAGAATCTTAGGTCAGACAATAAAATTTGTCAAATATAAAGCATGTAGGAAATCATGTGAACACATTAAAATGAATAATTAATTCAATTTAATCGGTTGACTTGATGACACGTGTTTCAATGATTGAGGCAACAAGTTTAAGTTTTTATGGACAAGATAAATGCACAAAAAAATCCACAAAATTGGAGAACTTTTTTCATGCTTCAAACACAATTTTCAGAATAATCCAATTTCAGAAAAATTAGAATGGAAATTGCTAAATGCTCGATTAAATTGTTTAAAAGAAAACCTCAGTGAAACAAAAAAAAAATAAATATAAATGAATGAAATGTAAGAGGAGTTACAAACAGCAAAAATCAATAGCAATAGGCGCTTGAATATAAAAAAAAGAAAGAGAACAAAAATAGGAACTTCTAGGTATATAAAAATTGTACAATTTTTGCAACTTTTTTATTTGATTCTTTTTTCATTGCTCTTTGTGCTGTTGACTACCACACTACATCACATGGAGGGAAGGATAGAGAGATACAGTATACTAAATAACACGTATACATCATTTATTGTAAACGGAGAAGGATGTTGAAAAAGAGAGAAAAAAAAGTGTAATGAATGAGTCCCGTTTCCTATTTTTTTTTTTCATGAATGCATTATCTACCCCCTTAAAAATAGAGGAAAAAAATCACATAAATGTGAATATGTGTTGACTGTTGAGTTGTCCAAGCAATAATTTCTTCTACACTTCTTCTTTCGGACGGAAGAGCTTTTTATCATACACAATATATACTAAAAAAATGGGAGAAAATGTATTTTTTGTGTTCATGATTTTTTTTTTGTTGACAATGTTTTACCGAACAGCACATTGATATCTAAAGTAGTCAATGGTTCATAATCCTGTAACTAAAACTTAGCAATAGATCACATAAAGGATAGTTCATCAATGACGTTCACAAAAAAATATGTAAAACCCTCCTTCTTATATCACATGCAAATTTGAACATCATTTATGAACGACCCCCGTTAAACATCAACAAACATATCACTACAATAGACACAAGTACTGCTCGGGATAGAAGGAAGTATGTGCTTTTTCATTCGTTTTTAAAATATCGACACTTACTATAGTCTATAGAGTAGATTAAAGAACGAATATAAATAAAAAGTATACACAAGA